ATGTTGTTGTAATGTGGGTCTCCTTTAAAAAGGGAAGAGATATTAGATACGTCGCAGACAGGAGGAGTGAGCCCTTTACTTGTCGCTTTTATTTGGATGCCTTGGGATATATTTTTGACTAGAAGATGGGTGACATATTAGCTATGAGCACCAGAAGATATGATAGAAGCTTACTTACATGCACCATATGATATCAATCGATGGACTATGCAATGCTAATGCAATTGAAGAAAACTTAGTTCTCCCAGCCTTTCTTTTATGAGCTTAATCGATATGTATATTTGCTTTCAGCGTAAAAGAAGTACTTTAGCCCTGATTATGAAGCAGTGTAAAATCATTTTTGACGGCGTAACAATAGTATTGTTGACTCGCTACCAGTAGCTTATATCTAAAATGATTTGCTCTATTTGTTCAGTTGCCAAAGTCGTATATATCATATTGTATGATATGGTATTCTGCTTTTGTACAAGGATGTATTTATGCTGTGTTACAAAAACAGCATTGATTGAGTATACAGATATACCATTTTGATCTTTTGAGTACTTGAATGAACAGTATTGCTCTACATGTATCACAGAAACAAGGCTTTGTTCTGTGTGAAGCTATGCTGCATTCTCGGACATGTTTTAATACAGTAGTCAAGATTAAGGTCAAGAAAGGAAATGGACATTAGGCCAGCATTGAATAGGATGACACCATACCTGAGAAAGTTTGAGTCACATTATAAGTGTATTTAGAGTTGGGTCGATGAATGAGCACTGCATTATTTGGTGATTCGATATAAGAGTAAGTATACGATTTGCGTGCAAAATAAACATCAATTATTGTTACTCGATAATGTTTAGAGACACACAGCAATGATCGTAGCTGTACTAGTGCTACCTCCTGTTGCGGAAGTGGTACTGGGAGATTCATCGAAAGCTTCAGAATATCAGTACAGTGACTAAAGGAGAAGAGCTCCAAGCAGCCGGCCAGGATCAAGAAGGTGAAGTTAAATATGACGCATGTTTCTCTTTTGATTGTGATAGTGTACAGCTCCTATACGATTATACTGCAAGATATCGTATTGCAAAAACTGATATGCTTAAGTAAGTACAGTAGTTTGCTGCTTGCATTGGCTGTGCTCAACTAATACCCTTACTGCTGGATCAAAATATACATAATGATCTCGACTCATGTGCCAGCACCATGTCAATAGCTAATAGAAATCTTGTTGTTACTAGGTACTCAATAAATCATGACAATCATCAATCAACCGAAGGATGTCCCTGCTAATGCTCAACCTGTCGGCATAATATAATCCATACACCTCTCGCATAGGTAATGAATCAAATGCGCGCGGGACGGACGTCGGAGTTGCTGAAGGCGAAAAACAAGAGGCAGCAGGATGGATGAACTCTGCTGGTTTCAACGCGGTAGAAAACAACCTAGAACAACATGGGACAAACAGGCTCACATCTCGAAGACATGGTCAACTCGTCGAACTGTAAGTCATCGCCCTCCTCTCTATGCTCGCGTATATGAAAGAAGCGCTTACAAGCCCTCCTCTTTACTGTCGCTATAGTCTCGGCGGAGGAGATTCAACGATTGTATAAACGTTTCATGAAGCTTGACAAGGATCGGTCTGGATCGATTGACAAGGACGAATTTTTGTCCATTCCACAGATTGCAAACAATCCGTTGGCATCTCGAATGATTGCCATTTTTGACGAAGACGGAGGTGGTGATGTCGATTTTTTTGAGTTTATTAAAGGACTGAGCACCTTTAGCGCACGGGGAAACAAACGTGAAAAACTGGAATGTATGTGTGCTTCTTTGTTCTAGACTTGAAAAGAGGGAAAAAACTGATTTTATACTTAGTCGCATTCAAGGTTTATGATATGGATCGCGATGGCTACATTTCGAACGGAGAGCTGTTTCTGGTGCTCAAGATGATGGTCGGAAACAACTTGAAGGATGCCCAGCTGCAGCAGATCGTGGACAAGACGATCATGGAGGCAGATAAGGACATGGATGGCCGAATCGGGTTCGATGAGTTTTTGGTCATGGTGGAGAACACGGATGTTGCAAGGCAAATGACACTGGAAAACTTTTAAACGATGTGGTTGTATAGATTGGCTGTTGTTGTTCTGCTTGGTTTTTCTCTCTCTGTTGGCGCTCATATACATATATATATGTACATTGACATTAAGTTTTCTTTTCTTTCCCTTTCCCATTTCAAGCTGTTTCACTCTGTGATGTACGCAAACAAGAAATGTATGTCTATCCAAAGTGGCAAATAAAGATCCGTAGTTGTTTTTTAATTTGAATAGTGCCATGCTAAGCTACAACATCGATCTCTTGCGCAGTCGTATCGCTACCCGTGTCGCTCACATGCTGCTGTGAAGTAGCAACTTCTTGTTCTTCCTCGTCGTCCTCTTCATCCATAAGGGCAAGCGCCAAAGCGAGTGCTTCCTCCTCATCATCACTTGCACCGTCTTCTCCTTCTGCTAACGCATGATCCAGATCTAGGCCACCGTCGGCTTCGCATTGTTCAAGCAAATCGTCAAACCACGACTCGAGTTGTCGCTCGCTTTCGTTTTTCATGTTGCGCGCTTCCAAGTTCGATACGTCCGAAGATAAGTGTTCGATCTGCAACATGAGCGTCTTGAGTGTCTCGAGCGATTCGGCTGGGATCTCACCACAAGCTGGTGTGGATCGGATTTCGTCCAAAACACCAGTGAGTTCGCTTAAAAGTCCATTTTGATCACAACGGCGACTTTTCTTGCTGACTTGCTGTTTTTGCTGCTGTGGATCAATCTCTAAAGATAATCGTCGTTTGCGGTCGGATTGACTAGTCATGGCGGATTGTACAACAATAGATAGTGATGACGGTCAAGCAGGCAAGGCGCCTTCTTTGGAATGTCCCTCGCTACAGTAGTGTTTGACAAGGAATTGGAGCGTCCAAGGAGAGATCCGGATGCGAATATGGTATGTCCAAAACTCGCACGATAACCGGAAAAAGAGGAAGAATCAGGTCTACCAGAATATCCGACGGTTTTGGATTGTGTGGGGTAGTGGCTTTTAATCCGATCGCTGCTTTACAGCAAATTGATTTCAAAGGTTGATATACGATGCCGCGGAGTAGGATGGCTACAGCGAACCTGGGCTTACATTTTGGCCAATCAGAAGGCTGTATAAGAATCCTTAAAACAGCCAATGCAGCTTTGAATTAGCTTTTACGTGTAACACTTCAAAATACTGGTGCATGACATTGCTGAAATTTTAACTTGATCGAGTAATATGCCATAGTAGTGTCTCTAGTTGAAAGAACCAAAATGCATAATATCTACGACAACAATTGCAGGGGTTACAGGTGCAAGGACATTACTTTTATGCAATGCCATTTTAGAATGCGTAATGAATTTGCGCATAACTGATACACGAATAATCACTTACGTTTTGTTTGATCACTGATAGAATGTTTGGATGGTAGACTAAGTAGTAGTATGCTCTGTCAAAAGAAGCAGCGTTAAAGATAAAGGGATCCCTTTGTGTGCGATAAAAAGGAGTCCATTCTCTAGTTACCCAGTGGTCATTGATGAAACATGCTGCTGACGACACTAGTGAAAAAAGTAGCATACTGCACGACTCATCGAGACGTTGGCTTTTCTTCCTGCTTTTCTTCGCGCTTGCCCCGCATTCTTTGCCTTTTTTTGGCTTTTTGTACGTATGCATTCATTAACATTCTGTCAGTGCAGTTGCTGTTTGATCGTCACGATTGGTGATTCTTTATTTGCAACCAATGGTTTAACGTTCTTTTCGCCTTTTTCTTTGTAGTCTTGTCTCTCGCTCTGTCTCTCTCTTTCTCTCTCTGTATCTGTCTCTGTCTCTCTCTCTTTCTCTTTCTCTCGGTCACTGACCTGCACAGGGTAGCGTCATGTGAGTTGTGCTTTTATGCTGTGAAGCTGTGTGAGAAGTTGTCATTCGTGTGAGAATTTATCAGTTCTGATGAATTTCTTCGTTATTATAATCGGTTGCATAGCCCACTAGTAAGGAGCAGGGCTCTGGTTGAGTCCTGCGTTGCCCGGCGGCGCCTTCACTCAGGTAAGTGCACCTGGCACGACGACAATTTCTAATCAACGACTAAACCCATTTTGTATTACCGCATAGTGAGGATGACGTACCCTGTAAGCAGTGTACGTAGAAAGCCATAAGTACTCTTGGGTATTTTTATGGGTTGTTGCTTTTTTATTCAGAATTACTGTTATTAAGCCCAGACATGTCTTGCAGGCCAGATGGCTACCTGATTCAGCACATCCACCGGAAAAATTAAAGCACATTTTTTGCCTGTGAAACTCGTTTATCACTTTGCCAGGAATGGCTCTTGTATTGACGAGGGGGCCACGCTTCCTCGCACTCTGTTTTGATGTGTATTCGGCTCCTGTCGGTCTCCGGATATGACTGTTTTGTCCTCTTCATTCCTTTTGTCCCTATTCCTTACCTTCGCCTGTATTCTTTTGCGCTGTTTGGTTGGGTGTTGTTTGCCTCTTCCTCATTTCATATATATTTTCGCACGAGCCTTAAGACTGGCGCTCGGACTGGCCGACGATTATATACTAAAACACCATCTTATGTACCCTTTGCATGTTTGAAACGGATATTTAGTGTTAATGGCAACCTATTTATTGAATGTAATATAAACATACTCAATGACAGTATCACAGTACACACCTCTTGCTACTGCCAGTACTTTCTGCTCTCTTAAAGGTCTATATATACTACTACAAGGATAAGGAATAGTATTTATCAGAACATACATGGATCTCTAGTCAATTGAGATAAACTCTTGCTATTACTGTACTATTATCTATCATGCATAGCTTGGCTATCTTGCAGTTAATTACTCATGTTAGAAGTACCCAACTATCTGGCGTTCATGATTGCTCTGATAGATAGCAATTATAAGAGGCTGTAAAAAGCTACAGTGCGCTGAATTTTTACGGTGGGGTTCATTATGCAAAATAAACTCGATATAGAGCGCTATCCATTTAAAAACCTTTCGAATACATACTGATCACCCCTGTTAAAGTAAAAGAATGATAGGCTTTTACTGACAAATCACTTTAAGGAGGCCTATCTGGTAATAGCTAAATGCACGTACATGCAGAAAAAGACATCTTAATTGTCAAACGAACGATCAATGCACATCATTTTATGCAAATGATCAAGTCGCGTTTTTTTCCGTAACGACCGATATGTTCGTTTTCGATCATTCTGAGCTGAGTTAAAGTGAGAGCCTTCTTCCAGCATTCGTCTGGACGAGTGGGGAGCCTTAGCAAAGATGTATTAAGATACTGTCAGTCACTACGTCATAAAAAGAACACAAAAAACCGGCGTCAGGAAGAGAGTGATATTTATGATACTGCTCAAACGTGTACGTTTTGGATGCTCGAGTAGAAGACCTTAAACATAGATGTCTTGCTCTGTTTCAAATTTTTCTTCCTGGTTCAATGATTTGAAAGTTGATTCAAAGGCATCACACTGCTCTTCGGTACTGGCTATTAAGTATTTCACAAATAGATAAGATACACTGTGCCTAAAGTGGTGGGTTATGATGTGAGCCGGCGTTGGTTGTCTGGATGAGGAATTGGGTGATTAAGAAGATCTGATGGATTGTGGTTGTTACTGGATCTGGTCGTGTAAATGGTGAATAAAAATCGTTAATTTATTTAGAATGATTGTATCATATATAGCCGTTTCTGAATCTTGCATTTGGTGCTTTTTAAAGCACTTCCTCCCAATGGGGCTGTATGTTACTTCAATAGTGACATAGCCATCTAGTTTATTTATTACTCGGTGTGATATATCTTGCGTCGGTCATAAGTTACGATTCGCGTACCTCTTCAATAAGTTGATAATTCTCTTTTGGGTAACTGCTGTGCGGAATGTAGTGTCTGAAAGCTAGAGCGTTTGGAGTATTCCTTTTCGACTGACTTGTTCGAGACATCTCTGAGCGGCTAAGTACTACAAGATTAACATGCATTGTACTACTATGAAAGAGATCACTATGTGACACTGGGTTATTTGCGCTACACTTGAGCTTGGCTACATGATATTTTTTTGACAAAGCGCAAACAAGACAATTGGATACACTTAAGGTTGATTTTTCAACATTAAGAAAAAGCTCAGCGAATTGACAAAATGCTTAATTGTTTCTTATACCCAAACAACTCGTTAGCAAATGATACAACTGCATCTCTTTCTTGACAAAGTGGCAAGCTGTATTTTATTGGATGTATGTACTTCACATAGTATAATTGATGATTCAGAAAGAGGGATGAATCTTTGTTACAGACTAAACACTAGGCCGTGAGAAACATATTTCCCGGATGTATTTTTCCGTGAGAAAGAACGACATGATAATACATCAGAACCGCGCCAGTAATATCCAAAGAAAAGCACTTGTATGCTACGCACAATTCATACTCATCACAGTACACATGAAGAGTTTTCGGATATCATCGTTGATCCGTGTGTAGCGCCCTGCCTGAACGATTATATTTTGCTGAGTGAACCTACATATACCTCGAAACCATCCATCTGTAAACGCTATCGTTCGATTGGCATGATCATAGATTTTAAAGTGAGCGTTTCAAGTGCTGGAAGAAAAACCAGCGCGTGACTAAAACCTATCGATCCCGCCAGCAGCCATTGTACGCAGATATGTTTATAATCGAGCCTTTATCGTGAACCATGAACAACGGAGGGCCACGTACTTAAAGCGTGTCAGACGTTCAATCCCATCGGATTGTTCAGCCACTCATGAAAATGATACGTTCACTTGCTATCAAATTTTAAGTAAGATTATTGCACTGAAATTCGACAACGCTATACCAGCAACTATTTTGTGTATGCCGCATGGAGCTTGGATATTATTAAAGGGTAGCTAGTTGGATGCGTATACCTGCTATTGCGCAGTTTCGAAATAGCACAGATCAAACAATATTTCAAATGCAGAAAAAAACTACTTATTATTCGCCTTTTCGCAATGGAGAACCCGTATGAACAAACACATAATGCAATCCTCGGACGAATAATCGACAACGTTGTATGGTTTACCTTCTCATTTATCAGCGTTTTTTTAACGAATCGCATAATCTGATATATCCATTGTAGGCTAGACTTAGTGAAGCCGTTGAGAATCTCAATGAAAGATTAGAGGTAACAAGAAGTCTAGATTTTAATTTCAGTGTACTCTACATTTCTTTCTTGGAGCTGTAAAAAAAACGAAAAACAAAGGCTAACAGTCTTTCAATACAGGAAGTGAACAAGGAAAATAGCGATCTTGCAGTTGTTAGCCAAATGTTTTCGTCGTACTGGTTTTCTTCACAAATATACCTACAGACCAAAAAGTCATACACTGGCTCCAAATAGCCCCTTCTTCGCTCATTACATCATCCTACGCCCGGAACCACAAGCGTACACACCTTTGTCGGCAATAAAATTTGATATGCATACGCACATACCCCATATAATCCGTGTCTGCTCGTACATTTTTACTACTGTGATCTTAGAGACCCGGAAGCAGAAACTGTTTTCTTCCGTTGAGCAAGCCCCGTGTCTTTAATACTGAGTGAATTCGCGGAATACATATGACGCACGCAAATATCGGATGTAACTAACCGAGAATACTGCTGTTGTTCGGAAAAGGGTGGATGGGAATCTCGTGGAACATTATCCGAGTGGGTCACTGTGTAATTCTCGGAGCAAACGGATCAAGTATCTAACGAAATGTGCTTAGTCTCTGTGGGAATCCGGGTAGTTGCGACCGAAACTCTACGCGAAATGCGGGGAAAGAGTAACACAGCGCGTTGTACAAAAGTCTCGGTGGTTGAGGTTTGATTAAATAAATTATATGGAACTGAACTGAATAATATCAATTAATATCACTGGTATATACATATATAATGTGTAGCGAGCGGATGATTGATCGGTTTAATTAAGCAAAAGGCACTAAAATTATTTTGCTCCTTGGTTGGATGGTACTGTATTTTGTCCGAATCTGTGGATCTGATTTCGTGACGATATTAAATGCGAATATCAGTCTTCTTCTTAGTTTCTCAAACTTAAACTTTACTGGAACTATTCCGATCTTTTTTCAAGCTCATTTCGGACATGCTAGTCAATTAACGGCTATAAATATCAGTCGCTGAGTGAGTCGGATTTCTAGCCTTTTCCTAACCTTGACGACAGCGATGGCGAAATTATCGGCTACATTGCTGTGGGCAACGACACTATGGCTTTTTGCTACTTTGGCTTCACCTGCTTCTGCAGGCCGCAATGACAAACCCAACATCATTTTTATCTTCACCGATGATCAAGACGCAAGAATGGACTCGCTAGATTATATGCCAAACGTTCAGCAATATCTGGTCGAACAGGGAACTCTTTACCGAAACCATTACGCGACCTCCGCCTTGTGCTGCCCCAGCCGTGTTAGCTTATTACGTGGCCAATATGCCCACAATACGAAGTAAGTGTCGCGTACTCATTTTCAAAAAAGTAAACATGACAGTTAAATGATTTATCTCTTTTTCTAGTATAACTGATATCGCTGTGCCTTATGGGGGCTACGATCGGTATGCCGAGCTCAAGCTCGGAGAAGATTACTTGCCAATTTGGATGCAAAAGGTTAAATATTGTGGTAGAAACATCTTTGTATTAAACACTAACGAGTGTACATCTAAACTCAGGCCGGATACTCGACTCACTACATCGGAAAACTTATGAACAAGTACAACGTCAACAACTACAATAAGCCGATTCCTGCTGGGTAAGATGGCTAGAGAACTGATTAACAAACTACCAAGATGATTCTAACAAATCGTCGTGTGCCATTTTAGTTTCGATTATCAAGGTTGGATCTTTTCTTTGTTTTGCCAAGAACGAGGAACACTGGATTTGTCGTATTAATATGGTTTTTATACAGATCAATTGGTTGACCCCTACACCTATGTGTTTAATACGGCTGTTTTCTCTAAAGATGGAGCTGCCCCCGTATACTACAACAACACGTACCAGACAGATGTTATCCATGCCAAGGCTTTGAATACACTCAAAAAGCAGCGAAATGCTGACAAGCCATTCTTTTTGTGGTGTAAGTGGTTTAAAAAACTTAGTTTATTAAAGTATCATCGCTACTTGTTCATATCGCTTACTCACACTGATGTGCGTGCACTTTTTTAGTGGCACCCATCGCGCCTCACGGCCAGTTCATCAAGGAAGGCGGCGACGGCCTCGATAACACTCGAACAGCCCCTCCTATGCCAGCCGCCAGACACGCCCATTTGTTCCAAGATGTTAAAAGTATGGTTCTCGCTACATCTATTACGTACCATCCTTTCCGAGTTACTAATTGTAGCTATAATCTTTTTTAGTCCCTCGTAATCCGAATTTTAACCCAGTGAATCAGACAAAAACCGCATCTTATTGGAAAGATTTTGCATACCTCAACGAGACCGAGGTAGAGACTCTTGACGAAACACATCGCAAACGCCTTCAATCTCTTCAAGCCGTAGATGAAATGATCCCTAGTCTGATCGAGGAACTGAAGCGTCAACGCAAGCTCGATAACACTTATATTATCTTCAGCTCGGATAACGGGTAAGCTTTTTTACAACTTTTAAATGTTTTTAATACTATTAAAAGGTAAGGAGCACTGATTCATAAACTGAACACTATTCACACAGCTTCCATCTGGGCCAGCACCGAGCTATTCCTGGAAAAGCCACCGATATCGAAGAAGACATCAAGTATGGGTTCTTTCTGGTTTTGCACTCATCTTTCATTTTTTAAGCTTCCGATCTAAACTCTTTATGTTCTACACGATAGCGTCCCTCTCGTTGTTCGAGGCCCAGGCGTTCGCAAAGGCCATGTCAGCGATATTGTAAGTGCACATCATGATCTCGCCCCTACATTCATGGCACTGGCCAAAGGTGACGAGCATGTACCATCCTGGGTTGATGGTGGCGTTATCCCTTGGATTCCCAGATTACGAAAGCACCCTAAGCCTGTAACACCCGAAACTTTCGCAGTCGAATTTTGGATGGACAAGTTAATTATTGAGTAAGTAATCATAATGACTCTTCTCAGACTCTGTACTTGATCCTATTTGTGCCTATGATACTCATTGCTTATGTCATAAAAGGAATACGGGTCCTACTACCATGGATGGTTGGAATACATACAAGACTCTGCGCGTAATTTCAGATAGATATAACTGTAAGCATAAGAAGGGACCAGTGCTATATGAAAATCACCTAAAACCCGCAGCTACTCTAACATTTGATATGCAGACAAATATGCCGTATGGTGCACCGGAGAAAGGGAGCTCTATGATATGAAGCAAGATCCCTACGAGACCAACAACCTTTACAAGTCGAATAATGTTAATACCAAGCTTGTCAATCGTCTTGATGCTTTGCTCTCTGTTCTCAAAGCATGTCGAGCTCACACTTGCCGTAACCCATGGCCTGTAATCCATTCGAATAACACCCATGTACAAACATTGCAGGATGCTTTAGATGAAAAGGTAGTGGACGAAACATTATATGATACACATTTGCAAAAAGTAATTTTAATGCTGGTTGATAGTACGACGCCCATTATGAAAGCATCGCAAAGTTCAGTTTCACCAACTGCCTTGCATATTACTCAGTCGCAAATGAGCAGCATCCATTTGATACTGCCCCATTGGACGAATCTGGTGCCGCACTCGCAAAGCGACAACTGTATGTAGACGCTAAGGGTTGTCAAGCACGTTACGACGAAGTTCCCGACAAGGAAGTTACCCGGTTATTTAACCTGGTTCCACGATCTGACGATTCCGTTGGTCATACCATTCCTACAAATGAAGAGCTAGAGAAGAATGCTCATCCCGTGCCTGAAGAGTTAGTTAAGCGAGAAATCGACTGGGTCAAATATGGATTTTACAATAGATTTGGAAATTAGCAGGATTGTAAGATAGTAAATGATAATATTTAATAAGTAAATAATACGTACATAACTTCAAATAAATATAGTATATACAGTAAAACTTTGCCTTTAAGCATTTCATATGAGAATGCATATATAGCGCTGATATGAGTTAGAAACTTGCCCCACGCCTGAGTAGTGGTGAATTGGTGATACTATAAAACTATGGACGTCTGGATACATAAGACCGACCAAGACTTTGAAAGATTGCTTTGTCGTGGTTATATCGGATACAATATGATGGATTGCAACAGTAGTAAGTGTATAGATACGTTAAACTATTATATATTTACGGATTGGGTTTAACAAAAGAAAAATAGAACATCGTAACACGTCTTAGTACTATAATCTACTGAGGGAATTGGTTTTTGAAATAATTGTAGACTCTGTTGTACTGCTATTGTTGCTATGACAGCTATTTGCTTCAGTTTTTTTGTTCTTGGCTGCTGATCGGCTCCTCCAGTCCTTATTGTTTAACGTAATTTTGTGCACCATTGTATACTTTTGTGTTGTCTCATGATGCTGACTGAGGTGCTGCTGATCCTTGTTAGCCCCGATCTTGTCATCATCACTGCTATCCGCCTCCGCGTGTATTAATACATTCGTCAACAGGGCTGCATCTTCACAGAGTGCACCGACTAATTTTACCAGAATCTCCTCTAAAGTAACCATGCCAATTATAATTGCATCCTGCACAAAGGAAGGATAAGCAAAATCTCGTTGAGACGAACAAGACGTTAAGTACGATGCATCATCACGCATGTTTGGCACCATATGTGGATGATGATGATCAATTACTCCATTTGCGATCGTCTCCTTTTCATTTTGTTGCTGTCCGTCCTGCTTATCGACTCCTTTGTTGTCGTTTGTGGCAGACCGTTCATGGTGCCGAACCTTGCGGGTGATGCAGCATGACGTACAGCTCTTTTCTGAGCTTAATATCTCGCTACAATGATCGGACCGCGCATCGTTGATGTTATGCTCCCTCGATGAACAAGCGCATGATATAGGAGCAGCGTCCGAATCCGCTACTGCTGGGCCAACAGGCATAAACACCTCAGCCATTCGGTCTAGAAATTATATATAGCGGGATAAAATAGATTAACAAGCTGTGTAATTATTAAAGAATCACTTCTAATTACACAGACATACTGGTATCACTTTCAAGCATTTGCAAAAGTTTGATGGCCGGTGTCGATGAAGGTACTTGCAGAACAGGTTCGAGAGTAATCTTCCTTAATGGTGTCTTATCCGCTGGATCCAATACCGAAAGATACTATGTTGCATAACAGAAAAAGCGATCGATGATGTTAATAGCAACAATAATTGATTAAAAACAAAAGATGGTGTTTTTCTCTCGCTCCCCTCCCCTCGTTGAAATCTCAACTATCTGAGAATACGTTAGACCTTGGTTTTCAGAACACCGAGGATGATTCGGTGGGCTTCACCGTTAATGTCATCATCAACACCATCACTTGTCTTTCTATGTCTGTACACAGGAATAGCAGTGCATTCGCTTTGCAGGATGCTATTCATGATTTCATTGTCCAACTGTGTGTCAATATGAAGCATAAATGGCTGTCGAGCTGGATTCACAAGTTCGCCTGCTGAGAATAAAGACAAATCCAACGTGTTGCGAAGCACCTGTACTGTGCTGTTGTGTAAGGGACCACTAACATGTTGATCATTACACGGTGAAGAAGGCGGTGATCCACCATGAAGGTTGATCAGTTCTCGGAGCTCTTTTGAAAATGTATGATGTCTGTTTAAGCACATATCCTTCAATCGTACAAGGATGTAAATATATCCCTCTCGGTTTTCGACATACCCGCAACACCATATATAACGCCACTATTTTTGCCTAGTACAATATCCAAAAGCTTTGCAATAGGCCAAGCAAGTATGTACCAGAATCCAATAAGTATTCGTACAGGAACAGCAAAGAATGCGCCTATGGCGAGACCATGGCGAGAGCAAATGGCCTGCGGCAGAATCTCCGAGAAAAGGACAATAAGTACAGTAGAGATGATTACGGCGACATAACCTATCAGACCCGTAACATATGAACAAAGAAGAAACATATCATAATAAGTACATTTTGGTGCTGTATACCTTGTCCCAAAAGCACCGCTATTGTCAGCCTTAATCCCCGGTTTTTCGTAATAACATAATACATGCACACATGCCTTTGCCAAATAAGCCATCACAAAGAATAGGAAGCGTTTCGTTTAACACAGTGTTGGTCAGTAGCAATGCTGTCAACAACAAATGACCATTTTTTCGGATCGGCATAATCCGTGCAGCATGCTTCTGTTGCTTTGTAGTACCGGCTGCAGAAAGGATTGCCAAATTAGTCGTATCCTGCGACATCTAGTATAAGGGTAAACCAAAAACAACAGCTCAAAATACGTTAGTTATTTTCTAGGCACTATTGTGCACTTCGCAACTATTCATCTCTTTACCAAACCGAGTGTCAGTCCTAATATAAACGATCGATATTGGGAAAGAAGGAGCGATAATATTTAATTTCAGTAGACTCTTTAATTGTGAAATTCTCAATGGTTATGTTTGCTTGCTATAGTCACCGCTTACCTGCGACGATACCGCTGCAAACGACAAGAGCGATAATGGCTGCGATTTGTCCCCAAAACTCTGGTGAAGAGGCAGCAATAGGTTCATGATCACCAGCGGCATGTACACAGATTACATGTTGCTGAGGGATACTTGCCGCTAAAAGAATAAATATGACGGTTGTTCGCACTGATATGGATCTATGACTTGGAAAAGTGTTTGACATCTAAAAAAATTGGGAAGAAAAATCAAGAAGAAAGAAAGGGAGAAGAGAATGAAAAAGTTAAATGAGAGGGGTGAACATCTTTTTGAAATGTCGCTTTCTTCATATTTTTTTATCAGTCATCGGGCGTCACATGCTTTACTGCTTCACCCCCTCCTCTCTTACGTGCGCCTTCTTATGCCCTTTTGCATATTTCCAGAGGATTAGCAAGATCCTGCAGATGTCAACAATTTGTTTAGTGACAGCTCTCCTTAATCATCGCCAACAGTGTTTTCTTTAATTACAAAATTACATGTATACTGTATTTTGATTTTATACTAGCAATTAACGTGACCAAACGTCACTTTTAAATCTTGGATTATTAATAATACTTACATTCAAAAGTTCGAGTAAGTCGTGCTAATCAAGAACACTGGCTCGATCAGAATAATGAGAAAGGATGAGGTACGTAGGTGTGAGGCCAGACTGAGCAAACTTGAAAAAGCTATTATCCTAAAGAGTTATGCATCTCTTTTATTTACTAAATGGCGCCGCTTTATACCTTAATTATCTATCGTCTTCGTTTTAAGATATCTTCAATTGTGTGTTGTATTATTGTTAATCTAAGCCCGCAGTATGCTGAAGACAAATCCTGTTGAGCTCCTCTTTTACTGCCAATTTTCTAACTGATCCTCGATGTCGTGCAGTATATAATATCTTTTGTTTATCAAGTTTCATGACGATCCGTCATCATACTAAGTTTTCCCTTGCCAATGGATGGATTGCGAGTTTTAAAATAGACTGCCCGACCAGTGAATGTCTGCGAAGGAAGTATTTAACGATATTGTATTTAATTGTTGCATTAAATGCCAATGGTTACATACTAGTCATGGAATTCGTCAATGCCCACTGTAGCTCTCCAAATAGTCGATAATAGAATTTTACTTCGCCCTCGATAAAAACGTTCGCAACATCGCCTCGCCTTACATCAGACCGATTTCTTAATCTACTTATTCGTACATCTTGGTAATTGTATATGCATTAATAAATTGATTCGAATTAAGAAGAAGAGAGTAATGTATTATACTGCGAAATTGCGCAGCATCCCAGCTTAGACCAACGTTTCGGCTAACGCTTGAGTCTTCTACTAGCACTATCATTACTTCGTTATACTGATCTTTTTTTCTGAATACATGAATCCCTTAGGCTTATGTGGCATGAGATTTTATAAACGTATAAAGCGATGCATCAAGCACTCGGTGTTGAATGACCGACAGGGCAATACGAACTAGAAAAATGCTAACATTTTATGCTCTACTTCCTTATCGCACACCCTATGCCTACCTTGCCATTGCCAGTAGATTATCTAAGCTAAAGTAGTCATCTACTTATAGTAGTAATTAGAATGCTATGTAGACCTTTCGAGAATTTTCCATTTCTGCTGTGAATTGGCGCTCACTAAGTTCACAACTGAATATAGAGCTTATCATAGAAAGACATCTTCATCTGTTGAAAGCCGAAAAAAAAAGGTCGGGTCTTTGTCACAAAACGTATCCGTATTTCTTTCGTTTGGATTAAGCTGACGAACAGACTTCATTTTTCGTTCAACTCTCTCTCTTGAGAAGTATTCAAAGTAATGCATTTTTTTCAATAGGCAATGTTGCAGGAGCTCCTGCATTTATGAGGTGCTTGGTTTCCTGACGGACCCTCCATCATATTATTACTTGTCGCCGTTCCAAAAAGGAAGCCCGAATCAGAGTTGGTACAGATGAGGAACATCGGCTATAAGAAGCCCTTTGCATGGACCAAATAGGGGTTTGGGTCTGGTGATTCTCGCTTATCTAACAGAACGAAATGCCGATTTAAGCTGCATGTACCCGTACTATCGATTCTCCATTACAAAATACATAAGACCGGCCACACGGAAGGTCAATTGGTTCCATAAAATCTTAGACAGTGTTCTAGATCAGATATAAATAACATATTAAAGTTCTGCTGGTTATAATCGCTATCACAGCCATAGCCATTTGATGGCTTATACATGCCCGTCACTATATCTCTTTATGATTTCCGTATTTCCGTGACAACTGGGGAGTCTGTGTACGTTATTCGCAAGGGTCCGCGTTCTGCACATCATTTACATAATGGGTTGGGCTACATGATTCTAAACGCGGTGGAAGATAGCATGCACGCGGAATGAACCTAAGCTTATCAACAAAACGTATCTATACACATAAATGGGTAGTTTGCTGGTCTAAAGAAGGTGGTGCCACGAATTGTACCCATCCACAGGTGTATCCAGTTGTACCTTGAAGATGGAGGTTACTTGGCTGTTGGAAGGTTTTCACTGTCAGTATCCTTTGATAGTATTCTAGATATCCGAGCATTATCTCAAGTTTAAGAGCATATGCCCTTCCTTATATCAAGATATTCATGTATATGCTCCATTAAGAGTTGCTGCATAAATCTCCTTTATTTCGTAATTTTTACGCCATAGCCGAATGCAAAAAACGTTGCCAACAGACTAAATTGACATTTTGACAATCGGTTCCACCTTATTGCTGCAGAGATACGCTAAACGTTCTAACAATACATTCGCGCACTTTAATGCCTGAAGCAAGTGTAAGTCACCGTTACATTCAATTTTATTCTAGAAACCTTCACCTTCTAGCGCCATGCAAGTAGAAGACCATTGAAATCTATAACTATCAAAATAAACGAGCATTGTAAAAACAGAATTAATGAAGTTGCTGTTTCGTATAGTTTTTATTGTGGTAATTCGTCTAATTGATCCTTTAGCTGTGAAAGCCATACGGCCATGGCTTCTACAGACATGAATGGATCCTCTGAATTTTGTATTTTCCAATCCGTCTCCACCGTTTGAATAAAGGCCTTGTATTGATCGAGAATATTGGCCTGAATTTATCAAAGATATGTTTGAGTCATTATGGTAAGATCATTCGGTACTTTATATTTGTACCTTGCATTATATGTTGCTTTTCCTTTCACTCACCTGGATCGGTTTCATCAATATTTGCTCGATTTTATGATCATTTACATATTCACGGAACTTCTTAAGTACGAACCGTATTCGTTCCCCTGTTGATTCCATGAACTGATCTGCAGTTTCTCGAGCATCTGATTTCTAGTGAGCTATTTATATCATCCAATGAGTTTCACTTCACACTAACGCTTACCATTGGTAAAAGATTGATCTCGAACTTCAACATTGGCTGGTCGCGCAGTCGATACCTAAGGAAATCGAAATTAAAGGTTTCTGTTTATGAGTTAAAACATTTTTAAAAAATGTATCTTATTCTTTACCTTGATCATGAAATTTGTTAATGGCTCTGCAGCACCAAGGGCGCAGTCGGTAATAAAATCCTCACAGACACGCTTCAATTCTCGATCAATATCTCGCCTAGAGTCCAGGCTGATCTCAACCACCCGAGGCATACCCGTTTGTGCCAACCCAATCAATGCATTTGGATTGAAGATAAGAGACCGGTTTTGTTGAAAAGAGCTCAGCGTGTCTATCAAAATAAAGAGAAGATCATTAATACCAATGACGTTCGTTATCAGCTAGCCCAGAGCAATTTACCAGTTACGTGCGAGAAATCAAGTGCTTTGCCCGAGTGAATCAAGTTAGCCTCAAATGGCGCAAGTTGTTCCTTCAACACCAGCAAGTGTTTGATAAGAAATAGTTGACCATCCAGTCGAGACTAGCAAACAGAGTAAGCCTGCTATGTTTACCTAAAATGATAAATGATGGCACGTACTACACTTTACCTTCTTAGCAGTGATAGTTTCAGCAGCATTTCTAAGAGATTCATTACAAAGGGATACGGCGTCTTGAGCCAAATCTTCAAAAACCACAGTCTACGGCCAAGTTAGTTCGATACTTGTACAGACAAGCACACTCATTGTTTCCACGCTTCCGCCATCGAATGATACTAACCTGTACACAATGATACAGTTTGGAAAGAATCCACAGGGTTTTCTGTAAAGTAGGAAACCATCCACGCGTTGAATCCGTGCCTTGACCCAATGGTGAATCGGAAGTACTCACGGATAAATTTTGCTTCTCGCTTCGGTCCTTCATCGACTGCGTGTCTGATTGTGTGTCTTCTTCAATAGGCAAAGTTGCAGGTATCTCTGTATTTTGCAATGGTGCGTTTGCCTTGGACCCTTCCAAAACGATAGACGTTTTCATACTATTATCTGTTGCTAATTTGTTTTAGAAACATCATCAAAGAGAACGACGGAGCTTGAATGAAGTTATGCCTAGTAGACATACCTGGTGGTGCGTGGATTTCGTAGTCTTCTTGCTTAGGTTGGTATTTTTGTATGTCATTATCGATATATGTTTGTGCGCGAAAAACCAGACGTCCTTGCGAGTCCTCAAGAACGTTCTGGATCAAATGGCCGAACTCTAATTTTGGTCGACTGTCATTGTCGGAATGATCTCCTATACGTACATGGCACCAGGCGAGGTTCGTATCAGTAAGTGATTCCTGTGATACTCATGGCAACCGTTTGTTAGAGATCTTACCTTCTGTAAAGGTCTCGTCGCGCAAAACGTACATCTGAAATATGCTGCATAGTTCTGACAAGACGGATATGTTATTTTCATGGATGATACGTGGACGGAGATGATCGTAAAGATAACTTGTCAATAGATCAAGAAAAGAGCTAACAAACAGCATATTCAGTGGGACTTTTTGCAGTGTGCATATGAACCAAGTAGACATACACTTACTATAATTCATCATCGCCTGACCGGAAAAAGTTGTAAAATAAATTAAATTCGTCCATACACAAGTTCATCATGTATGCACATCCATTTCTAGCCTATATATGCAGTGTTAACACGTAATTCGATCAGTACATGGTATTCACTATTAGCACGTACGAATGCTAAAAGATCACCGTAAGGCCCAAGTTCTTGTGTTTTTCTTGAGATTACAGGGCCCAGTAGATTCTGCCTGGTTTGAAAATAGGCGTTGAGTGTATCCTGGTATAATGACTGATATCTATACAACAAAACCATTTAAAGGCCTAAAGTTCATTATTCATATCGAAAAACGCTTCAATTATACGTAGTTACATACTCTTTGTGACCTTCACAACGCTTTTCCAGCTCAATGCTTAAAGGTTTAACAGTCGAGGAAATCATGCGGAATTTGACGTAGAATAAGGTTGTTTGCTTACTCAGTGCAAGGGGCTGATCTGCTGACTGTCATATAAAAATGAGCGTTCTTCCTGCTACAAACTACCCAAGAGACTCAATTCTCCTTTTTTTAAAAGTATTTTCCGTACATTGGATGAAGTTTGCGTGTAGATATCGTATCCAAGGGACTTGATTGTAGTGATTAAATACATCTTTATCACTGTCATGCCACGCGTCATACATTGTCGGAATCGCATTAGATACAGCTCGGCGTCCCGGTACTTCAGCTATAGCATACAAACATCAGCTTACTTATATCATCATCAAGTGGATATTATCATGGGCTCCTTTCATCAAGCTATATTACATATGCTTTCTTACATGCTGTTGCATATACTCAATACACTCGTCGAGTTTCTGTAACATTGGTACAAAGTCGGGATGCAGACACACGTCGTCTCCAGGCGAATTGAACAGTTTTGCGATCGCTTCCAATTGGTTAAAATAAGCTAGTCGTTCTGCCAATGCATCGGCAAGTTTAACCAACCGTTCCTGAAAAAGGGTAATTTACCGTAAGATGATCCGCGCCTTCGTATCACCCACCGCCCAGTAAAACAGATACCCTCATCAGATTGCTAGTGAAGATACCTGTTCATTCAATAGTTTTTCGCATGCTGTTTGCAGCGATCGTGTCCGTTTCTCTACATATCCATATTCACTGTCAAGTTCATCAAACAATCCAGCCGTTGCTTTAAGATCCGATAGAAACTCGTCGCATGATTCTCGATACAAGGAAACTACAGAAAGATAGTTTCTGTATAAAATTGAAGCCTTCTTGTCAGCTGGTACATCACGATATGCATTTTGCACTGTGTGACATCTGAAACAATTGTAATTTACCGATAGACGTCTTCTTGATCTTTTTCCATCTCTGGCTCCATATTAGCGAACCAATCAAAAAACTGCTGCAAAGTTTCTATTGGTTTATCAGATCCGATACCGTGAGCCGACCGCGTCTGAAATTCGGAAACGGCCGCGGTTGTCTCGACCAAAAGATTTGTGCTCGATCGCGGGCGTGTTGTCAGCGCAGTTAGACGGCTCGAAAGCGCGCCAGCGTTCAACGACGTCAGTGCTGCATTCGAAAAAGAGTCTGGAGTTCGCACACCGGATGATGACTTTGCTAGAGCTGGTGAAGACGAGATCTATATGAATAACCAAGAATGGTTAGAAAGTTCAACAGGCACGATGAACTTCTTTTGTAGGTATAAGAAGTTTTGTTTCGATAATCACCCAATTGGTTGGTAGAGGGAGTTCTTCACAGGCATCTTGTAAATCGTATACGCTTTGCAATTCATTTTCGGTCAGTTGCGTCTTGAGCTCCCACTGTTCTAGCGAAATGCCCCCAGAAACTCGCGCCATTGACAAAAAGTAGGTAGCTTAAAAGGCAGGAGCTAATAAGGTGGTCGGAGTGCCTTTGATGGCACAGCGGAAGTTCCTGGGCTTACATTTTGGCCAATCAGAAGGCTGTATAAGAATCCTTAAAACAGCCAATGCAGCTTTGAATTAGCTTTTACGTGTAACACTTCAAAATACTGGTGCATGACATTGCTGAAATTTTAACTTGATCGAGTAATATGCCATAGTAGTGTCTCTAGTTGAAAGAACCAAAATGCATAATATCTACGACAACAATTGCAGGGGTTACAGGTGCAAGGACATTACTTTTATGCAATGCCATTTTAGAATGCGTAATGAATTTGCGCATAACTGATACACGAATAATCACTTACGTTTTGTTTGATCACTGATAGAATGTTTGGATGGTAGACTAAGTAGTAGTATGCTCTGTCAAAAGAAGCAGCGTTAAAGATAAAGGGATCCCTTTGTGTGCGATAAAAAGGAGTCCATTCTCTAGTTACCCAGTGGTCATTGATGAAACATGCTGCTGACGACACTAGTGAAAAAAGTAGCATACTGCACGACTCATCGAGACGTTGGCTTTTCTTCCTGCTTTTCTTCGCGCTTGCCCCGCATTCTTTGCCTTTTTTTTGGCTTTTTGTACGTATGCATTCATTAACATTCTGTCAGTGCAGTTGCTGTTTGATCGTCACGATTGGTGATTCTTTATTTGCAACCAATGGTTTAACGTTCTTTTCGCCTTTTTCTTTGTAGTCTTGTCTCTCGCTCTGTCTCTCTCTTTCTCTCTCTGTATCTGTCTCTGTCTCTCTCTCTTTCTCTTTCTCTCGGTCACTGACCTGCACAGGGTAGCGTCATGTGAGTTGTGCTTTTATGCTGTGAAGCTGTGTGAGAAGTTGTCATTCGTGTGAGAATTTATCAGTTCTGATGAATTTCTTCGTTATTATAATCGGTTGCATAGCCCACTAGTAAGGAGCAGGGCTCTGGTTGAGTCCTGCGTTGCCCGGCGGCGCCTTCACTCAGGTAAGTGCACCTGGCACGACGACAATTTCTAATCAACGACTAAACCCATTTTGTATTACCGCATAGTGAGGATGACGTACCCTGTAAGCAGTGTACGTAGAAAGCCATAAGTACTCTTGGGTATTTTTATGGGTTGTTGCTTTTTTATTCAGAATTACTGTTATTAAGCCCAGACATGTCTTACAGGCCCCTTTGATATATAAAGATTTATAAACTATTGTCATGCTGAACTTCCAGGCCATTTAAGTTCAGGTAGTATGAATTTGCGTGTACCAGCTGTCGTTGGTTTTGTGGCTATACCGAGAACGCCCCACATCACCTTGGTTTATCACCAGCCACAGTCTTGGGGTAACTTTAATAATCCGAGTGAAGGACAAACAACATAAGCCTGTATTGGACATTATTGTAGCAAAACATCTCTAAACTTTCTGCAGTCAGTGTAATTTCCTTGGAGCTAACCAGTAGTTCAAGCGTTAGACACATATTACAATTATTGCCATAATATCTTATAGCGGACTAGAAGCTAGCGAAGGTTTTCAATATTGTACATCCATGCGTTGCCAGAACTATATAAAAAACGGAGTTGCCTGTTTCATATCATTACCTATTGTAATGTTAGTTCATTTCTGGCGGCATTGTTTTAAGCATAAGTATTGCCATACGCTGAGCATGTGCCTTTTCCCAACATATACTGCCCGGCTCGGGATCCTCCATTTGTTTTAAATAATCGCAACCGATAATACTCATGCACGACGGTGGTAATGTTCTCTCATTATATTATGTGAGTATTCGATGATAATCGCTTACTGTAAAGTAGCAACATCAGTTATGATTATATTTGAAAATCTACTTCAAGATGAGTCCGTTGTATGATCATCTGGTCACGGGTTAGAAGAAGCATGTGTATACCATCCTCACAGCAAAGTTGCAGCACTTGAGTCGGCTTAAAAGACAAATATAATGGGTCCACGCCATGGGCGTAACATGCAATATTCTGCACACAGTACATGCAGAAATGGAGAAACACTAAACACATATTCGTGACCCCATGGACAGTCAAGAATGCTCGTCTGTTTTTACATAAAAAAGAACCACAATGAACCTACCTAGAGACAGAATTTATGTACATAATTACAACCGTTTTTTTAACATGGACGGCCAGTGAAGACACGATATTTTCTTTTTACGAAAAGAGGAAGAGGGACTGTAAGCTTCAGTGGTGTTCTTAGCAAAAGACACCCTTCGTTACTGCTCTGATCGTTCCCAATCCGTGTCGAATTTCTATATATGTCATACTTGTTTATTGTCAGGTACAATCATTGTTTTGTTGTTGTACCATTAATAAATATCTGATGATCTTGTATTCCTGTATGATGTATATACCATAGCAGAGCCTTTATTTTTTGTCGACTTGGCAGCAAAAACGAGGCAGCTGACATACAAACAATGGCGCTGTCGTAGCACCTGAGTAAACGATGTACTACATATACGCAAAGATATTGCATCCACAAAGTAGTAGTCTTGTTATGGTTTCGGGTGGCCAGGGGAAGAGGAACAAGAATCCCAGGAATGGAAATCATAAAGTCCGGTACGGCAACGAGTGCAGAGCGACCCAGGTGTGTGTGAGTTTTCACTACTTTTACATAATCGTGCACTCGTCTCCCTTTTTTTCCTTTTCTTTTCTATAAAAATGACGATTGACGACCGATGAAACCTCTTACATTGTTCAAGAAGAACAGCCTAGTTCGAAAATGGTCGATCAGACGTCAAAATAACAACAACAATAAAAAGAACAAACCGCCAAAGAAACAGCTGGCTGCACTCACCAAGGAACAAGAATCGGCAATGGCTTCATTGTCAGAATATGCAAGTCGGAATTTTGAGAATGCCATAGAAGAAGACAAATTACGTTCCTTGCTGGAAGACAATAACTGGAACCTGAAACGGGCCATGGCCGAATTAAACGATTGCGAGGAGGCGTACCACGGCTTGCTGCACGGACCTCCACCCGCGAACGAGTCGCTCCTTGGTTGTGAAAACGACGGTGGAACCAGTTGCTACATTGATGCTTTACTATTTGCAATGTACACTTCATTAACGGTAACAATAAGGGAAACGGTTTGTGGAGAAAGTATGTATGGTAAAGAGTAAGTTATATTGACCGCAGTGAGGGTATATTATCGTTACTACTAGGCTTTTGATCCATTACTCACAACCGATACATCTTCGGGCCAAGCAGCAAAACGAGACTTGCAGACATCGCTACGACTTTTTGTAAACATTATGCGAAACGGCCAACTCGTTAAAAAGCATATTGTGCGACGACTGCGCAAGTCATTAGAAGAGGCAGCTTGGCGAGGAAGGAATGAGCGAGGATTTTGGAAACAAGAGGATGCAAGCGAGTTGCTCCTGTTCCTGACCGAGACCTTTGATCTTCCATTTTTGCCAGTAAGTGTTACTTTCATTTACTTTCTCCCTATTTTTTAGGATCCTCATTGACCTAGGGTATGGGATGTGGGGGGGCTCGGAACTTTTATTAGTTCCAAATGCGGTTATTTCATGGTGCAAATAGGGACGTAGACGACGATCGTGTAACGACAGACCGAGTTCTTTCGCTCTCCATACCGTCCGACACGACAAAGGTTCTTCGTCTTGAAGACATCTTGTTCGAACATTTTTACAACAGCATAGTCACAGGCGTCAAGCGACAAGTAGACTGGCACGAAGCACAGAGTCACTCGCCTCCTGGTTCACCCACCAGTGCCATCAGCACATCTTCGATCGCCAAGAATAATATCATCTTCAAAGAGCATCAACGGCAGCAAGAGATAGCAGTTAATGCGTGGCAGGTCCTCGAACTTTTACCTTTTTACAGCGGCATTAGCGAGCAAGGTGTACGGATCGAGTCTCAAAACCAGGGGGCCTTTCCGGATTCTCGTATGGTGTTACCGATCATTCTCAAACGGTATCGATGTACGGCTCTCGGTCGATACATTAAAGACCAGCGAAGCGTTATTATACCTCCAGATATCCATTTCAACAAATTTCTGAATCAAAATGCAGAAGACCCTGTTTGTGATACTTGCGGTCGGAAGGTTGAAGGCGTCATGCGGCTGCGGAGCGTAGTCTGTCATAAAGGCAGCTCGCCTCATAGTGGCCACTATATAGCGTACTCAAGAACTGTAGATCGTGATAATGAAGTCTGGTTGAAACTAGGCAAGTTTTTTTTTTGGCTAAATTGGGGAAGGGACTCGTAGTAGTATCAAAAATGAGTGTGACCTAATGCAAACTTCCCTGCTCCTTGTAGATGATATGGTCTATTCAAACAGGGTTAAAACGCTTACTGGACGCCAGCATGAGCAAGAGATTTATCGCGAGCTTGGGAAGGACGGCTATCTGTTTTTCTACGAGTTAGACAAAGCCTGTGACCATCCGGCTGAAGAGAAAATGGCTCGCGATGATGGCCGACGAGCTTCGAGCAGCAGCAGCGGTACGGATAAAGATGAAAGAGCTGGAATATTGCAAAAGATCCATTATGCTGAGGAGGAGAATTCAGCACCCATGTTGAACCCTGCGCCACCATCCCTCCCACGTCGACATGCACCTGTCGTTCCACCGGAGCTACCTCCTAGATCACCACCAGTGCCTGTACATGACCATGATAATAAGCCAACACGTCCATCCTTAGATCCTGTCGAAGATGCAGCTACTACTGTAGTTACAACACCGCCCCCTGCTGATCCACCACAAACCCAGAGGAAGTCGATTCGAAGAAGCAAAGACATCTCGTGCAAGACTATGTAATTAATGCCACAACATAAAAAGAAAAGGCCAAAATAAACGTGTTTCACAATAGACAAATCACTATTATTTAATTATATAATGTACAAATATAAGCGTTTACTTGCTGTATTCATACACACCCGCACCGCTCTTTCTACCCAGTTTGCCTTGGCCAACGAGATCGTCTAGGGTCTTGGATGGAGTGACCAAAGCTTCTTCGATCTTCCCTTCTTTTGCCCAACCATCAATAATAAACTTCATGGTATCTAAGCCAACAAACTGTTTGATATCGCTAGTTAGCTTTACTTCTCCCCTTCGTTCTGTTTCTTCCCCTAAGCACCTTGCATCAGCTTACGTCAGCAAGTTCAAGAGGACCCATTGGCATGCCAGCGCCCAATTTCATAGCCACGTCAATATCCTTTGCTTTTGCGTCACCGCGATCCAAGATTCTGAAGGCTTCCATCATATAAGGTACCAACAATCGGTTCACAATAAATCTATTACAAAGCCTTTTTCAGTAAAATACTTTCTTTCATCATCTCTGGCACCCATTTCTAAAAATCCCTACTAAGCAGGCTTACCCGGGTGTATCCTTGCACTCTACAGGTGTCTTACCGGTATTTCTCGAAAAGGTGACCAGAGACTCGTAGACTTCGTCTTTGAGAACGTCTGTGCGCACGATCTCAACCAACTTCATGGCAGGAACAGGATTGAAGAAATGTAGACCGGCGAATCGACTCTGGCGATCAGCAGAAGTGGTTTCAGCAATCAAGGTGACAGGCAGCGAGGAAGTGTTTGAAGCAAAGATGGTATCACTGGGCGCGGCTTGATCGAGGGCCTTGAACAAGGCTTGCTTGGTGTCAATGTTCTCGACAATGGCTTCGACAACAAGATCGGTCGCGCTGACAGCTGTTGGCGCATCCGTAGATACAGTGATATTGGACATAGCCTTGTCGATGAAAGCTTGCTGCTCGCTAGTATTTTCTTCGCCAAACTTCTTTTTGGCAACACGCTTGATGGACTTGGCAATGATTGACTGGCCATTCTTTAAAGCAGCATCGCTGGTGTCAACCATAGTGACGTTATAGTTGGATTGAGCGGCAACTTGAACAATGCCCGAACCCATGAGACCAGCACCAATGACAGTTACGCTGTTAATATGCTTGAGCTGGCGAGCACTGCTCGAGAACGCGGCTTTTTGAATATTGGCCATAACGGAGGCGCGCATGCCGATATTTACCAACATCTTCATCTTTTTTAGAGAATTGTGTATGTAAGTGATGGGTGTGAGAGAAAGAGCAGGCTACGGAAAAACGTATCATGTTGATGTTAGTGCAAGTTGTGCTATATTCACATGTTTCTCCCACGTGAGCCCAATTCCCTTTCGTGTTCTGCCTATTCCCGTTATTGTGCAACCTTTTCCCTTTGCCGTGCTGTCAAAACCTAGTCTCTTATTTATCGGCAAAACAATAGGTAAACTAGCAACCTCATTACTCAATAGCCATTATAATATAGCACTTCTTTTATTGACTGCAATTTTCCACGTTCCTACCTTTTTATACTGTTTGTATCAGCGATCTACTTTCTCTTCATGATCACATCATGTCTATTATGTAAAACTATTCAGATGATTTCTACAACGCTAAAAATTATTGATATACTGGAGTAACATAATTGGCAAAAGTGCGTATGTACTGCACAGAAAGAAAAAGACATTGCAAACAAGCTGTTTGATTCTATTTAAAATTGAAAATAACTGACAGGTTTATGCTGTATAATCTATCAAGTTCTACCATATTGTTTATGTTGCATACTACCTGATGTAGTATGATAATGTCATCTAGAATAAAGCACGGGCACTATTGGTAGGTACGATCGTCCTTTGGCTTCAATAAAAAATTCTCCATGTATCATAAATGTCAGAGAGAAAGTGTGAATATCAAGAGGAGATGCACTACAGATAGATATCATCATATTATTTACGACACTGCGTGCGTTTGGTCTATGCAGCAGCTAGATGAAAAGAATGCCACAATCCCGTTCCGGATCTTGCCCTGCATATGGAACGATAAAATCTGAAACCAACAACGTATCAATAAGCAAAGAAAGTTTTCTTATCTTCACAAGATATACCACACTGTAATAAGATACCAGCATCCCTTTTTTTCCGTATGTATCTAGAAGTATAATTATAATAGCTGGTGGCAGCAGGTACCTAAGTTTTTCAGGGAGGAATATGGGAAGCCAGATCCAGGAGCTTGAAACTTGCCTCGAAATTGATTCATTTGGAATCTTTCGTCATCCTGGTTCCCATTTTGTCCACCACGCCTGACAATGTAGATAAGAAATTTTGGACGGCTGCACCCTTTTTGGGCAGATATCAAAAGCAACCGATGAAGTATTCGGGGCATACTAGATCCACCGCTCCATCAGCTGTGTGTAGGTGGAACAACTCATATTGTATGGTGTGATTGTTTCTGAGATTGTAGTATTGTTAAATGCTGAGGCGTAAAAAGCACAGATGGTCGACGAAGAATTAAAAAGTGAATGGGCGGCGTATGCGCGGAAAAGATAAGAATCAACAAATTAGGTAAAGTAAAACCGCCTGGTGCCCCCCTCCGGACCTGACAGAACCAACAGCCTTTTCCATTAATAGCAACTGCTCCAAACTGGATTGTGTGTGTCTGTGTGGATTGATGTTTACTTGTTTATGTGTTTCGGTGTGGGGGAATACGTCCTGTACGCATAAACATGTTTACGTTGCCCACTATCATATATGTACGTATCATAAACAAAAAAAAAACTGATAATCTTTTGAATGCGCTGCCGAAAGGGCAAACCCGCACTCATGCTATTATTCTACCAACTCCATTGCTTCCCATGTGTATAACAAATCAACTTAAAGCAAAAACAGGATTGACGCATATAAATACTTGCCAGCCCTAAATGCTCAGTTGCATCAACGTTCTTCCTCCCTTTTCTTTCTTTGCTCTCTCTTCGTTCTCATAACATATAACAACTTCGAAAATGGTCATTTCGCTTTTGCATGTTCTTCCACCGGTGTCATCTCATCCACAGACATGTGGCCACGATGATAACGGCAAGGTTATTGATGAAAAACGGTCATTCATTATGTCAGCGGCATCAGTCCAGCAGCAACATCATCTTAATAAGGGTCGTCATTCTCACCGTCAATGCCAGCAACAGCAGCGTACATCGGCAACGGCTCGTGTAGCAGGGCGTTCGACTTCGGCTGATCCTTTTGTACATGCAGAAGAAACATGGACTACATTCAACTCAGCAGGTTACTCGATCATACTGCAGTCAATTCGCGACGTCCTCTCTCTTTTGACCGACAAGAAGCAACGCAGTGCTGATACATCTACCTCTCAGCAGCAGCAAAGGACGACGAAAGCTGCTTCTAATACAACAACAACAACGTCCGATCAAGTATCTTTGACAGCAAGGGAAAGTTTATTCGCCCCCCATTGCAGCAAAACTGACGAAGAAAATAATAAAGATCGTAGTCAAGGAAATTATAACGATGGCAACGACGCCAAAAACAGCTTACCATTATTAAAGAATAACAGTGCAGAAATTGCGCTTGGTGATGGTCGTAGCAGCAGCACCAGTACCAATAAACAGCGAGATGAGGTCTTGGCCACGACAGTACCTTTATGTCGAGAGACATCTTTAAAACCGGCCAGCAACGACAGCAGCGATACTCGATGGCTGTGGTCCATGACTTCCAAAGCTAAGGCTGATGACAGAGGCGACCTCCCGTTAGCCATTCAGCCAGGCTCACCAGCACAACAAAAGCAGCCACTTTGGTCCCTCACACATTCTTATGTTCGTGACACACGAGTCAACTCTGATGAGTATCGAATGCTATCGGCTGAATGCAGCATGATACGGGGCTCTAAAATTACTCGGCCACTGCGGAACCGCCGTTATCACCAGAGGCGCGAAGATGACTTTGTTTGGGGCCGACGGAGCTGTTTGAGGATCGTCCGTGTGGGGGAGGGAACACAAACAACGACAAACACTGGAAAACAAATGCAACAGCAACATTGATTCTTTTATCTTTTCTCCTTCGCCCCAACCTCATTCGCTCACTCCCTCCCTTTTCTATCTAAAAAATCATGCTTCTTCTTTTCTCGCTCTCGCATATAGCCACTGAAACATTTTATTCATGCATGTGGAGCATCACAACCTTGTACGCTCGTCATTGCTCGTAATTATCGCTCCACCTATCATCCTCTTCCAATATTCACTCGCTTTCACAAGTATCGCATATTGTTTACTACATATTGTTAATTTTATTTTGTTGTATATGCACTCGCAACCCTAAAAGATAGTCATTTTGTACAGCCCTCTATTAACTACAGTGCATGAGTTATTCGTATTTTGTGGTTTATGAAGGGGAGAAGCGAGATGGCGCGGTGTTCAGTTCTTTTATGTAATCATTTCATCAAATCTACAGTACGCAGCCCATGCACGTGTGTGGTTTTTATGTCTCTTTTGCGGAATGTATAAGCAGACCTTGTTTCAGCAACAAACGCAGATGTTACGCAGTTCGAGGTCAGAATCAGAAAAAGTCATTTCTGTCTACACCAATGGTATTGGCGTTTCCAACAACGCTAACCTACAACACAAAGTTACGGTTCCGAGCTTTTTGCCTTCTCCCAACATCACTCTATTGAAAATAACCCCAGAAAAAAAGGCTATAGCTGTTGTTGTGATGGGTCCTCTAATAGTTACTCTTTGTACAGGCCTCCAACACTAAGCTCTTTGTTTTTTTCGCCTCACACCTCGGTCACGGCTTCTTTTGAATAACTATAAAATGCACCAGCATACTGCTTTGTTTATTACGAAAACTAGCTCCATACATACACTGTAGCCAAGTTGCCATATCTGGCTATTCGTTATCTCCAAAGCTTCCTAATCTTACTATAAATTTTTATGCATTTACACGCCCATTTGTTTTCTCCCGCAGATGTGATAACGATGATGCTGAAACGAATCCTAGTTTATAAGTTAGTCATATGTGGGCCGATGGACAATGTTACATATAAAGCTTTTTGCTATAAAGCAATACTGACTGTGTACTATCTGAATCCTGAAGTTTGCTGCTGCGATCTATTGAATCGAGCAGTGGACTTCGCTGAATAAAGCCTTGTCACATATAGTCCTTTGCTCCAGTTCTACCAACAACATTTTGGTACGAAATGCTACATCATTAGCACTATTTTGTATCCTAACAGCAAATGAATATAGCAGGGTCGCTAGAGGTAATCTTTATGTGGGTGCTGACGAGTCAACGACATGAGATCAAGGATAGTGATGGATGCACATATACATGTGATGTACACTGTTTTAACTACATACCCATGACAAACAGATAGAAAGCATTGAAAGAACTTCAGAAGGATGTGTATACAAATTTTTCTATGACTGCGATGATGATAACGGAAATCCAGGAACATGGTCACCGTATGTTGTTTTATTGTGTTTTATAGTACTTTTCACACTGTTTATACACTAGCCTGTGCTTTTCTTGCAACAGCGTCTTTTAATAAGCTCATAGAAAATTACTGACATCAAATATACTGTAAAACGGCGGCCCTGGGTCAATAATAAAATATATCTGGGAGAAGGGTGGGATGAGGGGAATGGATAAATGCAAGACCATTTTAGTAACAGACACTTCATCGCACTTAGCAGCATTCTGTTTTGTTGTATCGGAGAAATGCATTTTTTTGCTCCAGACGAACCGTTATCTCTTGTCAGAGATTCATTATCTCATGTATTTACTTGTAGCAGCAATTATTAGAGACCTTTCCAACCCGTCGGCGATAAAGTTCTCCTCCCCCCACGGGAACCGGGGAGAAAAAACAACAACATGATCAAACTATTTGTGGTCAGTCATCATAGTGTTATTATTGGTAAAAAGACATGTCTGCCTCTTCATCTTTTGACAATCACATCGCTAACTGCTACAGAAAGGGCTTTCTTTCAACTGCAGTCCACTTATGAGAATTTAATCGATGTTTTTCCTTTTTATGGGCTTCAGATAATGTCACGATTAATCATGGAGCCTGCTGGCTGCCGTTACTTTAGTCTGCCTTCTTTCTTTTTATTCGTGTTTGATGCTTTAGCGCGCGTGGTTAGATAGCTCTGTGAAGATGCGATGTAGGACAAGAATAGCGCTGCTATTTTGTTGATAGAGTGTTTTTTGACGTTCAGTTGACGGGTGGCAGTCGGTGACAGCACGACTTATTGCTCTTCATATGATAGCGTTGAACAGGACTTTAGCGGTGCGTATGGTATGAGCACGATTCTCGCGGATATACGAAAAAAGAAGAGAAATCTATGGAGATGATCAGATGCTCCTTATGGTTATTCAAAAAACTGTACGGCAGCCAGGTCTTCTTAGTCGCATCAATAACCTCCCCTGTAGTATATGGCTTGTATATACTTTCTCAAAGTATCAACAAGTGATTATGTATAGTACCTTCGACAATACTGCTTCTCCCTCCGAGCAGCATAGTTATCTTCAACAATAAAAAACTTTGTAATCATTATTGCCAAATGTGTCGTGGCTCTTAAATCCACCGTCGATAGCGCCAATAATTATGCTTATATAAAAATTACGAAATATTCTTCGATCCGTATATGGCCAGTGACTCACCATTAAACTCGTGATGAGCCAGGAAGCACGGAAACGTTTTAGAAGTAATTGGAACTTTGCTCGTCTTTTAGCTATCTACTAACGCTACGTACTCGCCAAGGCCAGCTAGAAACACGGTGTGAAGGCTAGAGCGTTCTCAAATGGTGAGAAAACGCATTAAAGGTTTGTTAGCTGACAGTGTAAGTCTTTAATCTGTAATATTGTAAGCGAATGCAATTGTCGATGGTTCTCGTACGACTTGGTGGTAAACATGATACGGATTTTAGGTGCGATATAAGAGGGCGTCCGTAATATTATTTGCTGTATATCAGTCAACTTTACTTTACCCAACTTCAGCAAACTAATCGATGTCGGATGCAAAATCCTATATACGTCAAAGCGATATGTTGCTGTGGTAAACCACACTACTTCGAGATTGATCCGGACAACTCAACCCACTCCGCCGTCTTCGTAACTACTATAATGCAGTAGAGGGAACACCCCACACACGGATAAACCAATATAGATTATACATAAGCAGCACCATATCAATAATTCCTCAAACATGGGCCACAATCGAGAACAACTCAGAACCAACCATTGTGTAAACATTGCTCTGTTCTCGAGATAGTCAACACTTCCTTTCGATCTAAATATATGAATTGAGTGAATCGTACGTGTCAAAAAGCATGAATAAATTCCAACACAGACAAAAATGACACTACATCAAGGAACACGCTGCTCAAGGCAAAGATAGCTCTGTACACTCGGAAGACAACATCCATCATCAAGGCATCCAAACTCCACCTTTCCATTCTTCCTCGTTTTGAAAGATTCCAATATCCGGCGTGTCCCCGATTTTTTCATCAGTTCATTCAAACGGAAGTCTCTACAGCATCTCCAACAGTATATAAAGAATCGTGAACTCGTTCAATAAAATCCATCTGATATTTGACTCTCACTGTAATTTCATACTGTATTTTATTTTCTCTTTTATTTAATCTCTTTCTCTTATCTCTTTCCTATTAACGATCCATGTTTATCACAGTTATGGCATTCTGAAAAGTAATGGTCTGTCCTCCCGAAGAGTACACGCATTGATACAACCCAGTCGGTGTTGGTTTTGTGAAAAGAGATGAGGCGTGAATCCGGGTTTCTAGCTACGCCCTAGAGATCAGAACACCGAAACTGTGGCACTGTTCTGCACGAATACTTGACATCGGTTGACCGATAGCAAGTGCTATTTGAAAGGACAATAAAAGGGCTCAAAGAAGCACCACCCATAAATAGTTCGCGGGTTCAAGTTTCTTTACTACGATATCATCTTGCAGGGCACACAAGCGAATTACACCGAGTGTTCAAAAACTATCTACAACCAGACAAACACAGATTATTTATTTTAAATCCACTTTATCCAGGTTTCAAGAACATTTGATTTAACTGTTTGTTTCGTGTCACGCTTAAGGTATCGCTATATCTCGAACAGATGAATAAAATTACAGTAATCAAAACAACAGCCAACAGGATGCTGATAGTGGTGTATGGGATGTTAATGCGCCTATTACAATTATTGTTGCATGGCGATAACTCAAGGACTATCAATGCTGACGATAATAGCTCAATTACAGTAATCCAACAACAACACTGCCATCATTAATCACCAACCAGCAGCAGCATCACCAAGAAAGAAGCGTAACCATACCATCACTTAATCTTGTTTGCTTATCAGCAGCTACGTATATTACAGATATCTCGACATCCTGAAAGCACCCGTTTTAACTCGTATTAGTCTTTAGTCTCTTATATAAGCTTCTTGCTACCTTGCTGGGTTGTGATAAGCTCTGAACACTTGCAAAAGGTTACTTGGCAAAAGCCAATATAACTACATACGAAAAGGTTATGTTTGTTTTAGATGGAGTTAGCAGGTTTGCAGCCTTTTAAAGTAAACTATATATCGTACTACTTTCATCTCTCGTATACACATTTTCATTCATCAGCTTCTTTAGTGTGCGATAGAAATGATACCCTCTTTTTGTGGGCTTCTGTTTTCAAGCACTGGAGACTACGCTGTACTTGAATACACTCAGGCTATATTATGCTTTCAAAATATGGACACCTGCTCTGTGTACTTAAATTGGTGTCCGATGACCATTCTTCCTATGATGACACGATCAGCTACATACCTCCTCACTAGTTCATTACAGAGACCTAGTGCATTTAAAGTAACATATATTTTATTCTCAAAGTGACTGAATGTTATGATAACTTCTGATTGATGTATATATATTAGTATGATATTACTACTTTGTCGGTTAAGCAGGACGATTTGTCAAAGAGCATGTTTGGAAAGAGCTAAAGCAACAATTCCAGCTTATGCTATTGGGTTAATACGCAATTGAATACTGCGCAGGCCCCAAATACCGAAGCGCTTGATGTATTTGATTGATTCTCCTTCATCGTTTCTTAACTAATCACCCAAGCCGAAAGGCCCGCATGTATTGACGCAAAGCAAAGCGGCGGGGCTCACGACCGAAGAAGATGCGTAACCGCACAAGACCCGTGGTTAAATGGTAGTGCTCTTTTCTGCTTTCAAAAGCTATATATAATATCGTGTCAGTAAACGAAGGTTTATGAGTCGTGATGGTGAGCAGCGCTGCTTCCTTGTTTTCATCCATGACAATATATGCGCCTAAGCACCTCTCATCCAGGAAACGAAAACAGGTGCATGCTCTGTCTTTCTGCTGCTGCTGCTCTTGTGTCACGGCCATCATATACTGGATCGGAGGGAAAGCATCTGAGTGGAAGAAGGGGGCCTCGGAGAACCTAGTAAGGAAAGAATCAATTGGTAGCTGTGTGCGTGCACAGCCTGCTCTGTGTAAAGCGTGTACCTTTTTTCCTTCTTTCTTTGGTGAAGTGCCGTTTTCACTTAATGTGTATATAATAAACAGGAACAAAAGATGGCTGAAGTACCTACCATTTCTATAACCAATCCCGAACTCGAGAGTCAAGACTTGAACATGACAAGTCCAGTGACGCCTTCACCGCCCGGATCGCCCACTGTCTTTGACGTTGTAAAAAACATGGAAGCCCTCGATAGGGATGATATGTATGAAAACGACCCAACAGCAGCCGATTTCCCGGAAACACCCACACCTACACCCAATCACGACCACACTGCCGATAAATCGGATAGTCAGGTCGCACCAGTTTCTCAGGAACAAGAACAACAACACCAGTCGCCGCATCCACCAGAAGAATCAACGCCAACAACTGAATCTACAACTCCTACAGTAACCGAAAGCGATCCACAAGATCAGCCGTCTCTAAACGTTCGGGAATTCTATCAAAACAAAGCAATTCTGCTTACAGGTGCAACTGGCTTTGTTGGCAAAGCGTTGCTGTGGAAATTACTCTCACTCGATGTACGCAAGATCTTCATTCTACTGCGAACAGGCCAACGCCGACCAGGTTCAGCTTTTCAGCGTATCAAAGAAGACATATTGACCAATAAGGTACGTTGTAAGAGGGGGCGTGTGATGATAGAGGGCTGCAAGGAGAGTGAGGAGGGTCAGAAGGGGTGATGATACAAAGCCTGGGCCATCTATTTTTTTTATTATGCTTGGATGAGAAAAGAAGCTGACAAGACGAGGAATTATGTGTTCCAGGCATTCGTGGCGTTACGCCGATCCATGGGACCAACATTATTTGATCGAATGATAAGGGATAAAGTATGCGCAATGGAAGGCGACTTAGCCATGCCAGGGTTAGGCCTATCTGAAGAAGATCGCAAGACGTTGGTCAAAGATACCAATATCGTTTTGCATTGTGCTGCGACAGTGGATGGAAATGAACGTCTTGATATGGCAGTCAAGGTAATTTGAAAAAATTAAAAAAAAGGAGACAGGGAGACGCGAGGAGGGTTTCGAGAAAGTTTTCATGGCAAAACAAAACTAATTTTGATATCGATAATGGTGATAGGTCAATGTGTTAGGAACGCTTAACCTTATCGAATTGGCAAATGAATGCATGACACTTACAGCCTTTATCCACCTGTCACCGCTGCAAATGGCGCCTGGATCATCCGCATTCGAAGATCGTCTATTGCCTATACCCTCACAAGAGTCGCCCCACGTCATTCTATCTACTATTTTGTCCTCTAGTTTTGAAGGTATGATATACGTTTGCGAGCTTCGCAGCAAGAGAAAAGAGACTGACTATTAATGATAGATCTACCTGCTATTTTCGACGATTACAAACGATACTATCCCGACACTTACTTGTTTTCAAAATCCTTGGTCGAGCATTTGATTATAAGTGAAGTGGAAAGAAAGCGGAGCAACGGAGGATATCAATATCCAGTTGCGATTATGCGATCCAGTCCCATAGGTCCCAGTGCGAACGAACCTTTGGTTGGATGGGTTTGTATCGTCTTTTCCGGTGTCTTCCCACTGCTTATCGACAATGACTGGAAAAACTAACAAAAGCGTACCATAAAATTACAGGCAGATGGCGTCAATGGCGCCAACGGTACATTGTTGCTTACAGGGCGGGGTGTAAGAGTAATACAGCCAGGAGGCGGTAATGCGAATGCTGATATCGTACCTGTCGATTTCGTCGTACGAATGATACTTGGATGCGCCGTCAGCATTACACCACCATCATCTAGTGCTTTTGATACGCCAATCCCAGACGTAGATGCATTCAACGAACAACGTAGCAGTACACCAACGCCATCCACGGTATCATCACCAACCAACTCAACTGCACCAGCAATAAGAGACTCAGGGTCATCTGCCGAAGAAGCAACGTCAGTAAGCCATATGTCCATGGAAAGCCGTGCTTCATCAAAAACCTCTGTACGTCCGTTGAGCATTGAGGGGCCTATGGGTGCCGTGTTTCCATACATGTATCATATCACAACTGCCAACATGCGATGTTTGCCTTGGCGCATTGCTTATGAACCTATCCGACAATATTGGACAAAAGCAACCAAGATCAATCTGCCTCCCGCACAAAGCTACTTTACATCTAGCGCCGGCGGACTCAATCGAGCACGCACGGTGATGAACTCCATCCGATCGTATATGGGCAACAACGGCAACGTACCACCTACAGCATCAACGTCATCCGATCGCACGAGGAAGAGAAGTTCACAACAACGACTTAGTAGACAGATCGACAAGGCGACAAAACTGTCATGGACAATGAAATCGTTCTACAAACCATCCTCCAACAACGCTGTCGATATAAACGCCGCCGGTCTACGACGCCATTTGCAGTCGACAGAACTTGATCCATATTGCTTGGTACCAGAAGATGCTGACCACAGTTTTTGGGTCAACTATTTTCTCAACGCCAGTTACGGTATCCATTATTTCATTCACTTAGAGCCAGATCTGCGTTTGCCTGTCCCACTTTCTGGATGGAGCTGTGCGTTGCAATCATACGATTATGTACAAGGCAATGACAGTGTACGACTGATTGATCGGCCCGCACAAAGTGCTGTTTTTACGGCAGATCAAATTTCTCGACGTATTGGAAGAATGGTTGCGCAAGTCAAGGATGCACTTGAAACAAACGCAGTGTCACGAACACCACAGGATGATGAACGGTGGTTAGGCGACATGGATGATAGCTTGGATGACTGGTGTCAGGATGGTGCTGTGTTCAATTCGGATAAAGAGATACGCATGGTATTGGGTAAATGGCGCAAAAAGGTTGGAAGTAATGACGATCGCGTCAAGATTGTCGTTTTGAACGATAAGCGTGTCAATCAAGCCATCAATCAGGTAAGCAAAGCAGAGATATAGTATACACCGGCGTCTATGTGTAATTCGCTGTAAAGCTAACCAAGTCCGCGATAATACATATAGATCACAGTGAATGCGGGCGTACAGAAACAGACTGCTGTGAATGAAGCTATGGTATGATTCGGTATCATTATGTAGGAATGATACAAAAAAACTGATAGTGCTTTGTTAGAAAATTCTGGTGCGCATGAGTGAACGAACACAACTTCAATTCGTCTGGTTCGCAAGCTACTTCTTAAAGAACCTCTTTGATGACATGTTTGATAATGTCCGCATTCAAGAAGAGAGCATTCGTCGAGTAAGTCATTGTTTGTACAATTAAGGATATTCGCAGTTGCTAATCGATAAAAAGATTCGAGCTGCTACCTTAGGCAAACGTGTCGTTTATGTGCCTGTTACGAAAAGTATTCTGGATCCGCTCTTGGTATGGTACATTGCTATTCGCTATCATCTGCCTGTACCTGCATTCGCCTGTGATGAAGGTACGGATAGTTTAAATTTTTGCATATTATTTTTCGTGCAGCAGATAAAGTAGTAGTGGCGACAGTGAAGTTAACGGAAATGTATCAACTATGCAGCACTTGCACAACTTGGGCCCATATCCGACATTTACCGTCTAGCAGGTGCATACTATATAAAGCGAGACAGACAGAAACGCTCACCACTTAACACTGCTGTCATGGCTGCATATACTCAAGTTCTGCTACGTGAGCACGGGGCACTGTCGATATACATGGAAAAAGCACGAAGTCGAACCGGAAAATATCAAGAGCCTTATGATGACGGACTCATTGAGATGGTTGTTGAATCCACCCTGCAATCCAACCAAACACGGTCACCTGCAGTATCTCGCGTTGCAAGTCTTGAGAGCAACAGCAACAGCAGTCCACCTGCATCACCTGACACGCCGAGCTCCATTGGAAGCCCAACAATGAGCATTGACAGCTCAACAGGTGGCAATGGATTCACACGCAAATCGGCCCACAAGGACGTGTTTATCGTACCTATCAACATTACATACGAGAACATGCCCGAATTACCTTATTTGCTGGATGAATTATTAGATCAGCATCAGCCAGCCTCGGTAAAACAATCAAACGCTCCCGCGCCTCCAATGCAAAATGTGATGCGTCCAAGTGAGGCCAAAGATAAGCGAACCAATGCTCTGAATGGACCCGACGTTCAACGAAAATTTGGTCGTGTTTTGATGGGTATTGGCCCGCTCGTGAGTGTGCAGGATGCTGCCGAGGAACTGCAGCGTTCAAGCAGGTAAGATTTTGTTGAGGAAGGGCGAATTAGAGCAATATAATGGTGAAATGGGATACTGATTCATTGAAAATTTGAAAAAATCCGTAGTGGCTCAGTCGTTGATCCCGCAGAAGAATCGATGCTTGTGAAGAAAATTACCGAGGAAATTCAGACGAATCAACGCAAGGCATTGATCGTATCACCTGTATCACTTGTGGCTAGTATTATTCTTTATGGTCGAGCTACTGGTGGCGTCTGCTTTGGTAAAATGAAAGATATGGCAGAATGGCTCCGAGCTGAAGTTATCATGCGAGATTTTCAAATTGATTGGCAAGGTAAAAGACAAAGAAACGATGTATGCCTTAGATTTCTGTAATGATTGACGTATCCATATAATATTATAGAGGGTGAAGATGTGGATGCAGTTGTTTTGTATGCGTTCCGCCTGTTGGACGAAACCAAAAACATCATTGTTGAAGGCAAAGAGATTACGGATGATACAAATATCCGCGTGAATGATCACGCTGACAATGTCATGACACTTTCGTATTATGCCAATCAGGTAGGACATCTTTTTTTGTGCATGTATGCGGGAAATTAGGTTATTATAGGCCGCTAAAAATCTGTGTGCTTGTTTTGTTACCTTAGGCTACTGATGTTTTCCTGCTGGACGCATTCTTTGCAGTGGTGTATTTGTCTTTCACAGAAGACAAGGTTATCGAGGACGAGTTCATGGATCGTTTCCGATTCCTAGCACAGATGCTTGAACGAGAGTTCGTTTTGACATGGGACATTGATCAGGTACGCTTTATAAAAAGACAACGTTACAAATGACACGATACTTACAGAAATTCCACTTTTTGTACCTTAGCAATTCAACAATGTGCTCAGCATGTATGAAGCACGTAAAGTGATTCGACGGAGTAGAACCGACGAAACTGGCACCACATCACACTTGATACTTGCTGCCAATATGGAAAGCAACCCCGTACGCTACGAGCAACTGATTTTCTTGGCGTCGCTCTTATACCCAACCATCGACTCGTATTGGATCACATCCTGTTCACTTTCTGCATTGGATGCGGTGCCAATGTTACCACGTAGTATTGTGCCTCTACTCGCACAATGGATTGCTACGCATTTGATCACTGGCCGGCGAACCATCTATCGCGAAGTCTTGTCGACTGAGTCGAGCCGGACTGCGGCCGACATGTTCATGACATTGGGCTTTTTGACAGAGATCCAGGCCAAGGAGAAACTTTCACCGGATGCACAAATTCTTTTGCATGAACTTGGTATCCCGACTACCGAGATGCTCATCCAGCTCTCAGGGCAGAACAGCGATGGAGGCCAAACCGAGGTTTCCCCTGTCGACCCTGAAGGAATGATGGTAAGTATTGTTGACGCTGTTGATTGACAAAACATGACGCAATATGCTGACTGAGAATTATCTGCTTAACAACAACAATGGTAATGATTACAGAAAGCACTCATGGCACAGATCCAAATGAACCGAGCCAACTCTAACATGGCAGATTTATGCCAGCAAATCGATACGTATCGTCTGGGTGCAATGACCCAGCGCGAGACGTTCCAAAATAAACAAGTGTTCCAGAAATGCTTGAAGCAGATCAAGGGTATCCTCCAAGCAAACACAGCCAGCTTTGCCAAGAAGCGGCAAGTAGACCTACCAGAGAACGAAGAAAAGCTCGTGCAGCTGGTGTATGCACTTCGTACAAGCAGCGCCCCTAGTGTAGATCGATCCTCCTCTACAGCACAAGCACGGGCTTTACGGCGAGTCTCTGAAGCTTATAATTTACGACATTACTAATCTCTATATAGGGTTTCTCTCTCTCTTTAAGTTGTATGTGTTTTTCCTCCCCTATCTTTGCTTTGTGCCATTCCACAACCCCATATATACAATTCTCTCTTTCTTTCTCTTTCTTTTTCTTGTGTGTAATATTTTTTTTTAATTTTCAAACAAACAAACTTCAAGGATCACAATGCTATCTCATCAGAGTGCTGCTGTGGAGTAAAGGAAAGCGTAGGCGGCGGAGTAGGATGACACTGATCAAGTTGCATTATGGTAATATGCACAAGCATGTACGTATTTAATATGTGTGGTGATATGGAAAGAGATATGTTGATGGCTTGGGCTTGCATTGTTTGTATGCGCCTAAGCCTCGATGGGACTACTGAAAGTTTTTACACCAGTGCTCGTGGCAGAAACGAAAGACATCGACACCACAATCGCCGCAGAAATCAGAATAGCGTTGAAATGCAATAGCGTTGTCGTCGTCTTCGTTGTCGTAGTATGTGTTGGTGTTATTATGGACGCTTCTAGATGATGCTGATGTGGTAGACGAGGAAAGCGGTTGGATTGGTGGTGGAGATTGACAGCAAGGTATCGAAAATGAAGGTGATGATTTGGAGGTAGTAGCGGTTGTGTTTGCAGCACCTGAGGAGGGTCTCGGCTCGTCGTCGTTTGGCTGGTGTCTATCGTTTTGAAGCATTGTGCTTCGCAGTGGTTATACGATACTATGTGCAAGTGAAAGAAAGAGAGCAAAGTTGAAGGAGGGTGTTTGCAAAAGAGAATGGAAGAAGGAAAGAGAGAGGGGGTTGTACACGGTTGACTTAGTGGAAAGGAAATAAAAAAACAGTGCTGCGTATGATGGGCTACTCGCCTCTCCCTCCTTTCTTACAGTGTACACACATGCAGGCATTTCGTCTCCCCTAATGCTCTCATGGGGTCACCCATCATCCTCCCTCTTAATGAAGCTACTGCGAGCGTGGCAATTGTATTGTAGATGAAACAGATGTACTTTGTTTATTGTTTACTTTTCCCAAAGTATAGTGAGAAATGGGGTCATATCAACTGTTTGTGTATATGAAATCTCCCATGACTTTTGTTGGGTGGGCGATATGGAAAAAGAAAAAAAAAACAGCTGAAACGGAATTACGGAGCATCCTGATTTAGCGAGCGACAATGAAAGCCATGCGGTGTCACAGGCTACATTTTACGTTTGTTTCAACTCTTCCGGTTTCTTTGTAAACACTTGTTATGCGCTCAATTGACGATATACCACGAGGTATCAGTCATTTACTTTTCTGGATTACAAGCTCACAATAAGCAGAGTTATTTTCTTATCTGCATTTTCTTTGGATCGGTACAGACGATGCAACCAAAAAAAGAATTCTAGATATCATAGATCACCAGTTCGATCTAGAGATTTACTTAAAGCATCGCGAAGCAGCAACGATTCGAAGGGAAATCACCAAAGCAGAAGAAGCATTACGTGATCTAAAAGCAGCCATTGAAAGCGGTAACCTACAATAACTGCGATTCAACTCGCTCTAAGTTTTGCATTAGTTAAATTATGCAAAGAAGCAATTGTGCATGCTGACCATCAATGGTTTATAGAATCAGCAGCAACCGATACTCCACATTACACGCGACGATCTGCTGCCGTTGCTTCGGCTGCCACTTTGGCCAGTGCCCTCTATCAGTCATACTTGCCTAATGGTAACAAAGCCACGCAGTCGCGTAGTGGCCAAGTATTATATGGACGACGAGCAGATGGTGTCTATGTGCGGTAAAGCTATAGATATATACGGCTACGATATTAAGCCATGCAACTGGTTGTACAAAAAACAGAAGGCATCTGACAACTTCCTTATCAACCATTAGTTTATCCTGTCCTGCATGTAAACGGGAGGATTTTGCTAATCGTCAAGGATTTCTGAATCATTGTCGCCTGGCGCATGATCTGGAATTTGGCCCATACGAACAAACAATGTTACGCTGTGGAACACCTGTGGATGAATCTGAAGTGCCACTTGACGATCCTGCAAGGTCGCGACCAGTAACTATGCATATACCCCCTGTCAAGTACGAACTAAGATTCAATTTTTATTGAATACGATCGATCAGATACACATGTTATGTACTTACAGTCGGATGATTTTTCTGCTTATTAGAATGAAGAAGAAGGAGCGCGTAAGTTTCTTTCGATCGTGCATTGGCATTGACATCTGTCAAATGTTGACCGGAGACATTTTCATTCTATAGCCTACGATCAAAGTGTTTGAAGAGGATGTGGATTTGGAATCGGATCGTGTGACACAAAACGGTACAGGAGAAAATGTTATACCTCCGGCACCACCGCCACCACCGCCACCACCATCAACATCACCATCATCATCATCATCACCAAGATCATCGGCTCATCCTACACAAGGATTGAAATCAATACCGGATACCGCTACTCAAGAACAACAACAACAACAGCAACCATCAGCATCATCGTCTTCCATAACGTCATCAACTGCTCAAGAGGAACAACAACAACAGCAACCACAGCCAATGGAATCATTTGCTGCAGCAATGTCATCATCATCTGCCCCATCTACGCCCACAGGTGGCGCTGAGACAGGCTCACGATTTTATATTAAACGCCAAGTTGTAGTTGGAAATGTCAGCAAATTCATCCTCCCCGAAAAGCGGGACCCTACTCTGAACAAATTTACGCATAAATGGATGGTTTACGTCGTCGAACCGCCGCAAGCGCAAGAAGTATCAAAGTTTATTACAGGTGTACGATTTCACTTGCATCCAAGCTACAAGCCGCATGATGTTGTCGATGTCACAGAACCACCATTTCGACTTACACGCTTGGGATGGGGCGAGTTTCCAATACGTGTCCAACTTTTCTTTGTCGATAAACGGAGAAACAAGAGCGTGGATCTCATCCACCAGGTCAAGGTACGATTGCTTTTTGGTTCTTAAGCGTTCAGTAAATTTCTTTGTAGAATAAGGTCGAAATTATTTAACCTTTGCAAAAATATAAATTGATAGCTCGATTATACGCATTCGGGTCGCCAAATGCTAGGTGGTGAACGGATCGTCGAGATCGAGCTAGATAGAAACACAGACTTCAATGATGTATCTACAAAACCAGTACCACGAGCAACATCAACACCGCGTGAAGAATTAAACGCCGAAGATACCAAGCAGCAGGCAGCAGCGATAGGTACGATGAAAATTTATTTTGTCACAAAGAGCTAGCATAAAGTCTCATACGAACGTATTCTCAGCATCGAAACAAAAAATGAGTTTGCTGCATGGAATCCTGAAAGATAGCGTGCGCAGATTGCCCATCATCCGACCAGGTATGTATTTGTAATTGGTCCATTTGCTTGCTCTAAATTCCTCAAGACAATTCATATCCTTTTCATATATTTAGCATCGCAACAGAACATATCAGTGCTGCCATATACCTGCGCAATTGGACCAAAACAGTATTTTTCATGGTCTGTTGGTCGTCGGAAAGCTTTGGAGGTAAACCATTTTTTCTTTCCTTCCTCTTTCTGTCTCACACACCTCCGATGATGCAGATGGAAAAAAACGACTAATAATTATCTTATTTAAACACTACTGGTAGTGGCATCGAGCTCACTTATTGCGTGTGAAGGTACAGCAATGCGCATTTGACACTATGGATCCCGTTTTAAGATCTGCAGGTGCTGCACTATCTACTAAGGACGTTATCCTCTGGTGTCGTGAAAATCAATTTACGCCACAAAGGACGGATATCAACCCAGATGATCAAATTGAACAAGATACTGTTGGCTTTGGTTATTGCAAGTTCTGTGGCTGCTACCGTGGTCATCATAGTACGGATGATGCCCATTGTCGTCAGCGGCCTCAGGGATGGAATCCACGAAAACGGGCATTAAATGGCATGTCTAGTGTAGATACTTTGTTGGATAAACTGCCGGCTGGTTGGGACACTATATCAGAAGCAGGTAAGCGATTCTTCAGAAAGAAATAGTGCCAATACGAAGTTTCTGGGTAGTTACTCAAGTCATTGTAGATGATATGGATGTGGATATTGGTTCCGAAACGACAAATACCGGGGAAAGTAAACGAACTAGTGGAAAAGCATTAATTGAAACAATACGTGAAAGCATTCAACAAGAGAATGGGATTGATGAAGGACACGTGGACTGGATTTGGTCTGTTATTGCTCAACTACCGCTCAAGGGCGTAGTCGCAAACGCCATGATCCAGGATCGCGATGGCACGTTGAGAGGCCCAACACGAGATTTTGAAATCGTCGAAGCCATGGATCAACGATTGGTGACTGGTAGCTTATTTGCAGGGATGGTCAGGGTGTTTCTCAAGCGAATACTTCAATCGGCTCTGGATGTATATCAGAAACAGCGTCAGCAGGAGCAAGAGGAGCAGGAGCAAGAGGAGGAGGATGATGAGGAGGAAGGGGAAGAGGATGAACGAGGAGAAGCACAGACAGAGAAGCTGCTGGTGCCTGTGCATATATACGAAGGCATACTACAGAATCAGGAATTTGATTTCCTCACAAATCAGTATATGGGACCCTCATCCTTGTCATCTTTATCATTAACAGAGCAACAGCAACGCGAAGATATTGTGGGGAATAATCGAATAGATTGAGATTATTTATATGTAAATGTGTAATTACTTGTACAATAAAATAAGAGCAAAAGAAAGCAAATGATTCAATGTAGAACCAGAAAGGAGTATTTGAAGAAGTAGGACGAGGGCACTTGATATCTCGAGGCCCAGCCGGAGGAATACCTTTGCTCTGCGGATATGGGTGGTGGTGTTAATGTTAGTGTTATACAAAAAAAGTTAAGGGATTATATATATATGAAGAGGGGTTGGAGGATGAGCTAAAAGTGAGGGGAAGTTTTGTTTCTGAACAAATGAGAGAGGGGAACAAAAGATAAAGCAAAAAAAAAAAGATTTAGAGAAGACCCACATTCCGCAGATTATCATGAAGACAAATATCATTTACTGCAGACATGACAAACTTGATCTGCTTGGTGTCGGTGGCACAGGTAAAGTGCGTGTATATCTGCTTGGAATCAGCACGGGTATTCAAGGAAACAAATCGATTAAGCAAATATTGGCACGCTGCCTCATATTTGCTACCACCCATGTAATCCGCAAAGTATTTAGCTAGCGGGCTCCGGGGTAACTTTTCTGCAAACAGATCGATCTTGTTCAAGAACAAAATGATCGATGTCTTTGTGAACCATTTGGAGTTACAGATAGAGTCGAACAAAGTCAACGACTCTTGTAAACGATTGATTGAGGAGTCCTCGACAAGCACCTGGTCGTATTCGGAGATGGCGACCAAGAACACGATTGCAGTAACGTTTTCGAAGCAGTGGATCCACTTCTTGCGCTCGGATCGTTGGCCACCGACGTCAAACATACGGCAGGTCATTTGGTTGATGACGAAGGTTGTTTCAGTGATGCCAGTGGTCTTGACACGTGATCGAAGAACGTCTTGATCACTAGGCATGTAGTTTGGATCGCCAATACGAACAATCGAATCAAAATAGCTATAATTTTTTTTATAGGTTAGACTCCTGTTTTTGCTCGAGTATTTATGATAAAGATATGCCGCATAATATCAGAGAAGAACGAAGACTCACTATCTTGCCGAATCATTAAGTTGATATTCATTACTGCGACGTACGCATTCACGTACACTACGGTCTTCCCATAACGATGCCAATGCTTGGACCAGCTCTTGGCTCATCATCTCAATCTGGGGCGGTGCCTCCAGAATCAATTGTCGGCTGGATTCGTTTTGTGAGTTTTGGAATACAATACCCAGGGTTTGCATCGCTTCGAGTGTAACTCGCATGGATTGGATGGTGTTGCTATAGATGACTTCTTTGAAGCCTTCGCGTTCGTCGGATGTATATCCACCATCGTGGATTAACTTCATTTGCTTCAAAATAGTGGATTTTCCAGACTCTCCAGCACCTGATGATATGGATAAAGATGAGCCTCCAATCTTCAATTACTGACAGCTTTATAGTTGACCGTGGTACATACCTAGCAGCAACATTTTGATTTCGGAACGCAAATTAACTCGATCACGCTTGATTTGCGAGTCGATCTGATTACTGCGCTTGTTTTCTTGAACACGTTCAGTAGATTGACAGCAGCCCATTTTCGTTTATCGTTTGCTTGTGTGTGGGTATTAATTATATTTTGGTAGATGTGCGGTATGAATAACTTTGTAATTAAAGGTGAATAGTAGTAATTGTTTGAGATTTAGAAAGTAAAAAAGAGGCGCCTTTTTCATGCCGTTGCACTAGGTCGCATTTATTCAATTTTTTCTGCTCTATTTAGGAGCTTTTTTCCTCTTTTGAATGGGTGCATAAGTTGATAGGAGGGATGGGGAAAGATGGGGAAAGGAAGATCAAAAAGCTGCGAATAACTCGAGCTTCTCGTTTTACCTTAAGATGGGCATGCAGTCCAGTTAAATCTCTTCCGTGTTCTAAAAGAAAGCATCCATTGGATTCTCATGCTTTTTTTAGCGCGGAAGAAATGTGGTGATCAAAATAGGAGTGTAATCCGAAGGGGTGGGTGAGATAAAAGAAATGAGAAAAAGGGTATCTGTGGACGAAGGATGAAAAAAATAAGGGAGGTTCCACCCTTGCACAAGATGCGTGAACGGCCATACACTTGGCATTATGCCCATCTGTAGGGTTTTGTTTGAGATTTTGACTATATTCTTTTCCTTATCTTCTCCTATACACCAGCGTACGTACGCTTACTATACACAAACTCACATATGGATCGCCACCAATAGTGACAATGACTATCTTACTCATAGTATTCACCAGCTGCTCCACGGGTTTCGATCCTTCTTCGCTGCTACCTTTCTTTTCGATCCATTCGCCTCATCAGTTGTCATCAGCGATCCCCTAGGTTGGATGGCATATACCTTTGTTGTGGTAGTTTGCTTTTAGAACAGCAACAGCAATAAAGGCATCGAGAAAGCAATACCTAGCAGAGATCCCTTGTGTACTTGCCCCTCTCATGTCAATTTTCTTTCTCTCTGTATTATCCATTTTGCTTGCCGAGTTGGATTCTCCTGCCCACATGAGTAAAAAGGCTGATACCTCGTTTTTTTGCTAAACTGTCTCTCTCTTTTGGTCTGATGTGGATATTATGTATATGTATCACTATGTGAGTGTGTGAGTGTGTGTGTGTGTGTGTGTGTGCGAGTCAAGCCCTGCATCTCGTTCTTATTACACACAGGCATACACTCACATTGTTTCGGCACAGGAGGCTTCTCATATTAAACCAGTCTACCGAGTGGATGTGAGAGAGAAATGAAATTACCTACATTGTGCTGCCCTCCAAAAAAAACCTGTTCCCTATTCGGAACAATGCCAGTGCATCCAGAATCTCTCACTGCCTCTTCTATTAAGTATTTGAATCGAAGAGAGTGCGTGAATGTGAAGAAAACATCATGGTAAGGAGCAGTGGAAGATGAGGAGGAGTCCCTTTTTTTGCATTTTTTTTCACTATCTCCTTTTCACGTAACCCTCCCTTCGCTCAGTAGCGTCTTTCATTCTCTTTCTCGTTTTTCTTCCGCTCAAGCAGCGATAACCCTACGCTTTTACATATAACGATTATTAACACTGTGCGTAATTTTTAGTTATCGAGCCTACAGGGTTCGATTGTTAGCACACGGAAAAACAACATGGTTTTTCTCTTATGATCCTGCTCTCACGGATACGCAGGCTCGCCGGTAGTAAAGGGATAGTTCTCGGATGCATTTACCAAGCACTTTGTGCTTTACCGTGCAAATTACGATGATAACGGTGACGATGATGGTACTCTACACCCTAGGAGCGAGCGGAAAGGAGGACATATAATTTATTACCCGAGGAGCAACTGTAGAACAGAGGGAGATGAGGAAGTAGAAGATCATGTAGATTAAGAACAAGAGGGAGCGATGATCATGACAGAACGTGCTATATAATCTAACAACTTCTACCACGTAGTAGTTATAAGAGGAAAATATCCTCTTCTTGCAACTGCCATTCTAGATGTAGCAATAGGCACATTTGCTTACACCGCCGCCTCCTCCTGGATTGCTGCCGTTTCATGCAAGTATAGACTTTGAGAACTGCTTGCAAATAGATATATGTCGAGTTATCCTCTCTCTTCCCGGACACTAGCACCGTCATCGTCAATTTTAGCTCTTTTCTTGATCAGCTAGCTTTGACCAATTATGATTGGAGTTTTTACTTTTTTGATCCCATTGCCATCAAGCACGCTTGTTCATGAGTATTAGATTTACTCTTCCCTCCTAACCTATCGTCAGAAACCCGGCTTACTAATAAATTACAAGAGATCGTGCTAGAACAAAGGCAAAAAACGCCATCATCGGAAATGAATTGCATACAAAATATTATTAGCTTGTTGATACGTATCGTTATTGGAAATTCTTTATTCTCGGAGCATTATATACACGTACACGTCTATAGTAACCCCTTATTCTACATCTTGTTGTTCGTTTCCAATCAATAATAATGAGACCCCTTCCGGTATTCGTCCTTTTGTAGCCTAGGAAAAAAAAGACTTGAAACAAAAAATAAGGTTAAGAGTTATAATTATAGTGATCCACAGCCGGCATTCAGGGTGCCGCTTTACTTTTCACTCAAAAGAAGAGGGCTGCATAACACTGCATGAGGTATACGTATTTCATGGGGTCATTGTTGTTAGTGAGTTTTAACGCATACATACAGTACGTAGTGTAACTTGCATTTTTGCGGAAAAAACCGTTGAGCTGTTACTTATTACGGCAGTAAATCAAGTATCTAATAACAATTTCTACACTTAAAATATATATGTGGGATATCAATTAGAGTCTCAGAAGCAAAGGACTCCAGTTCCATTATCAGTACAGCTTACTCATTTAAAAAGTATACCTTATTGTTAAATTGCTTAATATGTTGTTGGGCTCGAAGCAAATTTGAGTGTTACTACTGCGCCCGCTACAGTAACAGTATTACCATAAGTATTCATATCAATAATCTACCGCTTATTATTAATATGTTGTTCAATCTGAAAAATGCATAGGACTTGGTGTCCTTCGCTACATAAGTCTATTTATATACGATATAGAAAAGGCATTGCGAATGTTTAGCGCACTTTCTGCATATGTGCTTTTTTTAACTTTGTCCATTCGATATTGCCAATGTCTATCCTGAAAGGCAAATGCGGGCTACAGCCATGGGAATTGATTCAGCTGGCACAGGCCTCGGTGGTTTCGCGATAAGTACTATCATATATGGTAAGACTAAACTCACTGTTTGTGGATACGATGCCATTGAGGAACATTCATCTTATTGAAGTGTTTGAAATTGTTTTAACTGGAGGCATATGTCATAATCCGGAGATATGGCATAGAATGGCATGTTGCATTATCGATTTTAACTGTCTATGATAGGAGTTACAGTGGTCCCCCGCTTTTTGCAGCAGCGGTTTTTGGTGGAAAAAACTGCAAAAAGTGGGGAACTGCAAAAAGTGAGGATGAGTATGAGATGTTACACAGACTGAGTCTATTATGTTAATCAAGTGTCAATGATAGTAAACCAATTAAAAGTGTCGGTGCTGTGCTGAGGCTACTTATTATAACTCAACTCTTATATAAAAGGCTGTCGTCTCACTCTTGATGTTTATATACTGCACTATCAACACCTCCACACCACTATAGTAAAAGCGAAATACCAAAAGCTTACTGAATAGCAAAACGATGCTAGCTATCAACATTACATGTAGATGTCACTGGTTCGAGACTCTGTGTCCCAGGCTCCCGAGTTAATAGCGGAAAATTGCAGGTCCCCATTTTTGGCCTGCAAAATGCAATTTTATTAAGTGATGAGCGGGTGTGCTCCAAAAAAATCTGCAAAAACTGAGGATCTGCAAAAAGTGGGGCTGCAAAAAGCGGGGGACCACTGTAGCCCTTTGGGAGCTTTGATCAACGATCTCCTTCCAAGATTTTACAAAACAATCTTACCTAGTAGGTCACCCATTCAGCTATCTATGTTTAAAATGACAGGCTTTAATACTTGGATTGCTGGCTCGGTCGTAGACCTCATGTGCTATTTAGCACCTGTAGAGTATTATATTTTCCGAGTAAGTAGGAATCAGGTTTTTTGTTATAATTACGCATGCCCCCTGTGTGAGCCACATTAATATCTTATCTAAGACTTCGTAATAAAATAGTCGGTTAAGCATCAATCCATAGTACACACAAATAAAGACCACGGCAACCAACTAAACACAGTAGCAAGAAACAATCCATAAGTATTATGTAAAGCATGGAAAGCTTCGAGTCTGTTGATCCAGTTTAAGAAAAAGCTGAACAATGAGCCTATCAGCAGATACATAGCGCGGCCACACACCAGCTAACTCCGACCCGATTACATAACATAACGACGTCCTTGATCAGTGATCATAAAACATAGTTTATCCACAAGCTAGATCAATAGACATGGCCGCCTTAATACATAGCTATCATATAATATGAAGCTTGTTTTTATTGTTGGAATAAAAGATCATCCTAAAGATACTTCTTATATGTCTCATTACCCATGTTCTATTATTATGTTTAAGCTCATTCATTTCAATTCGAACAGTATCATTACATAATGTTGCAGGTGATGTCAGATCTCGGCCGATTTAACGATAGGTCTTATGTTTCCAAGGAAGAACCATATTGTCAAATTTTCAAATCATTGAAGCTTTCTAACTTTTTTACAGGTTTTTTCTTTCTATTGTATGATTACGATACGCTCTGAAGAGCCACAATTAGTTCAAGTGTAGTAAAAGATCACCCGTGATACTGTCGACGATGATGATACCTGGACCGATGGTAGCTGAGCCAACAAGTTCGCTATCTATATTGCGAGTGCGTCGATATGAAGAGTGATCTTACTGAGCACAACCCGCATTTTTTATTCCACACACAGATACATGAACAGCACTGCTTCAGAATTTATGTTGCATGAGACGAAGAGAACTGGCAAAGTTTTAAAAGTAATTGATTGCTGACTCGTTCTGTCAGAAGTATGATGACGGTAACTCCCTTTGACCACATTATTGGGCAATGATCTGACGGCAAAGACAGTAACCAGAATAGAAAATGGCACTAAAAATATCGCGAAAGCACTTTGTGAGTTTGTTGTAAAGACGATCACTGACGGTGGTAGCTTTTCTAAATTCATTGTGCTACATATATGCCTTTTCTTTTTTCCTCACAATGTGAATAACCGGCCTCACTTTGGCTCCCTTATCCAAAGTGTTATCGTTGACAAAGCTACGGATTTCGCCGTCAATGCGAACTCTCTCTGACTTCTCCAAATGCTGCCAGCACTTGATCAACGGGCTTGGATGTCGGCTAAGAAATACGACCATATCCCACACATTAGATTATATAAACACAATAGCACATTTACAAATAAAAATTTTAATTACTTTCTCGACAAATGTTTCAGAGTTGGGATAGAGGGATGCAGGCTGAATCGTCTTTAGCAATGGTCCTTCGCAGTAGACCTCGTTGACGAGATCCCAGTTCTGGTTGAGATTGTCTTCAGACGCCGATTTTCGGTGATAGAGAATTACTTTGGCGCCGTCGTCAGCTGAATCTCCCCGTATATCCAAAACCATACGGGGATCAGCCAGGAGATAGATCACGCCATCCCGGCTTTTGTAACCCCATCTTTGATTTTGTGCATCGACAACGAGTTTTCGATCGTACTGGATAACAGGTGTGTTGTCATGTAGGGCTCCTCCACGTACATCAAGCACCTTGTTGGAGTTCTTGTTTACAATAAATCCATCCTATATAGTTGTTAAGAAAATGCCCAGTTATATGCGTGCGGAATTTTTCTGCCCCTTGGCACTCCTACACATTCTTATTACCTGGTAATACCATAACTGATTGTCTCGATCATCAGTGTGTTTTGGAGTCCATATCAGAATCTTGGTATCATTCTGTAACGATTCAATCGTTTTTGTTCAAGTAAGCAAAAACTCTTTGTACGAGAGATGTTCTTTCTCTCACCTTGGTATAACCGCCGTCAACTTGAGCAAAAGAATGAGCTTGATTGTCCGTGTTTCAACGTTTTACGTTCTTTCCCCCACCCCTTCACTCCTTGCAAATTCCTTTTTCTCACCGTCAATGACTTTCCCATTTTGTCGTGACCGAATGTAAAAATACCCTTCTGGAAAGTCGGACATGGTGGCAAAGAAAAAGACAGAAAACAAAAAAAGTGAAACGTTAGGTATTGTATTCCTACTATCACATACGTCAGTGTGGCAGGTGGAAGTTGAATTCATATTCTACAAGTGGCTACGCACAGATGACATCTTTTCTGACTAGTAGCTATTACTTTGTATCATTTCCGATTGCTAGTTATTGTAAAGGGTGGCCAGTGTGTAGCAGTACTGTGACAAGTAGAATAAAATGGACCATCCTCTTTCCGATACCCATCTTGTTACAACTAGTCTTTGTTTCGTCGGGCATCAATTTACAGCGTTCTTTATCCCTGCCTGAATCATTTGCTTGACAGGTGTCAATTTGTGCCTTTTCGACCAGGTTTGACTCTTCTCTTGTTGCTAGTTTTCACTGGCGGTGTAAGTTGCTTACTGTAGATATATGGGTACTGTCTAAGAATATTAAAGATATTAAATGCGAAAGCAGATAATCCTTCTTGTTGCCATATAATACAAATTCTTCAATAGAAATATTAATTTTAAAAAAAGGTGGTGCAGGGTCCTCCTGATTATTCTTCTTATAATAATTCTCCAAGTTGGGGACCAGGAGCTGTTGCTGGAGCTACCACTGCAATCCTAAAGCAGACGATGTTACTGTTTATGTAGCAAGAGAAGTTCTTCAAGGTATTAGAAAAGGAAGAAAGGATATAAGAGCCTGTCCGCAAGTAAATTATTTACTTGACTTTCATCGTTAAACAGTTCATATTCATCTTTCCGATAGATATATCAGAAGCCAAGCTTTGGCAGGTGAAACATAATGGCTTAAGTGTGCTATAATATCCTTTGTATATTTTCCATTACTCACCAGTCTAACTCTCTGATCATATCATAAATAGTGTCTAGTAGATGGAACTTTGGTGATTGAGTGTACTCGTTGGTGCTCGCCTGACATGCTGCTGCATTTGAAAAGCCGCATTTTTCTTTGACAACATCCCGAAATAAATTTTTATTCAACCTCTCTGCTTTGATCAACTTTTCCGTCATGCCCGCCACAAAGAAACAGGGATCCGGTGGATCGGCACTCAAACGACTCAGAAAATCGCTCACCACTGCCGGTGTCGTCGGCCAAGAATCAAAAGCGAGCCGATCGAAGAAGGACAGAAAGCGTGGTATCCCAACCGAAGTTGGCAGGAACTCGGCTGCTGACAAGCTCAGTGTGATTCGTGACGAATTCAATCCTTTCGAAATCAAAACTTCTCGTACCAAATTCGATGTCATCAATCGTAAAGTTAAGGGTACTGGTGGAAAACCGGCATTAAATAAGCAGATTGGTGAAGAAAACGTAGGTTTTTTTATGTTCAAAAGGAGGGGGGAGGTGTGGTGAGCTCATACACAAAACTGAGGGTGTCTCTTACTCACTCAATTCTTTTTGTATATAGCGTAAAAAGACATTGTTGTTGGAAATGAAAAGCAAGGGCCATGTGGGTGGTATTCTTGATAAGCGTTTTGGTGAGAACAATCCCCAATTGACACCTGAAGAACGTATGCTTGAGCGTTTCACAAAAGAAAAGCAGGTAAAACAGAAAAGCAGTAAATTTTTCTAGGCTGAGAGTGTAATGCGTAGATCACCATGGCAAAACTTATTAACACTATGATTTGTTATATCAACATAGAAAAACGCAAAAAGCAGCATGTTCAACCTGGAAGACGACGACGATCAAATGGGACTGACGCATTATGGGCAATCGCTCGCCGAGATGGACGACTTTGACGATACTGGCTTACGCTTGAGCGATGATGAAGAAGGACGTGGTGGCCAGTTGGATAGAAACGTTGTCGCACAAATGCATTTCGGTGGTTTCGATGACAACAAAAAGGCCGGTGAAAACAACGGTGACGGAGAAGGAGATCGGCCCAAATCACGCGCCGAAGTCATGAAGGAGATCATCATGAAGAGCAAAGTATACAAACAAGAAAGACAGGCTGCCAAAGAAGAAGATGAAAACCTGCGTGAAGGATTGGATGAAGAGTTCAAGGACATACAGGCATTGCTAGACACCCAGTCCTCAAAGAGAAAGCCCTTGGTGTCACAGACGGCCCTGTTCTCAAGATCTGAAGCTGAAAAACCAGAGCAGAAGGACGACGACGACGACGAGCAGAATGACGAAAAGGAGAAGAATAAGTACGATGATTACGATGTCATGGTCCAGGAGCTTACTCGTGACAAGCGTGCCATGGCCACCGATCGTACCAAGACTGAAGAAGAAATTGCTTTGGAAGAAAAGGAGAAGTTGGAAAAGGCTGAACGTGCACGGAAGCGACGTATGGAAGGCCTGGACTCCGAATCCGAAGACGAGGGTAATAAGCGTGGACGTGGCCGTAAGCGCCAACGCAAGGGCGCTAATGCACCTGAGGGCGACGATCTGGATGACGACTATTTGGAAGACCTGGAAGATGAAGCCAGTAAGCTCGGTGAAGGTCTGACACTGGAGGATATCCAAAACGGTGCTCTTAATGCCGACGACTATAGCGAAGACGACGAAGCCGAAGAAGGCAGTGGAATTGACGAAGACGAGGAGGAAGACGAAGAGGGAAGCGATGAAAATGAAGAAGAAGATTACAGCGATTTGGAGGAAGACGAGGTTCCCGAGTTTGGTGACGATGACGATGACATGAACGATTTTGAAAGTGGTGGCCTCGTCAAAAAAGCTGCTAAAGCAATCAAGGACAAGCAAACCAAAGCGGTACAAAGCGATATTAAGCGCGAAATCCCTTACACGTTTGAATGTCCAAGCACACACGAAGAATTCTTAGAGATCATGAAAGGTTTGAATGTGGACGACGCGCCTACAGTTGTCAAGCGTATTCGTGTTCTTTATCATCCCAAACTGGGCCCAGACAACAAGGCAAAGCTTAGCACATTCCTTGGAGTCCTTGTCGACCATCTTGGATACATTGCATCGACCGTTACTCCTCTTCCACACAAAACGTTGGAATCACTCATCGCACACACTTTTGGAATTGCCAAGCAACTGCCGACAACAGCAGCAGACGTGTTTGTTGCCAAGTTAAAGGAATTACACGGTACCATGGGTCAAAAAATGAACCAGCGACAAGGCTCAGCATTTCCTGACGTTGAAGAAATCACACTGTTACGATGCCTTGGTAAGGTATTCCCTACATCCGACTTAACACATCCCGTGGTAACGCCAGCCACTATCTACATGAGCCAGGCATTGGCTTTATGTCGAGTACAATCAGAAATTGATCTTGGACGGGGGTTGTTCCTTTGTCTTTTGTTCCACGAGGTAACGAGAAGATATGTTTCTGTTGGAAAACAAAGCAGTCGGATAATGTATGCTTACTGAACATTGCCAATCTCAATAGTATCAATCATTTTCCAAACGCTTTGTTCCAGAAGTCCTTAACTTCTTGCAACGGTCTCTGGTCCTTCTTTCACCTAAAGATCTGTTTAATAACGACGACTTGCCCGGTACATTCCCCATTGGCGACAGCAGCGGTGTATCACTTCATATCGAAGACTCTGTCTTTGAAGGCGCCGAGGAGATTCCATCTTTGACTTTGGAGCAGCTTGGAATCGAAAACGTCGAGCATGACGAAAGCCATCTTCTGCGACTATCATTATTGCAAGGTGCTTTACGATTATTGACTCGATACCTACAGTTATACGCATCCACGCAGGCATTGGTAGAAGTGTTTGAGCCTTTGCACAGCATAGTAACTCAAATGTTGACGGTGTCATGGCATAAGGATATCGAGGTAAGTTTTAATTTTTAGATGTATGTACCAAAGGAACGTACTTACTAAGAGCACAAATCGACGATTTTTACACAGTCATCATTAAGTATTTTACAAGATCGACTGAAACGACAAATGAAGTTCTGCAAGGATAAGCGCACAAAGACCCCATTACGAATGCAATCGCATCGACCCATACCCATTGCGCAGCACTTGCCCAAGTTTGAACAAGGCTACTCATACGACAAGCATTACGATCCTGACCGCGAACGATCTGAGTACAACAAACTTCAAGCACAGATCAAGAAAGAAAAGAAGGGTGCCATGCGTGAACTTCGCAAGGACAATATGTTTATGGCTCGTGAAAAGGCAAAGGAGCGTAAGCAGAAGGATGCCGAGTATGATAAGATGATCAAGGGTGTCATGAATATCCTTGAGAGTGATCAGGCCGAAAAGAAGCGACAGGAGCGCGAAAAAAGAAGATAAACAGTAATACATCCATACAAAATAAATTATCTATACTTTGTGTAACTAGACCAATCGTTTGTATTGAGCAGTCATAATGTGTTAACTCTGACTTTATTAAACGGCAAATAACGCGTGATAAGGGTATGTGCCAGTTAAGAGACGTGAGCGGAAACGGTGTAAGTATACGCGCTTGTACATGGGAGACACTATATGGAAGTTCCGTTTAAAAGATGGCCATGCGTATATATTATTGCATCCATTCATCCCTGGAAACCAGCCTCGTTCACCAGCAATCTGAAGATATCTGGCCGAGAATAGTGACCCGTGGGAGAGTTGTCCATGTCTAATTTACTTCTACATATTGATGTATCATACTAGATATTAGCACGTTTTGCATTCAATGCTAATTTGCCTTGTAGACCATAAGTTGCAGTACACTAGTCCCTTTTTTGTTTGTTCAAGTGCACTTTATTTTACCTGATAATATCATCCAAATCGATGTCAGCGGTAAGCAAACCTTCTCTCTCACGCAGTGGACCAGCCAATACTTCGCCGAGAGGGGTGACAATCATACTGCCGCCAGCAAGGGCAATGCTCTCAGGGTTACTGTTTGCCGGCAACGGATGACCCTCAGGGAAATCCTTACATCGCATGAACTGGTTGGCAGACAGTACAAAACAACGGCCTTCGAGGGCAATGTGGGTCATGGTGGAGGTCCAGACTTCACGGGTATCTACGGTCGGTGCGCAGTAAATTTGAGTGCCCTTGTTGTAATAATGCTGACGCAGCATGGGAACGTAGTTTTCCCAGCAAATCGTGCTCGATACGCGTGCCGAAAGCGTGGACGAGCGCTCAAAAGTAACGACAGGGAGCGTAGTGCCGTCACCCAGCCCCCAAACAGTACGCTCCTGTGCAGTAGGCATAATCTTGCGATGCTTGGCCACCAAACCGTGCGTTGGATCAATGTGGATGGCGGTGCAGAACAGTGTGCCGCTCTTGGCTTCCTTTTCAATCACCCCAATGACCAGGTACATATTGGCCTTGCTCGCCAGCGCGCTTAGGTGGCCGGTAACAGGGCCAGGCACTTCAATCGCGTTACTGTAATACTTCAAATACTCGTCCCGTCCTGCAGGTGTGCGCTCGCCCAAGTGCATACCAAAAGTGCTGTACTTGGGGTAGCCTCCTATGAAGGCTTCTGGGAAAACTAGCAGATCCACTTGTTGCACTGACGCTTCGGTCACGTATTTCTCGAGTTTTTCGAGGGTCTTGTCCAAATTATATAGCGGTGTGCCAACTTGCACGACACCAACTTTCAGTTTTTGTTCCGTTGACGCCATCTTTATTTAAGGCGTTTGTATCAAAGATAGGAAAGAAGAAGAAGAAGCCGTAAACGGGTGAGAAACGGTGAGAAGAGGATCAAATTGTCACAGGAAAAGCGGAGTGTGCCAGTAAACTTTGTTGTAACGGCTGAGAGATTGCCCGATCATGCTTGTTATGAGTCAATAAACAGTAAGTTGTATAGCTGATATTTTCATAGATTTTTGGAAATGTTGATATATGATAGTGAAATTTGCAAATAACGGAGGTGTAACTGACGTAGATCTAATGTACCTTTGATTATGCGACCTGCCTCTGTCTTCTTCTTTCCTTCGTAAGTCAAGCTGACGATTCATCTAGTTCTATCCCAAGACAATGGTTATCTGCTCACTATGCTTATCATGTCTCCACATTTTATTTAATCATTAATCTTTATTCCAATAGTATGGCAGTCATCAATCTTTCTAAAGAAACGCTCTGAAGTAAACAATACATGACTAAAAATCGAAGGATAGATAATACACACCGTAACAAACTACTTATCCTCACTTACCCAGAGAACTCAACAATCAATCTGTCACTTCTGTCGTTCGGCAAGCAGACACCTCTCAATTATGACAACAAATATGCTAGATCCTTAATAATAAAAAGGCCGTTTACGACTTGCGAACATGCACGAAGTAACGGATATGTTCATGGCTACTACTACATACATCTATGGTTATTGATCGTGTGATGTTGACTTTATAAACATTTGCTTAAAGAAATTCACGACAGCCACCCGTTTAAAGGGACACTGAAGATTGCAGAACGCAGTATGTATGTTGAATATTTGAATACAGTATGAACATTATTGAGTACAAATTATCGTCCGTAACTACGTTCAAGAACAACCCAGCCATACGTACTAACCGACAGTTATTCGAATCATCTTCCCATATGCCGACGTTGGAATAGCCCTGACCATAATAAACAGCTGTTTCCGTAATAGAGGCAGAGGAAATTAAGTAGCAACATTATTGATAGTCCGTGAATTAAACATGATCGACGATTTAACAAACTGTTATTTGTACACATACAAATTAGTCATCGACAGACAGTTCAAGGAGTTTCGAGGTCCTAACTGAAGCTGATATACACTCGGCTTGTCAAAATAAAACCAATGCGATCAAGTGCCAAAATATACAGTGACAGTGTGTTAGCACCAAGAACTTTTTTGTCAACAAGGGTGTTCACTTCTTGAATGGATTAAAGCCCAAAACGAGACGCAAGTGCTACGAAAATAGAGTTCCGTCTCTCTAACTGTTTGACGGATTTTCCTTATCCAGCGCGTGCCTGTTGAAGTGGGTCTGTGCTTTACTCCATCATTGAGAGCTACGTAACCGGACATTGCTGCCAAGCTGATTTTCTTTCCTTTTCTACAACATTCTTTATAGTAGCACCAAGCCAAAGCCATAAGACAAACATGCAACAGCAAATCCGACATGTCAGGTGCTACAAGAAACCTTGTGATTGGATGCTGCGCCCGCTAGCCAAGCACTAAATCGCGCGCGTGCCCGAGAGCCCGAGAGCAAAGAACACTTTTTTTCTCCCTCAACCTAAGCATACTCTTTCCCCCCTTGAAAACCCATCTCATACAGTAATGAGCTACAATCAACAACAGCAATACGGCTCTCCTGCCCAAAACTATCAGCAGCCACCTCCTCCCGGCTACGGTGGTGCCCCGGGCGGTGCACCCGGTGGTTATCAGCATCAGCAACATGCTGGCTACGGTAAAGTGTTTCGGGATTGATGGTGAATGTCAAAAAGGACGAGTATGAAACTCCTTTCTCTGTGCTCATCTCATGTTCTGAATACCTGACTATAAATAAAACAGGCCAAGCACCTCCCCCTCAAGGTGGTGCACCACCAGCCAATGCCAACCAACAATTGTGGGGTTGGTTCAAGGCCGTCGACACTGACAATTCCGGCCAATTGACGGTCGATGAGTTGCAGCGTGCCCTGATTAACGGTGACTGGAGCCCCTTCAATATCGAAACTGTCCGTTTAATGGTGGCCATGTTTGACAAGGGTAAGGAATAGGTCAGGGTGGGTACTAACGTGGTGGAAAGGATAACTAAAGGGGTAGATGGTCCTGTACATGATAGATCAAACCGGTACGATCGATTTCCAGGAATTCTCTGGTTTGTGGAAGTACATTGAGGATTGGAAGCGCTGCTTCCAGACGTTTGACGCGGATGGCTCCGGCAGCGTTGATCGTAGTGAGATGGGCAACGCTTTAAGAACGTTCGGATACAACCTTTCGGACAAGTTCATCAGTCTCCTGATTAACAAATTTGATAAATACGGTGAGTTCTATTTCCTTTCTTTCGTCTGGTTATGTGCAAGTCGCTTCCTCAGTAGAGCCTTCTTTTTGTTATCATTATTCCCCTTCACCACCCAACACTTCCATCTATGCCTATGCCACCCCGCTGCCCACTATGCACTATTAGATTAAAAAGAGAGGAGTTGGACTTATGACACAATTGTATGGAACAAACACAAAACACAACTCACACAGGACACTGGAGTGCAGGCAAAGGAGACGTGACATTCGACAACTTTGTGCAGGCCTGTGTCACGGTCAAGACACTGACAGATTCGTTCAGACAGTACGATACGGATGGTGATGGTTGGATCCAGATCAAGTATGAAGACGTAAGTAGAGCAGGGTTACACACGATGAGTTTATTCAAGGGTGGTTTATCTGTCAATCTGACCGTGCGTCGTCTTTATTAAATACAGTTCCTGGAGCTTGTGGTACGCCAGCGCGGTTAAGAATAATAAAAGAAGAAAGGGACTTAATAAAATAATGTGCCAGGCCAAGAGCAAAGTGCTTGCCTGTTTTGGATTTCAAACATCCGCTTGCCTTTTTGCTGCTATGACGATGGTGCTGGTGTGGAGTAGGGGGGGGTGGGGTAACGATGGTGATATTATCATGATTTTTGTCGCTGAGCTTTGACTGACATGTGAGAGTGCGGTTGCTGTCTTCCTTTTCAGCAGCCTATTCGGGGAGGATGCTGCTGACATTTTTTCTACTGTTTCGTTTTTCCGTTTTCGCAGGTTTTGGCTCTGCTGAGCCCGTGCGCAGAAGATATATATATCTTAGCTACTTTCAATTCCCACCCTCTCTCTTTTTCTGTTGTTCTTAAAACAATACAAACACACGCCCCTCCCCTTTCCTCTCCTTTTTTCTCTCTATCTCAATCCTGTATCTTATGGAGGTCGTCCAAGTACAGCCGAGAGACTCGTACCTCCACTATATCTATGTGCCCACCAAGGGCACCGCCATACGCTGGTCCTTCACCACAAAACGCAACAATATCTCCTTTGGCGTTTATCGACGACGCGGCCAGGCTCCATTGCCTTCCTCCTCCGAGATCATCTTTCGTGCCCAGCAGCAATTGCAGCAACGCCAACTCTCTGCCCCTCCAGGCGAATTGCTTCCTGACAGCAATAGCAGCAACAGTCGCAGACACCATGGTAACACCAATATAATAGAACCTTCTAAATGTCCACCATGCAGGAATCTTAGAAAATCTAACATGACACAACACACCACCCCTTGCTAAATTCTCAAAGACGATGACGAGTCTGAATTCAGTGTTACGTCTGGAGCAACAAATGCAGGTCGACCTCGTGCCAAATCGGTAGCCTCAACAAAACTCAAGGAACAAGGTCTTGACGAGATTATTCCGATTCAACATATGAATTCAAGCAGTACCAAGATTGAGGGCACCTATGTTGTAGAAGAACCAGGAAACTATGTTATAGTTTTTGGCAAGTTGTCAAATCGATGCTCAGGAACCATGTTCCCCACTTTCCCTTCTTCATTTCCCCACCTCCTTTTTTATAGCTGAGGCTTATTCAGACGTTTTCTCTCATAGATAACACATTTTCCAGAAACAAGGCAAAGACTTTGACGTTCTCGGTAGCACTGGTGGATTCCCATGTCAAAGCTACGCTGTCACAGCAACATAATGACATGTCTGGCTGGCTTCTCAAGAAAAAGCGCAAGAAAATGCAAGGTGGGTGGAAAGAAACGTGTTTTTTGTCATGCATGAAAAATTTAGGAAAAGGAATATTGACGCCAAGATTACACACACACTAGGCTGGGCCAAGCGCTGGTTCCAACTGTCTCCCTCAGGCGTGCTTTCATACTCAACATCCCCCAACAGTGTGACGCGTGGATCCATCCAGATCATGCTTGCCACGATCTCGTCGAACCCGGATCAGCGACTTATCCATATTGACTCTGGAACTATGCTGTACCACCTCAAGACATTAACTTCGGAAGATCACGACAAGTGGACCGCGGCCTTCCGTGCATATCGTTCGGGCGGTTCCATTGAAATCCAAGATGATCTACCCACGGCTGCTGGCATGTTAGATGACCCAGTAAACCAGCAAGACACGATCGAAAAGGGCGTCAAGAGTGCTGCCGCCCTGAGGAACAGCGCAATTCGTCTGGGCGACAATATTGATGTGCTTCGTGCCTTGCTGGATCAGCTGTCGCATGTGCCTGGCACAAAGGACTTGTCGCAAAAAATCGTCGCATTGAGCCAGCAGCTGGAACGAGACCAGAAGTCAATCCAGTCGAACGCTGAAGAACAACAAAAGCACTGGACATCCTTCCGCAACGGTATCGCTTCCTCGGGCCAGCATAATGACGACTTGGATGACTTTGAGCCTACGAACTACGACAGTGTTCATCCTAGCATGAGCGCCAGATCATCCGTCTCAGAGCAATTTTTTGACGCCGAGGATATTATCTTGAGTGGAGGTGATGACAATGATTCCTTTGGCGGCGGTGAAGAAGCTGAAGACACTACCAACGAAGATAGCAGTGACGACGATGATGGTACGCTTTTCTGCGGTTTATTTTAAATGACACTATCTATTGCAGGGTAGACAAAGACTTACGTCACGTATATCAAACAGAACCTGAAGTCAATGGCCATGATACAGAAGGTTCTTTGGAGTTGAGCATTGCCGGTGACTGTGTTCGTCGCAATCGACTTCCATCGCACGCTGTTGGTGATGTTGGATCTGCACTTTCCGTGTTTAGGAAGAACGTCGGCAAGGATTTGTCCACTATTGCTATGCCCATCAGCATGAACGAGCCGCTTAATATGCTGCAACGAGCATGCGAGGATTTGGAGTACAGTGAAGTCTTAAACAAGGCAGCGACGTTGTCCGACTCGATGGAACGTCTTATGCATGTCGCTATCTTTGCCGTGTCGAGCTTCGCTTCTTCGCAATATCGTACTGGCAGAAAGGTAAGAAAACTGAGCACGCGTAACAAGAGGGAAAGAGTTGTGCTACATTATTTGAAACTTGTCCAGTAATTAACATCAATTATATATAGCCGTTTAACCCAATGATGAATGAAACTTATGAGAACATACGACCGGATAAAGGCTTCCGTTTCGTAGCCGAGAAAGTCTCACACAACCCGTTAATTATCGCTGTAAGTCTTTCCTGTCTGTTTGACGTAATAATGAACACTATTAACTTCTTTTTCCTAGGCTCATGCCGAAGCAAAGGCCTACAAATACTGGCAATGTACCAAAATTAAGAGTAAATTCTGGGGCAAGTCTATGGTAAGCATTTGCATTTTGCAAGGGAATTTTAAATATTTGACCAAAGTATGCTTAAAATCACGCCCGTGCTATGATTAAAAACAGGAATTCATGACTGAAGGTGTGTTCCATGTCACGTTGACGGGCCACGATGACCACTTTACGTATAATAAGCCATCCAGCTGGATGCGGAACATGATTGCTGGTGAAAAGTATCTGGAGACAGCTGGTGAAATGCAAATAACAAACCATACAACTGGCGAATATGCTACTGTGGCATTCAAGGAAGGTACTGGCGGTGGTCTGTTTGGCGCGCCTTCGAACCGAAATGATGTGGTCGCGACGTTCTATGATGCCAAAGGCAAAAAGTGTAGACGTATTGTGGGCAAGTGGAGCGACAAGCTGGCCGAGGAAGTCGACATGAACAAGCGCAAACTTTCAGTGCTGTGGACTGCAAACCCACCTGGAATTGAAGATTACACCAAATACTATGGATTCACCCGGTTCTGTGTCGAATTAAATGAAATTACGGATATCGAACGTAATAAGCTGCCTATCACTGATACTCGATATCGACCTGATCAGCGCTTATATGAAAATGGTAGGAAGAGATTACACCACCCTCCTTATTGTACAGCATAATATGTTTACCACGATAGAACAAAAACTAATAACACGAAAAATTAGGATTGGCTGATGAGGCAGACACAGAGAAGCAACGGATAGAGCAAAGGCAGCGTGAACGCCGAAAAGAGTTTGCTGACAAAGGGATTGCATGGAACCCACGCTGGTTTACTATTCAGCCTGATCATTATGCAGACCCTCTTTTTATTCCACCTAGTGAAGGTCAACCCACCTCAGGTGAAGGCCAGTCTTTCCAATATACCGGACAGTATTGGCAAGCTCGTGAATCAGGCCAATGGCCTAGTGATATGTTCGAATTGTGGTAAAAATAATAACAACTTTAATGTATACCTGGTTTTTTGATATATTATAGAAACTATACTGTACAAGCAAAACTTCCTTCATCCTCCATCCTTTTCTCCTCCTCCTCCTCCTCTGCCTCCAATCCTCTTAAAACAGAGACAAATTTAGTAATCCTAAAGAATAGAGAACAAGATTAAAAAAAGCTTGCACGCAAATATACAGCCACTATTGTTCCCATATTCTTTTTGTTAACCAACTTACTGAGAATCTGTCGGGCAAAACGACCGGTGCAACAAGTGACCATCCATAAAAGATATGGCACAACCAGCCTGAGACAATCTTGACCCAAACTGCAGTGTAACTTTGTCCAATTCGGACAAAGTCACCATCGTCGTTGTTACTTGGGCCCTCAGCATCTTCCATGGAAATCGTGTTCCTTAAATGCATATAAGTCTCGTCATTATTCGCTTTGCCACTGAGGCTACTATAACAAAGGAAAGTGATCGGTCGTTACCAGTTGGTCAGAACCATGGCTATATACATGGCAGCGATAGCAAAGACAAAGTGGAAGAACGAGTAGTTGTAGACAGACCCATATCGCTCATCATCCTTATCATCAAAATCGTAGTCATCATCGTCGTCATCATCTTCATCCAATGCTGAACGTGGGAGCGCACTATAAACGCGGAGCATAAGTATTGATATCCATTTCCTCCAGCTACGGCATTATTTGCAGTCAACTCACCCGCTCTCCACAGCAGCGACCAAACGAGCACGTGCCGAACCATCAGTGCTCATTCTCTGTGCACCAGCTTCAACCTGATTAGCCATCAATGGGACAGCGCTTTCAGTTTCTAAGGGTTCATAATTTTGGCGACGTGCCTTATTCATGAGTGCACTATCCTGCGTAGCAGCCCTGCTAGTAGAATAAGCAACGGCCAAGAATGTAAAGATAGCACCGAGAACAATAGATGTTGTTTGTGGGCCTTGAGATCGTCGAAGAGGGTTACATTGTTTGTCATTTGGCTCGTTTGCGACAGCCGACAAGACCAAGTAAGTACAATAGATGACAACGATCGATGCTTGTGACAGTCCAGAGCGAGGATTGGCGGATTGGACCGAAGGTGAAATGCACAAGATGGTGACCAACAGGCAAAGAATCAAGTTTAATGTGACAAAAAATTGGTTCAAAGAACAGCCGTTGGTAGCAAAAAACCCGTACATAATGCCAGTCAAGGTGACAGCACCTGAAAACATCAATAGAGTGCCAGCTACATATAATTCGACAACAATCAAATCGATGTGGTTCAATATAAAAGAGCATTACCAGTCATCCATATTCGTCTGTCCAATTTGTCTTACCAATTAAGATGTACTTCCATCGGTTATTATCGCTCATTTCATAGTTTTCCAAACATCGTTCTGTCCAACTATGGGCGAAATCAACCAGCAAAACAAGGCCAAACAGGATGAAAATTGCTGCACCGATCAAAGCAAAGTAATTGCCCCATACCATGAAAAAGCCATTAGGGATAAAGAACGATGCAGTCAACAATGCAAGCCAAATAAGCACTTTTGGTCCCCACCATCTACGATAATTATAAAGAATAAGAATTCAAGATAAAGGCCTTGTCGGTTTCCTAAGAAGCGGAAATTATGATGCATTGTAGACTCACCCATTTTGAAGGTTTGCTCGCTTTTGCCGGCTATCTCGAACGCCAAGTAACACGATACCTAGTAGCGCATGGAACAATACTAGTGCAAAGCATACTCGATGCACCTACATATATTGTATGGTTCTTTTGTAAGAAACATGGCTTTCACTCTCTTTCTTTGCCCATGCATAAAGAGAAAATACGTACTGCAATGATACCATAACAAGTCCCACCGGCACATTCCAGTTTCATATAGTCAAGTGTAAGGTGTTGTAGTTGTTTGATTGCCCAATTGGATAACATGAGCCAAGCGAGCTAACAGTACATTGGTTTTTATGCATAAACCATGAGCTTCCTAGATATTAAACGTTCAGGCAGAGAAAGTGAAAACACTCACGATTGAATTCAATAGGAAAATAATCTGTTGATACGATAAAACTGTACGTTAGTATTTCCTCGATTGAAAATAGTTTATAACAGATAGTCTCTAAGTCTCGTTTTTCTTTTACGTACAGCGTAGCCGATGCGTGTGGCGATAGAATTGTTACAGTTGCAGCTATAAGCATAGGAAGCAGTAAATGCCAAGAACGATTAAAAGTGAATGCATAATAAAGTTTCCAACTTGATTGTCTAACCTTTTACAAAAAAGCGAGCATGCTGCAGCCGAAAAGCAACTGGCTATCCATGTTCCAACTGATCCAAGCGCTGGCAATGCAATGCAACTCAATGCAGCTCCCATTGTTGTTGTATGTAGTAAGTGAAAAGAAACAGATAATTCCCAAATTTAGCATAACGACTTCTTTTAAGCTCATCGTTACTCCGTCCCACTTCCTGCGGGTGCTGCATCAATCGCAAAACTACTACTGCCGGCTGAGCAAATTGGCAATATTTTATATACCTCGCTATTTACAAGAGCCGCAAAGCACACAAAAAACATATTAATGAAAGAATTCTCGGATTATAATATCTTTTTATACATTCAAGTTTTTTTAAGGGTGCTGCTACGAGACGTTGCCATGGGGACCTCGGGTGCACCTTTTGATGCCCGTTTCCGTTGCTTGGATTCAAACTCATGCCAGTCACCATGGATATCCAATAAGCTAGATTTAAGGTTAACATTTGTCCATTTCTACCAACGATAGCAGTAAGACGAAAATAAAAACTCACTTTTCTGGAGCAACAGCTTCCGGCTCTTCTTGTGTGAAATATTTGAATTCCAATGCCTTTGTTGCAGTAGGTCGTTTTTGTGGATCCATGGATAACATGGCTTCTAATAATTCCAAAGCTCCTGGCGAGAGCATGCTGAAGACGATATGCCATGGTTAATTGTGTTGATCCAGCAGTATGAAAGTTGATATGTCTATGATATTAATTCTTATTTCCTAACCTTTCATACAGTTCCTTGAATCTATTGGGGTATTGTTCTCTTGGTCGGACCAGCTCGTACCACGGAAGCTGATTTATTGTTGGCCATGATTCCAAAGTCGGCGTGCCCATGGTTCGATATATCAAGTCCAGCTGTGTAATTTCGTCGCTTCCATTAAAAGCAGGCTTGCGTGCAAAAAATTCAACCATAATGCATCTAAAATGTATATAGTAGGTTGAGTATACTTTTGCAATAACTATCCCACCTCTGCCTCCTAATTTAAAGTCACTTACCCAACGCTCCAGATATCAACAGCAGGTCCATATGCTGTAGCACCGAGTAGTAGTTCAGGGGGTCGATACCATAATGTTATCACACGGTTGGTATAATCATTGGATGAATTCTTTTGAAATGCTCGAGCAAGTCCAAAATCAGCAATCTTTAGCTCTCCTTTGTTGTTGACCAACAAGTTCGAGCCTTAAAATATACACATATGATTATTATCAGTGCTATTTTTCGACATCCTCCCTCCACCCATTTCGCCTCCTATTACCTTTGATGTCTCGATGTAAGATACCCATTTGATGCAAATAGGCAAGGCCTTCCAACATCTGCCTCACCAAGAATTTCGCATGTGCCGGTTCAAAATTGAAATTAGGATGACTTAATATACCAGATAGATCGTGATCCATATATTCCATGACCATATAAACCGAACCTATCAAACAATTTAAAGTAGCTGTTAACCCTTGGTCATATTGCTGCGTACAAACGCATACGTTCTTTCAAGGTAATCGTCAACAATCCTACCCCGTGCAACCATGATTTGTTGCAGTTCGACAATCCGCTCATGCTTGAGTCTTTGTAGCAACTTAATCTCACGCATAGCCGTTATCGGGAACTAAAGAGAAGATCAGTCATCTAAGGCAACCAAGTTTATCGTCGTTAACATCGGATATTCGAGAAATAACTTACTCCGTCTTTATCACCCTTCATCCTTATACGCTTCAATGCCATCAGGTTACCAGTTTTACAGTTTCTTGCTTTATACACCTTGCTGAGTATGCAATATTGATTAGTATGAAGAACGGGTGTTTTTATCAAAGAAGAAGAAAAAAGTACACGACGCATAACCATCTACAAAGACACATTGAGACATAATGACTTACCCATAGTTTCCTTCTCCAACTTGGCCGATCTTCTCAAATAACGAAGCTGGATCATCCTCTGTCCGAGAAGGATAGCCAACATCGTCCAACACCGAATCAGGCACACCACCCATATGAGTTGGACTCAGAGGTCGTTGTGGCATACGACGATCTTTGCTTGTATCTATCCGTTCCGGTGATGCTGTCAATTGCTGAGGACTATTTCCTGGTCGCATAGTAGCATTGCTGGATGTGTTTGTAGCAACGGCAGTGCCATGTAATCTACCAGTATCAGGGACTCTCGAATCTTCGGTGCTCCGAGAACCTGGATAGTTGTTGTTATAATGCCATGGCCGTGTCGGGGGATGATGATGGTGATTATTCTGGGAGGATCCTGGTACGGGTTGTGAACCAGGTGGAGGAGGAGGAGGAGGAGGTGGTGGTGGTGGTGGAGGGGGCGCGGTCGCTGCCTGCTGTTGTTGTTGTTGCATTCCATGTGCGCGTTGAGGCGCGTAGTAATTTTGCTGGTAATATTGCTGGTAATAAGCTTGCGATGCAGGGTCGTGTCTGTAATAGGATGCATAATGGTGATAATGATCGCTTGAGTATCCGTGCTGTGTATTGTAATCAGCCCATGCGGATTCATGCGCATTTGATGACCATGGATGCTGTTGTGAATGTTCGTCGTGCTTCCCGTAATAGTTCCAATGCTGTTGATAATGGTGATGTTGATTTTGATGATGGTGTGCAGCTGGTTGTTGAGGTGGTTGCTGATGATAGAACGCGGCAGGAGCGGTTGGTAATGTAGCACCTGTTTCTGCAGCTGGTGCCTGTGGTGTTTGCGCTGCTGCTGCTGCTGCTGTCGTCGTACCGCTTGTCGTCACAGTGCTTGACGTTTGTGATGGCGGTACGGGAGCGGAATCATTGTCTCCGTTCAGAGCTTCAGATGGAGTGAGTAATGGCTTCTTATCAGCAGAAGCAGTAGTAGTAGTGCTACTGTTTTCTTGTTTATCATGCTCACGCTTGTTGCTGCTACTGTATCCACGAGACGACGAAGAATTATGATGGTGTTCTCCTGATGCTCTTCGATTGCTGCTACTGCCATAATGATAGTCGTGATAACGATCATGAAAACGGTCACTATAGGATGACCGGTCTTTGCTGGTGCTGCCACTCCTTCGTTCTCGACTTGATCGTCGTGAACGAGATGACCGTCGGCTACTACGCGACGATCGTTCATAATCGTGCCGTGAATCGTGCCGTGATGACGAATGGTGGCTGCTCCTGTAACCGTCGTCTCCATAATTCCTCCGCTTTTCGTCTCTGTAAGTGCTGCTTCTGTGACGACTACTACTTCGATGATCGTGATCGTCTCTCGATCGTTTTTCCCCAACAGCACTGCTATTCGATTTGGTTTCGGATCGGTGTGAGGACGAGGAGTGTTTTTGCTTTTCAGAAGATTCCCGTGGTTTTTCTTCTGGCATATGAGACGTCGTTGATTTCGGCGAGTCGTTTGTCGTAGTAGTGGCAATGGCTGTCCTTTCCGATGCTGCCGCTGCCGGTGCACTTTTGACTCGATCAACGTCCGTACCGCTTTGCTCCATAAAAAAATATGAAATCTCGAGCCCGCTCTTGTGTTAATAATTTGAAAAAGGATTAAGACTGCTTTCAGAGAAAAGAATATATAAAATTAACAAATGTAAAAGGGTGTAAGCTGTAAAAATACTGATAAACAACAGCTGTGTGCGTGAATTATACAAGAAGAACGGGAAATTCAAAAGAGGCTATACATTACGTGCTTTTAGAAAAAGTAGAACGCGGTTTCCAAATGTGTTGGATTGCCCGTCGAGAGCGACTGGCTTCTTTCAAAGTTCGAACAGCGATAGCCAATATGCAAAATTTGCTTAGCAAACATTGTAGCCATTCCCGAATACGTGCTGTTCTTCATCATAGCAATTAAAGTGTCAAGTGTAGAACATGCAGTAACGCTTTCAGGAGACATAATTGAACTCTAAATATTCTTAAATAAAGGATATGCAAGTTGGGAAAACCTGAAGGATACCCGGGATAAAATTGATGATGCTGTGTACCAGTTGATACTAATAGATCAAGCGGGTCGTTTCAAATCTTGACTTCATCTCTTGCTGGAAAACGCTCTTCTTTATCCCGTTCTCATTATCTTTATTTTGAATCGACGACAATCAAAAAGTTTCTCGAGAATGTCACTGGCCTTGACTGATCTTGGCAATGCGTACAGCTGATGCTGGCAGCCACGGAACATCTAGACACCTACACACATATTCGTTTACTGTACAATGCTCTCGTTTCTCTCTGACAACATACATATACCATTATGATATTACGGTTGGCCCAGTGGATAAAGCATCATACATGTTTACAAGCAGCATTCCACCAGCCATAAACCGTAAAGGTTCGAAAACATTTGTGGACATTGGGGGACTAATGTTTCCTGAACAAACACGTCCAATTTACGATGGCCGTAAGAATGTATTCACTGCCGCCCCACTACGGCTCGGCGGTCGAAAAGAAGGTTTAGTTTCTGTTGTTCTACGCATTTACCATTTTGTTAGCAATGCGGCCCGAAGGCTACAACATTCCAATGATGTATATTCTCATACCTTTTACATATCTTTGGTAAGATACTAAAGCTTTCTACTTGATGTTTGCAGTCAAAGAAAGAAAAGGCTGGTTAAATTAATAGAAGTAATAACTCATTCCAATATAAACGTTATACTATAAGCCTATTACTGTTTAGCTACATCTTTTTGCAGTTCAGTTCTCATAAACAAAAAGATAAAGTGGGAAAACCATGTAGCTCTGCATTTCTTCTGATACGACATATTATCGTTGACTGTTTTTGCACGTATGTAGCTTACAATCAACCCGGAGGTCCGGTGTAAACTGTGGGCTGGGTTACGGATTGAGTAGACCCATGAGGTGGGTACTTTTTCACCCGACCCCTAGCCCACTGATGGACCGACCACTGTATGTGAAGAGCTTATATATTGTGCACCAGATCCCTGCTGTTGATAGTTAAAAAATCATGTGAAATTCTAGTTGACCTGTGCCATGGGCATGCGGTCGCTTCCTTTCGATACTAGTTGTTCAAGCGTAGAAAAACGCTGAATGTGGTGCCATCACTGATAATCCCCAAGGGGGGAAAAAGTGTGGCCGGAGAAGAGAAGTGGTGGTGTTATATGACATAAAGGTAGGTTTAGAGTGGCAGAGGAAGAAGTTATATGATGAGGTAACGGGTGCTAACATACTGCATCGAGAATTTTAATGGCTGTCTTGAGAAGAAGCTGGTGGTGACAATTTGCTTGAGAGAGCACCCTCATATAGAAGTGATTTCTAAGGTATAGATACTTTACATTATATGCAACAATGAGCCCTTGATTATAAGTCTGTGTTACTTTTTGTGAAAACGACATGTCTACCAGTCTTTGTATATATACTCTTGATGCCCAAGTGGACTTCACATAAAATACAATGTATGCACCAAAAGAGATTTATACTGCGTACGACATACTGTTCTCCTGGATACATAGTTCCTTTGACACGACGTACATTGACCCGCCGTACCAAATAGATCGGATTAGACTAAGCATTAATTAGGCGGCAGCGTGTACATAGACCAGATACTTGACAGCTGCTTGTATGTATAGTACACAGCAGTATATGTAATCGCACTGATTCTCTTCTTGTTTCAATATCTTGATGTGATATGAATGATTCTGCTGTTTACTAGCAGTGCCCCTTTCATTTGGCACAATCGAATTGTAACAAGCTGAGTAAGAGAAAAAATCAATAGACTCCACACCAAACTATACTCTACAGTGATGCTACCTTATCTGTTGCTGTTGGTCGTTCCTACATACAGCGATTGTCGGTGCTTCCGTTCCAGTCAGCAAAGTATGGTTTTGTGGACAATTCGCTGTTTCGCCTAGCATTATTCTACTCGACACGAGTGTAAAGCATTACGATTTAAGCGGCGATCATGACACGGCTGCATATCAGCATGTCAAAAAACACATTGAGCATCCATGTGTATATGTATGCTCATAAACTACAGTGCTACCATATGTCATGCTGGCTCTTATAGTTTTAAGCGACGAGCGGCCAAATGCTTGGGTGTGTTCCACGATCATGTGTGTATAATCGATCGAACGAACGAATGGAAAGGGACAGCTCATCCATCAAGGACGATCAAGAGTGACACGCTTGTTCAAAGCACTTATTATTTCTAATTTCGAACTTTGGAAGGCAATCGAGTGTGATCAACGCCATTCACTTCGAATTGTTGTCATTCGACAACGTTGATTCAGGTTGTGTCTCTTTCCACAAGCACTGACGACACTCACAACGACTGCTCTTTTTTATATCATTTTCTTTGTTTTAAATTGTGTCCCAATGACACTGCGATTCTTTTGAAAAGAAAACACACGTCATTAGGACTTAAAAGTGGTGAAATCTTGCCCCCACGGGCTTATTGGGGAGAAATATGGTTTTTCACACACACGCGTGTCTGCTTGCTCACTCTCACAGGGGGGACCATCCAGGGGCTTTCGGGGTGCCCCAGCTAAGAGTAAAAAAGGAACTGTTAGTAGCCGGGTACTTTCTATCCTAGATACAAAAAGAGTGACAATGAACGATAAAGAAAAATAAAAAGGCGGACAAGACAGGGTGGGGGAAAGGCAACGAGTCGGCGTAGTGGACGTATAGTTTTTATTAGCTGTCCTTCTAGCTATATTCTGGGAGCCGGTATTCCTCGCATATGCAAAAAACGCAACACTGCACTGCCAATAGCCAACCCTACCAACCTGCTCCTTCTCTCCCCAAAGAAGCAGTCGTAGGCGTCCCCTGAAGGATGGGTGAGGGAATCTAGGGGACCGGATGAGAGAGTGAGCAAGTAGTCGTTTGTGTGTGAAAAAAAAGGTAGGAGAGGAAAGGGAAAGGAAAGGAAAGGAAAAAAGAATCTGGACCGGTTCTTTTTATCTTTGGTTTCTTTTTTTTGACGTCCCGCCCCACCGCCGCAGCATGCTCATCACTATGGCTTTCTCTTTCATAACGTAGTCATTAAGGGCAGTGACTTGCATGAGATGGTGATGGTTGGTGTTGCCTATGAGCAAGGCTCACTGCGATACTGGAAGTGTGTGCACCTTATGCTGCTCATTGTTCTCTCTGGATTCTTTTTTAAGACACCGCCATGTCAATACGACGCGACCTTTGTGGCCTGTCAGTGACCTGGCAGCATATTCAAATGAGTGTTTACGCTGATGTCGGTTTGTTTGATACAGACTGCCCGTACTGGGAAATGATATCGACTGTGGTTTTGCCCTACTTGTTCTCCGCTGTTGCGATAGTTCTGTCCAATAAAGAGCCTGATTCTTTCATGTGAAGATATGTACTGTCATGTGTATCTTTTGATCCGCTACTGTCCAAATTGCCACTGGCTGCATTTCCAAGTCAAGAAGCAGTTGTTGATGGGGGAACAGCACATTGCGTACGTTGACAGGCGGTCGACCTTGTCTCAACATGTAATGGATAGTTAAATTACGTCGCATTGCTTTTTAAAGCTTCAAGGGAAATTTCGATCAATAGACGCGCCACCCAAACGGATACCTGATATGATTGATGAGTAGCTTACAGAGCATGTACCAGCAAAGAATTTCTTTTCTTAAAGTTGCCAAATGGCTATCAAGTATGCGTGGCTGGGAACGATGTGTGTCGAGTAAAGCGCCTCGCGGATGAAGGCTCGATGGCTTCGATAATGATTGCTGTCGATTTTTCCAAAAGAATGGCTCTGATATGCAGTATCGCATGTGATTGTCACGGGTGTAATTAACCAATGTTTATTGATAGATACTGCTCTGATAAGAAATAGGGGCTGTACTACTGATTGGGGGGAGATGGGAGAGATGGAAGGGGGAGCTACGACTATTACATCACAATTGCGGATATCATAGCTAGTCTAGCTTTTACAAAAGAAAGGTCTTGTCTTGCCTTGGATACGCGCATCGTGAGATGCAGAAAACCGCTCACTGACCTTTTTGCTCGTTATTTCTGTATGCAAGGTGAACGCGGTCAGCCTTTTTGAAGCTCTACTGAAAGAGAGAAAGAGAGAGAGAAAGCAAGAGAAGGAGAGCCACCACTAGTTCAGCGATACAGTTCCCAACAGCTTCAACATTAGGGTGTATGCTAATTAGCTATATCGTCGTCTTCAAGCTATGTCTCAAGTGATTTACATCGATTTCCCTATCATAGTCCCCAGGTGAACTTGCCGGCAGCCTCCTCCGGAAATCCTGTACCTTTGTCGAGATCATATTGTAGATGCGGCTGGCATCGAAAGGTGTGTCATCAAATATATATCGCCAATGTGATGCCCAGATGAGGTGGACGGCGATGATGATCGTGTGTGGTGGGATCGTGGCGGTGGTCTTGGACCGAGGTGGATCGAGCGTGTGGCAATAAGCATTGAGCTCTTGAAAATTATAGGAGCAATGATGGTGTGTATAGACGGTTTTGCGGAGGATAGAAGTTGTGAGGTTGTTTAGTGAATGATTGTTGACCAATGGAATTAGGGAGATAAGAGGCCCCTCATTAATGACCGTGGTCGGTCCAAAGCTCAATACTGTGCAAACGTTTGCTTAAAATTCAACATGGAGCTTGGTGGTTTGAATGCTTGTTTGCCAGCAGAGCAAACCCCTTTCGTCTCCCAGCGACCGACAATCGTATTTGGCGCCGATGTGACACATCCATCACCTGGTAACATGAACCAAGCCTCTATTGCCGCCTTGACGGCTTGCATGGATATGCGAGCCACGCGATACTCGAGTGCCATCAGAATGCAAGCTATAAAACACGGGAATTACAAGTGATTCGAAGGGTATGGTCAAAATGCTTCAAAAGACGCTTCATCAATCATGCGGTCAGAAGCCGCTACGGGTGTTATTTTCTCATGACAGAGTCGCCGACAGTCAGGTTGAGACTGTTCGAATTGAAGAGATTCGGGTAATCCACAGTGTATGTGAGGAGCTTGACAACGGGTACAAAACCACAGTGACATTTGTGGTGGCTCAAAAGCGACATCATGTCCGTTTCTTTTCTATTCAACCAGAAGGTGCGGATCGCTCGATTGGAAGCTGCAAGCCAGGCAATAAATTTTTGATACAGATATTGTTCATTCTTTTCAGTTTGACTTTTGTAGCTTCCTTAGATGTATACTTCCAGTATTCAAAGCTTAGTTGTAAACATACGTGCGCTAGGAGTAGCGATGAAAAACTGTTTTATCCCATCAAAGAGACCTGTTATCTCTCTCATCCTGGGCTACAACGCTCGGCAAACGCATGATGTATTATATTATCATTATTACCTAAGTTTGTATTATAAATCTTCATGGCTAGAGTACATAGTAGCCAGTTTATATGGCAGCTGTAGACACAGCCTCACTGATTTTTTCGTATTGTATTTCATACTATTAAGAAAGATTGGATTGACCGGCGCCATAAAGCAGTCGCTTTCTTACTACTGTAATATAAGTCATTTTTAACTTTTTTTTTGCATATCTTATTGTTACAAACATATAAAAAAAACTATATGGGTTTCATTTAGCATCCTCTATGGCGTTTATTGTACAATTTACTATATATGTACAACAGAAATATGTAGCTGCTTTAAGTCTCACCTTGTTATCGTTTGGCAGCCATATAAGGTATCCGAGCTTGACATCTAATTGTCTTCTCGAAGATTGGCAGAAAGAAGAAGACATACTATATCCATGATACCATGCTAAGTTGTTGTAGTACTGTAGAATTAAAGATGATGTATAGTAGCCTTGGCAGCATGTAGAAGATTTTAAGCCGTATAATACTGTATATATATACACCATTATACGTCTAATGTATCTTTATTAGATGGAGGCTCTTTCTTACTACACTACTGTATCATACGGTAATGTAGCTGTTGATGAAGTCGAAAAAGCTATATTACATATGGAGAAGCAACCTTAAGCAATTATAGTCCAAAACCAGCATCATGGTTTTTTTAAGAGAAATCGGCAAGAGCGAAAATTTGCTGCATAGAAGCATAGCGCAAACAAAAAGCTCTTTGAAAAAACCGGATTCAGTGCACGAGGCATTCGATATACGGAATGCGATTTTTTAATTGCATGAAATGCAGGCTGTCAAAGAGCTTCTATATCACAATGCATTGTGCAAACGCTACACAAGTTGTTGTCGCACAAAATCACGATATCTGTCATCATGCGCCACACTCTGTACCGCTTTGTGCAGCATTAGCTTAGAATTTACGTTTTATGGAAGACTAAGTGGACGGGGCATGCGGTCCACTTACATGAGAGACCGTGTGGAGGGGTGATATTGGTAAATGGAGACGTGATGCAATGATGAAAAAAACCCACGTCGGGAAAAATTATGTATGATAGCAATCAAAGTCTACCATCCAGCGTCCTCTAGGAGCTTTCTGCATTCACATGCTCCTTTACTCGTTTACATTAGAGAATCTGAATAAACACAATGTCATATACCGACATATGAAACAGCTGCCATATGCATGACTACCTCTACTATTTCCTTCAATGTCAGAGAACGCTTTTTATTGTTATTACGCTACAGCTTCTGTATGAACGATTCTTAAAAATAAATAGCATCTATCACATACTGTACGCTGAGATACTCCAACCGCGTAGAGGTGCATTTTATTTTGTATTCCATGTTATATTCTTAACTTGCTAATGTTGGCAGTGCTGTGCTGTAAGATCAAGAAGGATTAACACTACAGTATATGTAGAACGCCTTGTTATTTCCATTCATGTCACGTATAAATCTGGAACACCTTCTGCAGCACTAAATTTCTCACAGGAGACCGTCTATAAATGGTGACGTATTTTTTTGTTTCATACATCACTCACATTTATGTACTCTTATTTACATAATTTTATTATCATAGCGCAACTAGAAGTATGGTACTAACAATTATCAAGTTAATTGTATACATTGGAACTGTCTCTGATGCACATGCATAAACCTGTCATGTGCTGTGAGTCTTGTATGAGATTATCAGTACTTCTCTGCCATCACTCACTGCAATGGTCAAAAAGACCACAGTTTCACTTTTCGGTATATTTTTCTCTGTTACATCTTCTCCTATTCCTCTTCCAGTAATACCTCTTCCAACAAATCAAGCATGGCGTTGAATCTCACAGACTTTGTGATGCGTCCAAACCCGGGCATAGCAGGCGCACTTGTGTCTGTCCGCTCCAACTTTTTCCGAGTACAATCGTTCCTGCGTGGCAATGTCTATCATTACCACATTGAAATCGCGGACATGGCAAACAAGTCATCGAACATACCTCCAGCTCTCAATCGTCGAGTCTGGAAGGCCTTTGAAAGTACCGGCGGCCAAGGTATCTTGAATGGTTCTCGTGCCATCTATGACGGACGCAAGAACGTCTTTACAGCTATGCCTTTGAGAACTCTGACAGCTCATGAGGCGAGTCAGTTTGAGGTAAATGCACTACTGTTTGTGTGAAAAGAATGTCACTGACCCTATATCTTTACTAAAAAACACATAATTATTGGCTTGTGTCATGTCTGCTAATCACTGTAGGTGGAGCTGCCGCAAGAAGGTGCTGCTGCTACTGGACCCCGTACATCGTCCACCCGGCCTTCTAGTGGTATATTCAAAGTCAAAATTAAGCAAGCTGGTGAAATTAAAATGGAAGAGCTGCATCGATTCCTGCAGGGCACTTCAAGTCTGACGACAAACTGCCTGACAGGTGTGTATTATTCAATATCTAAAGCATTCTCTCTCTGTCTTTGTGTGTGTGTACATGAGTGGACCATCATATAATCGTTACTAAAAGTCACAACAACAACACACTGGTTACTATATAGCCGTTATGGCGCTTGATGTCCTCATCCGGTATTTGCCAAGCATGAAGTACAACACCGTGGTAGGCCGCTCTTTTTATACACCTGTTGGAAGTCAATCACTTCACGGTGGTCTTGAAGTCTGGCAAGGTTACTTCCAGACGTCCCGGCCTGGGGTCGGGAGCATGTACATCAATGCTGATGTCAGTGCAGCAGTATTTCGGGAGGGTGGTCCCCTGCTGGAAGTGGTTGCTAAGATCATTGGCCGCCGATCGATTGATGAACTTCGACGTGGCCTTCCAAACAAAGACCGAGCCAAGCTTGAGAAGGCACTGAAGAATGTCCAGATACAAGTCAGACATCGAGGTGAAAAGAAGTTCAAATACAAGATTACCGGCTTGACGCCTGCGCCAGCTGATCGTACGTTCTTCAAGGACCAAGACAACAATGAAATGAGCGTAGCACAGTACTTTACGGCTCACTACAACATGGGCCTCCGCTTCCCGTTTCTGCCGTGTATCATCGTGCGCAAAACTATATTCTTGCCTATGGAAGTCTGTGACATTGTCCCTGGCCAGCGATACAACAAAAAGCTCGACGAGCAGCAGACGGCTGAAATGATCACTTTTACATGTCAAAAGCCGGATGTTCGAGCCAACAAGATCAAGCAGGGATTCACGTTGCTCGAAACGAACAACCCGTATATGCAGCAATTTGGCTTCAAGGTCGAACCGGAAATGTCCATCGTCAAGGCACGTGTTCTTCCGCCGCCGCAGATCTCATACTCAAGCACGCCACCATCACAAGGTGCATTTGTGCCAACGGGTGGTGCGTGGAACATGCGAAACCGCAAGGTGGTGCAAGGCGCAACACTGGGTTCGTGGTCTGTCGTCAACTTTCACTTGGACTTTCCTCAAAACTCCATCGCCAGATTTATCCGTGAACTGTGCCAATCGTTTATCAACACTGGCTTGAACGTTATCAACCGCAATCCACCCATCATACATGCCGATCCGCAAGGCAACATTGACCGCACATTGAAGGAAGCGTGGCTTAAGGCCGGTAATCATGCCAAGGCAGCACCGCAATTGATCGTATGCATCCTGCCCAACAAGGGTGTCTCGCTTTATGCAAAGATCAAGTATGTCACTGATACCGTCATCGGCATTCCCAGCCAATGCGTCCAGAGCGCTCAGGCCTACAAGGCAAGCCCCCAATACTGCGCCAACGTTTGCCTTAAAGTCAACGTAAAGCTCGGCGGCGCGAACGTATACCTGGGGCCCACGCAGATCCCCTTCGTTTCGCAAAGACCTACTATTATTTTCGGGGCGGATGTGATGCATCCAGAGCCTGGAAACATAAACTGTCCCTCTATTGCTGCTGTGGTGGGCTCCATGGATGCTCGGGCCGCACGATACTCAAGCGTCATCCGCATTCAATCAAGCCGAACAGAAATCATTGCTGACTTGGCAAACATGGTCATAGAGCTGCTCAAGCAATTTTACAAGGCGTGCGGCCAAAAGCCAGAACGAATCCTATTCTACCGTGATGGTGTCTCGGAAGGGCAGTTTGGCGAAGTCCTAAAATCCGAGGTGGCGGCCATTCGCAGCGCTTGCTTGACGCTTGACAATGATTACAAGCCTAAGATCACCTTTGTGGTTGCTCAAAAGCGCCACCATGCTCGATTCTTCCCGATAAAAAGGGATGGCGCAGATAGGAGTGGCAACTGCAGCCCAGGCACTGTCATCGATACCGACATTGTGCATCCATTCGAGTTTGATTTTTGTAAGCGTGATCAGCCTATCCTGTTATAGCGAGGAACGATTAGCCAGTCTTGACATGTTTTTTTTTTTCGCTGCTAAAAAGATCTTCAGTCTCACGCTGGAATCCAAGGAACGTCCCGTTCCACACATTACCATGTTCTTTACGATGACAACAAATTCACATCGGACTCTCTCCAAGAACTCACGTACCGGCTTTGCTACATCTATGCTCGAGCAACACGCGCGGTATCATTAATCCCGCCGCTTTACTATGCAGACCTGCTCGCAAGCCGCGCTCGTCTCCACCGCCGAGATGCCAACTGGTCTGACACCACTGGAACACCCGAGACCTTCGACCCGGAGCAGCAAATAACCAGCTACGGCGCCGTCAAGCCGGATTTGCAAAAAGGTAAGAGCAGCACATGTTCTTATTTTGATAACTTTTCATGTTTATCATCGGTACTAATCGACTTTATTTTGTTAATGTAGTCATGTACTTCCTGTAGATGACTACCACAGTAACATGTCCTTCGTTTGCGGTTTTTGAGCTCCTGCGTATATCTTTGCTTAACTTTTTTTCCGTTGACTCATCCACATACTTCTTTGCTTACAAATTTTGATAAATTCCATTATCAATACTTCCTAGTTGCTTGCTTGTCTCCCCAGAAGAAAAAACTACAAAAGCTTATAACGCGTGATTTGATGATTGAGGAGTATGATATACGTGAGGGGTGGTTCCAGAGACACACAGAAATAAGTATATCTTAAAAGGAAAACCAATGGGTGTTTTTGAGCCCATTCTCTCTTTGACGAAGCAATGGATTTCACTAAAGGTAGTCAAAGGAGAGATGTGGCTTTTCGTTCTTACACGTGTGATTGGAGCCGACGTCAATATATTATGCTTTTTATATATTCATTCTGGTTGTGCACGTCTACGGAAATGACAAATGACACGGTTTTATAAAACTGTCGGTCAGAAGGCCATTTTCATTATTAAGCAGGGCGAATATAATGCAACACAAAAAACTGGACCCTGCATCATAAGAGCAAGATGGTTTCAGATAACGATGACGATAGCATTGGAAAATCCGGAACCTTTGCTGTTGTTGCTACATATCCCAACGACCGAAGCTTATTAAACTGCCCGAGAGGACATTACGTATCAGTGAATAAGGAAAGATCAGAAAATTACGGTACTGAAAAGCTGGTGTTCTAAATTGCTTCCACTCCATTTTTTTTTGTGTACTGTATTGGAGTGTTACCTCCGAAGAAAAAGTTATTTATACCAATTCATGTTCAAAAGAAGGTACGGTAGTGGCGGCCGCAAAGAACTTAGGGATTGAAGATACGTTGGGATACAAATTGGAGGTGTGGAGACTTGTATGTTATAATCACGCCTACATAGTTACGCCTTCATTTAAAAGTCGAAGAACTGATTACTAAAGACATGTGGATCGGCGCAAGAAAAAGTCGCTATTACGTTTATTAACTACTACTATCATAGTTTGAAATTGATTGTGCTTCTGATTCAATTATACTACATTATTTTTCTACTAATAGCGCATCACTAAGGCAAGGATAAGATGAACTAAGAATCACTTATATTTATGCTACACATATCTTGAGTGTCAAATGGAAGTCATACTAAACTTGGCAACCACGTGGTTTTGCAACCTGACTTTGACGTGCTGAGAAAGTACGCACAACTCATTATTCTTCTTCCCTTACTTCTTTATACAACATGGGCAAGCACCGCAAACGTCAAACCAATAAACAACGGAATGCCACTCTGAATCCGTCATCATCACCGCTTAGTCCTCCTCCTCCTCGTCCTTCTTCATTATCTTCTTTCTCTTCCGAACATACGTCTCTTTCTCCTGAGACTTTTCGCCCACGCTTAAGTGTTTCTGGCTCTGGATCACATGTTCCACTAGTTGATCAGCTGTAGTTAGCAGCAGCATCTTCTGACTCTGCAATCGTTCTTACTTCCGATGAGGAAGAAGAACAGCCACCCCAAGATCAGCGTCGACATCGACAGCAGCAACAACGACAACGACAACTACAACTACAACTACAACCACCCCTGCCTGAGGAAGATGACGATGATTGGGCGAGGCAGCGCGATGCGGAGCAAGGGATTGTCGATACTGTACTCTTCATGAGTTAAATGCAAGAATCGATAATTATTGTACAATCCTTGGAAGACGACAGCGCGAGGCAGTCGACCGCAACCGCACTCGTACTGCTAGACTAAACGAATACTTGACAGTAGTCGGCCGGTATCGAGCCAGACGAACAAGACAAAGAACGTGGCGTGACGACCACCCATTCATTCGCTATCTCTAATTTCCATTATAGTTTCCATTTATCTCGACCTTAGATTTCTCTTTTATTATTTATCCATCTATTTCTGCATATTTATATATCTGACCAAACTTTTCTACCTTGGCCACAATATCAAAGTAAGTATTTTAAAATGAGTGTTTATATCAGTAGTTGCACATGTCATGTTACGAAATTAGACAGATACAGACAAGATATCAGCATGGACACTGCAAGAGAATAATGCTAACCGTCCAGGGATGGAAGGCTCCATGAAAAAAAAAAACATTCTATAAATGGTGCAGGTAGAGAAGTTGAGGAATTGTAACAGAAAAGGCTACAATACATAGCGTGCTATTTTATATATAATGTGCGTGCGGACATAGTAGTAGTAATTTCATAGTTATTTATCAATCAGAGCAACGGATTTTGGTTCGGTTACATGATTAACCGGTCCGAAATCCGTTTCCGTGATTTTTTGACGTTTAGCCGCCTAACAGATTGAGTGAAGATTCACATGAAAAGTGCTAAAGAAGATCCCGGTATAGGCCATTACTCGCTTTTCTCTTTCTCTCTCTCTTTTTCCTCTCTTTTATAGTCTTCTCCTGATATATTATAAATAAAAATGGCACCTCTTCCTAGTGGACCTATCGATCCTAACGCGCCCGTTCAACGCAAATCCGTATCATGGAACAACTTACTTCTTGGAGCCAGCAAGTATATACTACATTTTACAACAGCCTATCACGGATAACATTTTCTGACGTGTGCCTATCCTACATCATCTTTCCAATAATCAAACCAGCCCTCAACCTGTTTGAAGTATCTACGCTCGGCCAACCCTTTGAAGTGTTAAAGACACAGATGGCAGCCAACCGTGGCCAATCTATGGCTACTGCTGCTAAGGCTGTTTGGCAGCGTGGCGGTCCATTGGGCTTTTTCCAGGGCTTGATCCCATGGGCCTGGATTGAAGGTAATCAAGGCGCATACCTCTCTTCCTCTCTCGAATCAGCTTCCTTTACACAAATATACCTTACGCGTGTTGTTTTGTTCTAGCATCGACAAAGGGTGCCGTACTTTTGTTTACGGCCTCTGAATTCGAATATCGATCACGCGAAGCTGGTGCATCTCCATTTGTGGTATGTGTATATTTTTTGCGGGGAAATTTGGTGGGGAACAAACCGGGAATTACCAGGCGTGTGTGTCTCCACTGTGTGCGGGGTAACAAGAAGAGAAAACCCAGACGACTGATGGGTCCTACACGTTATGATGACGCTATTAGGCTGGTCTTGTTGGAGGCATGACGGGTGGTATCGCTCAAGCCTATTCGACAATGGGTTTCTGTACATTCATGAAGACTGTTGAAGTGACGCGCCACAAGTCAGGTAAGATAGACAAGACATGGGACATACGTCAAAAGATAAGAGACTTATTTTCTTGTGCAACGTTCTAATATAATATGTTGTGGGTGTATAGCTGCCAAGGAATCTACATTCAAGGTTGCTTCGGATATCTTTAAGCGTGAAGGCTTCCGTGGAATCAACAAGGGCGTGAATGCAGTTGCTGTGCGTCAATGCACAAACTGGGCTTCACGTTTTGGTTTTGCACGCTGGGCTCAGGATACCATTGTGCGCGTTCGCTATGGTGAAGATTCCAAGATGAAGCCCACTGCTGTGGATCGTGTGCTTTCGTCTATGGTTGGTGGTGCTCTCTCATGCTGGAATCAACCGATTGAGGTCATTCGTGTCGAATTACAGTAAGTTCTGCTTCATTGGAATAAGCGCCCTTTTCTGTTCCTAGATTGTACTCTTGCGAGATACACTGATAGATAATCCATCGTCTTTCTTTAATAGGGTAAAGAAGAAGATAAACAGATACAGAAGCACAAAGGTAAAGTTAGCCTACCGACTAATGTATGCTCTTTTGAAACTTTTAGAGTCAAATCAAAACACCCGGCCGCCCTGAAAAGATGGACATTGCCTCGGCAGCCAAGTGGATCTACAAGAACAGTGGCGCAAAGGGCTTCTATAAGGGTGTTGTACCGCGTATTGGCCTTGGCATGTGGCAAACGGTCTGCATGGTCACGATCGGTGACAGTCTTCGTGAATACTTTGGCACAAACTAGACGATATGGCAATAATAGAGCTTTCTTTCATTCTCCTCTGCCATATATTTTTCTGCACGGTTAAAATACCAGCATCTTTTCATAGATATTCCATTCACAAACATTGTCAAATGAAAAAAGAGAACCATTATTGAACCATGCTACGCGTGTATATTTTAAACTCATGGAAGATTATTACGTACCACAATTGATTAAAAGCATATTACTGGGCTCGCTAGAGGAGTGCTAGATATGAGGTCCCAAAATAATGATAAGCACAGTCTTAATAATTGCAATGTGCATATTGAAAAATAGATCTGTGCATGATATGCAGCGTTGCTAAACAAATGCTGCAATGTCATGCAATATTAAGTGTCTGAGCGGGATGGCGGAACCTTTTCGGACCGACGGGTGACAAGACAAAGTACGGGAGTCTTTTCCGTTGATACTGTGTCTATACAGATACAATCACCATGTACGCACTATGTATCGTTTGGCAGCACCGCAGACTGTGCATATATTAAAAAGTTGTAAAATTACAGCAGGAGTACAGGTATGGGTCAGCTGATCGTCAGCATCGTCACAATACCATTCTCGATTTAGTCTTACTCCTTGTAAGCATTCATCCTATACAAAAGTGCCATTGTGCTACTAGTACTCTCGTCTCGCATTATATTAAATTCTGAACGTCCACTTTTAAGTTGGATGATGAAACACTTCAATGATCACAGTTTCGTCGTAGGCAGAGTCGTGTGGTACTGATGGATGGCAGAGCCACTCATTGTCTTGTTACACTTGGTATACTGCGTTGGTAACTATATTGTCTGGGCACTATAAAATCAAGAAAAGAGATGGTGTTGAGATACAACCAACCTTCTCAGTGCTGCACAGTGCAGGTGACAAGCAGCCGACTCCGCTATATGAACCAGCACCTTTTTTTCCTATTCACCAAACCCCAGTTTTTTTTTACTTGATCAATGGTCCGATTTAAGGTTCGGTGGATCTTGTTTGAATTAGTCCAGGATCCACTTATTGAAAATGGCAAGGTGATCTTTCCACGAACACCTGCAAAACTATGCGACGATGATTTGAATCAGTGCATCCATTCTGCGTTAACCATCGATTATGGTGATTTCGGCAACGGCATGGCACGTAGCGTTTATGGTAACGCATAGAATAGCTGTTACACATGCGTCAAGGGAGAAGGAGGAGCAGCTTTTGAAGGGCTGACAAGTATGATACATATTTGTAGTGAAATGGTTTAATCCGGCTACACATATTGGGATAGCACGAGTACCGCGTGATTATACAGACATGATGCTGGCGTCGTTGTTTTTCATAAAAAAGGTCCGTGACCAACCCTATAGTTTTCGCACACTTCATGTGTCTGGTAAGGCCATCAACCCAATGAGAAAGCAACTTTGCCGTGAAAATAATGGGTGGGCTGACTGTCGTTGTGTAATACACAGGTACAATCATTGGCGTACAGAAACAAGCCATCATCCGTGATCGAGACATCTACCTGCAGCTACAAAAGGAAGCACAAAAGACAGGTAAGGCATATGACGGATACGGGTATATCCATTTGGGACAAAGAAGAAGAAGAAGAAGAAGAGGTATTCACCAACTTCAAATAGGACAAGCATTTAGTTTTGTTGAGAACCTTGCAAAGTCAGAAAAAGAAATTAAAGCCATCCAAGCGTTTGCCTAAAATATCTCGTTTCCCGCGTCTCCCTCCTTCTGTCAATTTTTTTTTTCTTGCTTGTTCCCTTCCATTCTCAAATTCAATAATCAAACTAATATACCCTCAATGGCCGACACACCAGCAAGTTGGTTCTACATACAATCAGCCACACATCCGCACCATGTGTTGACCGTAACGAATGCAGCATGGCAGGTTTGGATCTTGTTAGAGTTGAATGCACAAAGACAACAACAGCCAAATTTTAGAAGGACTAAACGTAATACAAGTAGCCAGGAGCAAGAATTGAACTGCGGCCGTTGGCGGAAGGGAATAAGAGGAACCAGCTGTGGTGCTTTGACCAGGGTTTCTTGGTGAACAAACAATCCGGCTGTGGTAAGACCATATCGGTAGTAGTAAGTTCGGGGGGGGGATGGTAAAAAACATTAAATCTGGTGATTTTATCTTGTATTTAATGACAAAACAAGCGTAATCTACAAAACATCAAGTGATGAGCACCAAGTCCTCAGACAAGGCAGTTGAGAATCAAAGTCTGATCCAGTCTCGAAGACAACCGCATGAATCGACGTCGTCGATGCACCAGCGGTGGCAACACGACCCATCCAACCACCTATTGCAGCTGCAGGCCCATCCGATCTACTGTCTCGTATGTAAGCACGCGTGTCATAATCGCATGGGTTTTCGTGTTGAGTCGTTGTCCCGCTTCATCCCGTATCATCCTTTAGATAGCATAAAGCCCACCCCCTCCCCCCCCTCCACGACACCCTACCTTCCCCGACATCTTGCAGCCAGCGGCAGAAAGCTGATCAAACCTACCTGGAAACTTTCACATTTAGAACACACAGCAGGTGCCGCGAATGGTCAAGCAGGACGACAGCGACGAGAACGGCAATAGATGGGAGTTCGTGGATGAGCTATCCGTCAGCACGCAGGCGCTTGAATTGCAATAGTAGCGGTAGATAGTAGTAGCTGTGTTCGCAGAAGCCGAAAAGAAGTAGAAAAGAGAGGGCATGAGGGTAAAAGAAGCGAGTAGTCTAAAATCAGGTGTGCTGTATGCATACACACACACAACACATCACACGCCTTCCAACCCAATTTTTTACCTTTTTTCTTTTCTTTTTTTTTTCCCTCACTCTGTTTTTTTCAACACCTCTTTCTTTTTCCCTCTCTCTTTCTTTTAATAAGTTAACAACAACAACAACAACAACCAAAAAGAAAGGGCTACTCTATACACACTCCCTTTTCTTTTCCAAATAATACGCCATTTCGACCATTGACGCACCTCTGAGCTTACACCTTACATACATACTTCAATGAGTATTGCCGCTGCTTCTGCCGCTTCCGCTTGGCGGGTTTGCATAATAGCATTGCTCGTCTTGGTCACTCTGACACACAAGTCCCATGCTGCTGTTATTGTGGTTGTAAGTTTTGCTTTTCTTCTTTCTCTCTCATGATATTAGCTTCTTCCTTTTTTTTAATGTAATTGAGCGAGTGTGTGAGTGAGTGAGGTCATTGTAAAGGAGTCGGCAAAAGTGCTTGGCAAAAAAAGGAAAAAATATTGACTGATATACTGGTTGGCCCCAACACGCACCCAAAAAAAAAAAATAACAGGCAACGAACGAGACATACATCGACCGTGTAGCAGCGTTCGGACCACGGCTAACAGAAGAAGGACTGGTTGGACGGCTACTACCGCCAGCAAACGAGAGCGAACGATACGGATGCGATCCTGTCACGCCACCGACAGAAAACTGGGTCGCCTTGATCGAACGGGGCGAGTGTTCGTTTGTGGACAAGGTCAGAGCCATGCAGGAAAGCGGAGCCTTGGCTGCTGTTGTCGGAGATAAACACTACAACGGCTGGATCACCATGTATGCACCAGGTAAATACACTGTGCTTACATGTATAACACAGACGGGGAAGGCTGCTAACGAGGGAACGATGTAATCATTTAAAAGGAGACACGTCTGACGTGCGTATACCGAGCGTGTTTGTCGCCCAGCATCAATACCAAGCTCTACTCCAGCTGTCACGGTCTTTCCGGGAACCCATGTTGGTCCGTCTCGTGAAGGATGATATGCTTACATGGTATGTCTCGTTGTCTGTCATTCTGTTTAATGGTATGTTAATTTTTTTCCTTGTTTTCTGCTGCCTTGTCCGTGTTGTACATCTGCGTGCTGTATAGGCCGTTACTAGATATGCTACTTGTAGTCGTGCTATCGCCTGCCGTCATGATGCTGTTCATTTACCTGACATGGCGCCTGCGGCAGCGCCAGCGACGGAGGAACGAGCTGGCTCCTACTGATTTCGTCACAAAGTTGCCCGTACGTAAATATCGCCGTGAGAAACAAAAGGACAATGACCATGCCGAGTGTGCAATCTGTCTGGAAGACTATGTGGATGACGACACGCTGCGCACTCTGCCATGTCGGCACGAGTTTCATACCACATGTGTGGATGCATGGTTGACCACTCACAAGAAGTTTGTAAGTTTGTTTCTTGGCGGGCTGTCTATCTCATAGAGCAAAAAAGGGGAGGGCCCTCCGTTATTGGTAGTAATGGGATAGATACTGATCGACTTTCTATCATGTGCACACAGTGTCCCATTTGCAAGCACGATATCTGTCGTAAAGCGCCTGAATCGTCTACTGAAAGAACCCCACTTCTGAGTGCATAAATTCAAGCATCATCCCTTCTCCATCATCCCTTTTCAGCAACCCCTTGTGCTCTTATTACTATTATTATTACTACTATCATACTTTTCTGCAAATGTTCTTAACTTTCCCTGCTTCTTTTTAAACATACGCACGCGCACATATTACAGTTAGCAAACATCCCTTCGTCTCTCTGGCTCCCTCTGTCTCTCTCTCTCTCTTTCGAACTTCTCCTACCACACCTCCTCCTCGCTCCTCCTGGTATTCTCTCATTGATTCCCATAAGAACTTTACATGTACCCTATCTCTCACGTCTAAACATCTTCTTCCTCTTTGCATACTCTATAAAGACTGGACAAAAACAATCAAGAAAGCGTTGTTTGTGGTAATGACTAATATGCTACAACATATTTCGCTAAGGCGTTGTTGTGGCTCATTGTTGCTATTAAGGGTTTAGTTGTTGCTGCTGCTGTTGCTATCCAATGGAGGAGGGGGTGCTCCGGTTGGTATGGGCTGGTTGAAGTCAGATGTTGACGCACGAGGCATCGAGCTACGTGATCCACAGCTCATCGGAGGCGTGAGACTCCCTGTCGACATTCTCGGTGGAGGTGGAGTGCTGTTACGGAGTCTCGAAACGGAATTATTGCTGCCCGGCAACAACGATAAAGGTCGGGTGGTTCCTAATGCAGACGAGACATGATAGTCTGGATGCGCTAAAAACACCATACTGGTGCGATTACTGCTATCTTTGGCGGTAGAGGTCGCTGATACATTATTACTACTGCTATCATTGTTATTATGGATGCTGTGGTGGTGGTGATGATGGTTGCTACCTTCGCCGTCATCTTCTTCGAGCATGGCGTATTTAGCAAACTCCTCATTGTCGCCGAAAAACTTGATGATCTTGGCACGTTCCTTTTTAGACTGGTAGCGATGCAGGACCCACAGAATGCCAAGGATCAGCAAGATAAACAAAATCACAGCCAGACCCAAAACGGCCCAAAGCCATGTTGCAATCGTGCGGAAGACATCGGGGCCGTTCACACAGACACCGTCAACACTGCATGTTTCTGATATACATTCACGGTCTTGGGAGCATGCAGCACCGTTCAAACTGGAGGCACTGCATCTGTTATTCTCGCTGCAAAAGGTGCCTTGGATGCAGTTGTCTCGGACAATGCGTTGGCGGAGCGCATAGCCTTGTGCATCGTAGGAGACATAGTCGGTTCTATCAGCTCAGTGATTAGCATTGGAAAGGATGTGTTTGTGTATGTCAATAGAAAAGGACGTACGTATCCTCAACGCAGTTGCCGCCAAGCGGAATGGCTTTTACATAACAGGTTGAATTGAGACAAATCGGGACCTGACCTGCACATTCATCATCACGTTGCTGTTCTCATCCAACAAAAGCAAAATCAGTTTGGCTTGGTCATATCTTTAGGTTGTGCATTAGAATAGATAAAGCACGTACCAATTCACAGTGACCGCCAGGAGTAACCAATGGCGTACACTTTGAGCTATCGTCAGGGCAATAACTTCCACTTTGGCATCGTTTAGGAAAAGCATGTACTCGTGCGTCCCATCTAATAAGCCCATCATTTGTTTCAGCCTCGTGTCTTATTACTGCAGCTTCTCATGGGCTCTGTTGAGCGTACCCTTTGATATAGTCGCTGTTGCTGCATCCTTTGTAGTCGCACGTATTTGTCGCTGGGTTGCAGTACAGATAAACGTTTCGACATGAATCGTCGTACTGCCAAGTCGCGCTGTGTTTGATGCGTGTACATGTGTGCATACAAGGAAGTAAAGGATCAGCTCATCAAACCAAATCAAGCTAATTTTTTTGCTGAGGGTAAATCAAAAAATAAAAATAGTTACGAGTAGAGCGGTGTCGCATCACATTGCTCACCGTATATCAATGCCATCGTGCCTGCTGGAAGCAGTACCAGCAGCGAGAGCAAGAACAGCAGGAACGACAATGATGTCCACTTCATTTGTTACTACGTACTACAGGGTTCAAGTAGCGTCAAATTGTGGAGCTGTTATGAGTGGATAGAAGGATGGTTTGGGGAACAAAAGCAAGAAGAAAGGCGGGTGTGAGCGAGCGAAGCAAGAGAAAGTAGGTAAGAAAGAAAGGAAGAAAGTGATCGGCAGCACCATGATGATATATGCAGTTCGTCTGTAACACTGCACTAAGAGCTAGTATATACAGAATGCCGCTATCTCTTGCTCCTGCTGCAATCCAAGAAAGAGAGATGCAATCATATGTGCTCATTACTACAAGCCTATTGGACTGTATAGCGTGTACTGTATATATACATAATAATAAAATAGTCGCCCTCCCCCTGAGCAGGGCAAAAAAGAAACCCACCCCTTGCCTCTTTGTGCATTTGCACGCGCCATCAATGCTTGTACTTCGTTTCGGCTTGAATCGTTCCGAATATGTAATAACGCCGGCTTCCACAAACATCGTCGTTCCCACTCCCCCTACTTTTTCCCTTCTTAACAATATATCACCGCTCCCCCCACCCAATAGTAATACTATGAGCGCACGCGTGTTGTCTTTGTCCACTTTTCGCAGTAACTGGACTCGTCTTGCATCTACACCGTCACTACCATCTCGCTGTTTCTTAAAGCCAGGTACGTGAAGTAAAAGACTGCGCGCGTGTTTTTCCGCTTGTTTCCCGGTGGAATGTCTTTTGTTTCGCCTAAAATCTAGCCTTCCTCCTAGCTCAATGCTCCTATAGCACTACTACATCATCGTTTCATAATGCTGCAAAACCAGCTGCTAATCTCATGGGCGCGCGCAGAATCGGTCAAACCGCCGCCATGGTCACCATGGCCACTGGTGGCATCTTTGCAAAGCCCTTAATTATGCAGAAACACCCAGTCGCTTGTCAAGGTAAATCATCACCGTTTGAAGCACACTGGTACTTTGTACGTAGATAAAAGGAGCACTCAACAATGACGCGGACGCACCATGTATCATCGAATACACAGCAGTGCCAACAACAACAACAGCAGTCGTCCTAGAAGACGAGCAAGCACAACAAATTGCCCACCAGCACCGCTCGTTAATTCATAAAGGCGAGCTTTCGTTTGGCACTTTGCTCGGTTTATGCACCGGTTACTTTATAAAAAAGATGGGTCGACTATTTGCATTAATGATTGGCATGGGCTTTGTTTGTCTTCAGGTAACTGACAAGTCTAGTAATCTTTGATTGGAAAGACCTTACGTCTTACTTCTATGTAAATTTATTTCATGATTACGTGGTGGTATGGTTCCTCTTACATACTTTCTACAATACATATATACGGTTTATATATATACAGATCATGTCAGCCAAAGGCTATGTAACTGTGCATTGGGACCGCATGCAAGCGGGATACAATAAGCAGATGGATGTGGATCAAGATGGTCGTGTTACTGTTCGAGATGTACAAAGCAAGTGGCGAAAACTGATCAATCTTTTGACCAAGAATATTCAGGTATTACTACCAAATTTTTATTTTTTGTTAAAGCGAGTGGCTCAATGCTTAAAGCGAAGGAAGTTGGGTGTAATGAATGCCAGCTTAAAGATATATGTTAATTTATCTGATTAGTTCAAATCGACGTTTTTGGCGGGTCTTTATGCTGGTATTCGCTTCGGGTAGAGTGTTACTGCTCTAATAGCTGTAACCCTTTGAAACAAGAAAGCATGTAAATTCTATATAAAACACCCTCATAAGCTTTACGTGACCTTTTGAAGATCCTCTCTTGAGGTGGATTTTATCGGAGGACTACTGTGATATGAGGGCTGATCAAAACAATGTGTTCTTTGCTACAGTATGTACTTGGCCAAGATCATAGTATATACGGATTGCCGCATTTCATATTCCAAATTGTCCTGCATAATTACATATCATTGTTATCCTGCATAAACCACACATGAAAAAATATGGTGTATTCTCACGCTGCAATGATGGCTGTCAGTAATGTGAGTCGTTTTTTCTTTTTGCTCGCTTTTCATCGACAATTGATTTGCTTTGTTGTAAATGATCGCCCACTCTGCACGTTATTATTGTACTTGTCCGACCCAGCACATTCGTATTTTACAGGCCATGGTGTGTATAATAACATGTTTAAATTTGTAGCCGCGTGCTGGACAAGTCGTTTTTCATGGCAGCGTCAATTGGACTATCATACCTTTTTAAGCATTACCTACATTTGGCAGAGATGGGATGGGATTGGACCTAGGATAAGTGATACACGTCAATAAACAGTATGTGATACGACCCATACTAGCGAGAAAGGCTCAGTCATGGAGCAGCTCCTCCATGCTTGCTCGTATAGACAATACTAAAAGTTAGCAGTGGTCCGAAGCTGCAAATCCATCACAGTCTCAAGGGTTTAGAAAAGTGAACGAAAGTAATTGTTGATTATTGGTTCTTATTAAAAGACTATGTAGCAGTAACCACATTACTTTACTAGGGAGGAGACCCTATACTGAAAGTGTTAAAGATAAATCTATTGTTCCAAGTCCATCCCCCACTCAATTTACTAGCACACACGTGAATTGAACATATACGTACATTTGCTTGAGCTTTTCTGAGTATGCTTCCGTGATTTCTTTCCGCTTGAGTTTCTGCGCAGCCGTCAAAAGACCCTATATTTGCAACAAGACAAGAATTAATCAACGACAGCTCATCCAAACGAACCAACAGTTGAAGATTTATACAAAAGTACGATTTACCATGTCGGATGTCCATAGATCCTTGCAAATCCATACATTCTGTACCACCTCTGCGCCTTTGAGATTATTGTTTTTGGCTTGCTCCTGTAATAATCCTAGCACCAGTTTTCGCAACCGAGTATCCGCACATAATGCAGAGTAATCATCATTCTCGATTCCATTTGCAGCCGCAAATTCACGTAATTTGTGTTCAAGAGGGACAACCAGTGCAACCGGTCGGGGGTATAAAGGGTCGGCATGCACGCATAAATTTTCGATGAGGGGGCATGACTTGTACACACTCTCCACCTTTTCCAGAGCGATATATTCGCCATGGCTCAACTTGACAAGGTTCTTTTTGCGGTCAATGATGCTGAGTGTGCCTGCTGCATTCCACTGACCAATATCACCCGTCATCAACCAGCCGTCTGGGGTAAGGGCTTCGCGTGTCAGCTCTTCTTGTTTGTAATAGCCGGATGTAACAGATGGTCCGCGAATTAAGATCTCGCCTTGGTTGTTGGATGCAAAGTAATTGAGTTCAGGTACATCCACGAGCTTTACTTCGGTGCATGGGACAGGAGCACCAGCTTCACCTAGCGCAAACTGCTCTGGAGCCATCACAGCGCACATACTACACATATCGTTGTTTAATATCCAAATCCTCCTTTTTTTTCGCTATACGGTACTAGAATGATATTTCCTTACCCACAACTAGAAGAAATTCAAAATCAAAGTGAACGGTTAGATCCTTATTACATTTGTACGGGGCCGATCAAGTAGACTTATACATGTCAAAAGTTTACCTTTCCGTCATGCCATACCCACAAATAATTGGGGCCAAACTTAGCGACAAAAATCGTTGGGTCTCCACTGACAAGGGAGCGCCACCAGAGAGACCATACCGCAGCTTGCCGCCTAATTGCTCCTTGACCTTCTTGAACACTATCTTGTCCAACACGCCTGTAGGCAATCCATAGCTCTTTAAATAATCCTTCATCGTCAATGCACCCATGAATATTTTCTCAATGCGAGGTCCTCGTTCTGCAATTTTGGCAAGCACCGTTTTACGAATAGTTTCCCACACTTGCGGCACACCACACCTATGATTTAAGAAATTCGAGTTAATAATTCTCGGGCAACACAGCAGCACAAAAACAAGAAAAATAAATTGGCTTGCAAGGCATGAGAAAACTTACATGATAGTGGGGGCAAAGGTGAATAAATCACCTCTGCAATTTCGTACACTGACATCCGTCAATGTTTTCACTCCACCATATCCCAGTGTGAGACCCAAGAAAATGCACAAGTTCTCCACAAGAAACTCGAGCACATGAGCAAGCGGCAAATAGGCCATCATGGTATCATTGGCTTCCACTAAATGCTGTAGCATTTTGCAACAACCGGCGACTATATAACAGCATCACCTTTTAGCTCGTTACCGTTCATCTTACTTTAGGACATGTCCATATCTAACAATGCGTACTGTTATGACCACTTACTAGCAGCGACAATATTTCCATGGGTGAGAACGACGCCCTTGGGATTCCCGGTCGTGCCACTGGTGTACATGATGCAGGATATGTCTTGGCTGGTTGGCTTCACAGGTTCGACAGGATTGGCTTCGCCAATGATGCGTACTTCTTCAAAAGGAATAACGTGATGGATTTGTGGGATGTTTCGTAAACGCTCAACGGCATCTTTGTTGACTTCGACGTCGCGGTAAATAATGTGAGTGATACTTGGGCAATCACCGATGATTTTTTCCAAGACCTCAAGTTGATCACCGTTGATGAAGCATACTGCGGAGCCAGTCTCGTTGATCGAATGCATGAGGCCCTCGGGGCCAAGGGTATCGTATGCTGTGACGATCGAAATTGATTGCGTGAATGCACCGTGTGTCATTAGCATCCATTCGACACTACAATAATATATTTACAGGCACGCGATTATTATATGCTATCCAGGCAGACGTAGATAATGATGATGAAAAAGAGTATACGAACCTCGTTGATGCAAAGATGTGGAGCTTATCACCTTTTTTCATGCCGAGTTTACGCAGACCGGCGCCGAGCATTCGAGTCAGGTTCACAGCTTCAATATACGAGTAATAATGATAGTTGCTGAACTGGTGATATTTCCACTGCTTAGGCTTTTCGCTGCCAGGCACCTCCTTTTCTTCAACAAACGTCTGTTCCAATTTGCGGTAGCCGAATGCATGTCGATGCTTGTACGACGAAGCCGCGTATTGGAGGACATCGTAAAGTGTGTCGACACCAGTTGCTGGTGATGTCATGAGTTCAAACGGTGCCAAGATGGAGCGTCGAATGGGTGTTTCTCCAGCTACAGGCTCATGCGTTACTTCAATAGAGAATTCTCGTTGCATGCTTTGTAGTCAAACAATGTTGTTGTTGTTGTTACTGCTGTTGACGTCGTGTATGTGAAAAAGAATACGAGTTTTCAACCGAGAAAGAAGAGGGGCGGGAACGCGTTTTGGTCGTGACCAAAAAGGGAGATTTGGTTTCAATGGGAAAAATCGGGCTTCATTTAACCGCCATTGACATATGAAAATTTGTGTTTCGTAATATGCCAGATTTGCCCTCGAATAAAGTGTTTTGCAGTATATGCTCGTGGAAACAGTACAGACTTTTGCTCATGTAAAAAGGTTTTTTCTTTTCACAACCCAACTTTTGCTGCAGGGAAAAAGAAAAAGACATCGCCCGGGGAGTAGTTTTGACTGAAGTTGGTTTGAGTTCACCATTATCCATAGCAATCACCATCGGGTAATACATGCTGGGCCAAGTCCTTTCATGACCATTGAAAAAGAGCTACCGGAAGTTGTGTTACAGGTGCTCACTCTTTGAGAGGACCAGTATATGAGCTGTCAAAACAGCTCTCAATCGTTACATTAGAGACGTTTAGGGTTGCGTACCTCCGTTTTACTTGCTATAGGACCATGATAAGTTAACTGTGAAATATGGGTAGCGCCATAGTAAAAGAACCAGCATATGATATTCCTGCTAACTTTATTAGAAACAGCACGAAGACTTTTATCTTAGGTGAATCGTAGCTAGACCACAAAGAAATAGACATTTTTTACGTTTCCAATGGTTCAGACTTAGCACGGCGAAGACAAAGGCATTGTTGACATGGCGAATAAAAAGGAAGCTGAGAGTGAGAGCAGAGCGAGAGAGAGAAACAACTTTTTCATAATCTCCTTAGGTACGAAACACGTCGTAGCTAAAAATTCACGTTTGGACGGTCGTGTCGAGACTTCCTCTTTTTCACGCGGTGGATCACTTCAAAGATTTTGTACTTAAGTTCGGTACGCAACCCTAAACGTCTCTATTACAGCATCATGTGGTCGCTTTATTTGTATCTGATGGTCGTTGTTTCCTTTTATAAATAGCAAGATGGTAATATGGTGATATAAAATAAAGAACGGCGTACCATGAACCAACCTGTTCGAGTGTATGTAGCAGTTCTGTCAGTCATATATACCAAAAACCATATGCAATGGTCTATATCAGGCCAAACTGGTGTAATGGTGATAAGTGCTAGTGAGATTGCATGTTGTGATCCTCTTTGAGCTCTGATAACTGAGCGTATGGAACTTTTAGAAGAGTTGGCTACAAAGTAGCATATACGATAGGATCTTGTAAATTATCTTACAAGGTGGATCAAACATGGCTGCAGACAGACAGCACTTTTTTATTATTATTATTATCTGTTTTGTATTACTGTTGGTTATATAATTATTCGTCAGCTCCATCACTTGCAATTCCTGCAATACCAAGTTTCGACCTTGTCGCTTTCTGCTATACCAACACATTCACCGTGGTACCATACGTGACATTTGTCGCATGATATCATAAATGTGCCGTAGTCGATCGTTGGATGGTCGCATATGCATCGCACAACTTCATCCTGCACTTCTTCTCCGTTGGTATGCACCACTGGTGGTATTGGTGCTGGTGCAGGTGCTGGCGCTGGCGGAGCGGGTGGTGTAGATGATGGTGGTGGTGGCAAATCGTCTGTAGAAGTGATGTCAATTTTTTCATTTGCAGGTTCTGGCCGTTTGATCTTAAAGCGGATTTTGGGCGTATTCACCGAACTGGCTGAAGAGGGCGTATTTTCTGCGGTTGAAGGCGCTGTGCCATCCAAACCACCACTTCCTCCTGCCCCTGCCCCTCCGTTGTTTCCGTTTGACAGATTTAGCGTCAGCTTGGGCACCTTTTTCTTTTCTGACCCTTTCTCGGTCGTCTTTCTTTCACCCGATTTTCTTTCGCCTGAATTCCTTTCACTTGACTTCTTTTCGCCCGACTTTGATTTTCCGGTTGGTTTACCGCCATCAGCGCCACCTCCGGAAGAGAGCGACGCAAGCGATATGGGTCGTTGAGTAGGTGAAGTTGTGGATGTCGGTTTACTGACAGCAGCTGCTGGTGTAGTTGTAGTCGTTGCGCTTGTTGGCAGGGCGACGGCTGCTGTTGCTGCTAATGATGATGCTGATGAAGAGGATGGAAGGGTTGGAGTAGATGTAGTTGGTCTGGATGTTGATGCGGTGATGATTTCTTCAGAAGGATGCTTACGGTTGTATTGTCCACCAGCCAAAGTCGCTAACATGGACGTATTATTGATGTTGCTGGCGCCTGCACCACTGTTGTTGTTGTTATTGTTGTTGTTGCCATGGGCACTGGACGACGACGGTCGTATGGCGGTTGACTCTTGCTGCGCTGGTGTTGTACCGTTGCTTGTCGGATTGGCAGCGGGAGCAGGCGCTGATGTCATTGCTACATCCACCAGCAAATTCGGTGATGACAATTTCGATATCATGGCCGGTGGAGCAACACGTCGTAACAGCTCTTCCAAAATACCCGCACTGTTTCCAAACATGGTGTTTCCCGGTGCCGCTTCGTCTTGTGTAAATTTCCTGAACATTGCATGGTTGCCAGCCAATGCTTCCCGCTGTTGTTTACGTCTTTCTTGTTGTTCCTTATCCGCAAGTGAATACATAGCCTTCTTCATTGGTAAGCTGCTTAATGCCACTCGCCGTCGTTTTGATGCTGGTGACTGTTGCAGCTCTTGTTGATCATGTTGCTGTCTGCTGTTTTCTTCGTTTTCGCGAAGCGATAGCAATGTTGCTCCTTTGTCTGCTGCCAACGCAGATTCTTCGAACGGCACGACGTGTGTGAATGGATTTTCAACGGGTTTCTTTCTATGACGGACAATGATGGGTGCTGGTACAGCTGGGCTTCCGGGTGAGGATTGTCGAGTTATGGACGGCATCACTTGTGGTAACGCGCGTGGTGGCGGAGTCGCGTCTTCTTTGACAGACGATGGGAAACGCGGCAGGTATGGTGGTATATAATCCGGCAGTCCATTGTTCTCCTCCGGGCCCTTGTCCTTCTTCTCACCCTTGGGTATAAGTTCCTTCGCTTCATCTTTTGCTCCCTCCTCTTTTTCTACTTCGCCGTCTAAAAAGTACAGTTCTTCGTCGTATTCGTTTTCGTCGTCGTCGTCGTTGCTGTCTGATGGTATATCCTTATATTCGTATACTAGTGCGTCATCGTGGTTACTTCGACCATTCCTTACGACGTCTACCATTAGTAATTCAATTAGCCTCTTTTATTTTCTTTTTTCTTTTTTTTCAATAATATATGTTTTATGGAGGCTAAGTCGAAAGGAAAAGGAATTTGCAACGGTGCCAAATTTATCTTACCTTCCAGCGTACGACCTGGATCAGACTGTGGAGTCCAGCTTGGCATTAATGCCTTGCCTTCTAACTCAAGCCATTCTTTCAAGGATTCAGGTGTAATTCCGAGTTCGTCGAGGCCGTCTACCACATCCCGAATATTGCCAGTAGATCGACCTGCGAGTTGAGCGTACGATGATGTCGTGCTGGCTAACAGCTGAATGTATTGGCTCAAAATATCAGTTAAACTGTTGGTCGGGTCGGAATGAGCAGAATCAAATCCTGCAGATTGTAAGATCTGTAACGCTGTTGTCCGTAACAACGCGAAACAGAATTGGTCGGTCATTATGTTCAGAAAATGGGGTATGAGCAAAAGAGCAGTCGACTTTTAATCATATCCGAACTTTGAAGAGGCAACGGCAAAATAGCAAGTCCGACGCCCAGGTTTCCCTTATTTCTCGCCGTGTCTTTGTTTCTGAGAGCACCTGAATCTAAAATCACTACCATGAGACTTAAAAGTCATTCAAGATCTTGCATATAACATGCTCGTACCTAATCAGCAGTTGACTTATTGTTAATTACAGCAATTATGTAATGCTCATTATAAATTAACCATCATGTTAACGAGCTTGCAGGGTAACTATAGTGATGAAATAGTATCAAGAACAGGAAAGGTTTGCGCCTATGCTTCTATTCTTTTGTGATGATATCAAACTGGCATTCGCTACCCTAGAAAATGTCATTATTAGCTCATCTATCACTATAAGAGTATAATATGTATTGAAGAACACAATCTATCGTGCCTTCTAGATATTATATGGTGCTATCTCTTCTCGTCGTTGTCTACGCTGATACTTGTTGAAAGGGAACTGATATATCCAGCCCAAAAAAAAAAGATACAACAATGTCTGAAGGTATTAAGCATAATTGGGTGTATAGGAGAACCACACTCTATCCCTTAGATAGAAACACTTTCGTACTGATTACTCGTGACTTTGGATCGACCTGGTTAGTACGGGTATATGGAGGCTTATGTGTAAGTATACAGGTGTTATATATTGCTAGCTAAGCCTAGCTTGTCATACCAATACCAACTGTATCGAGGATTCTGTGGTATGATTCACTAAGCACTTAATGCAACTCAGTTTCCTAGACTATACTGTTATGTACCTATATTGCAAGTACAAGTTATCATACTGTCGATTTGAGTCAACTTGACTCTATTCGTAATACATACCTAGTTGATAGCTTTAAACCTGAAGCATTGCTTCCAGAGGGGGGAACCATTGTACTAAGTGTTCGACCTGCCTATTTCTGTACTTTTCACGAATTTAAAGCGGACCAACGTATAGAGCTGTTGTCAAGCGACCGACAACATAATACTGCATTCTTGAATATTAAAAATGCCAAATGATTATGTAAGCTTTGATAGAAAGCATAATGTCTATAACAATGTACACTTGGCTTACAACAAACAAATACTGTACTGTGCTCTATTACCATCGATGTTATTCTTATATGTACTATGACATTTGATAAGTTAGACGCTGCTGCATGAAAATGCGTCTACAAGTTAGAAGTCTGCTACCCTTGTGGCGATTGACTATGAAAAATATTGTTTTCATGAGCTTCTATAATCAAACCTCCTTTCGTTAAAAGCATTGCTGAGCTAGACACTTCATTTTCTAAAGCTGCGACCACAATTTACGTATGGCGGCGATCTGCTACAGAGGATGATTCTATGTGGGAAAGGTTTATTATGACACGTGAACATCCACGCAAAGATACAGAAATACAGTATTAATATAAAGAGAATACTTGTTCATACGTTCACTCTTAAGTTATATAGGGGATGAACAGAAGAAATGAAAATTGACTTTGGGTAAGAATAGCTCAAGAACGCGACGGCGGTCTACAACACTTTGGCGACAATGCAGGGGCGGTGGTATTATACAGCTCTTTACCCCGCATACTGTATACGACCTGCCATAAATGATTTTATATTACAAACCAGATCGATCTAAGCATTATAACGGAACAGCAAAGTGATACGTGTAAATGTGCTTTCATCACATGGTTTTGCGCCTGTGGAAAAGGCGATATTCTCATCATGAGGATAAAAGATCGCCTCTCCCTTCTGATAATTGCTCAAAGCGGCAATAATGAACGATATGTCCCTATCAATTTGAATGAACAAGATGTATGCAAAGGTTCAGAATTTTGCGCTATACGCAATGTTTTTTTAAAACTTGTCTGGAGGGTAGAGAATAAGCTTGAAAGAGAGCGCTAGGTCAAAACAATAGCATCGATGTTGGGAGGTCCAGCCACCAAACCTGCGAAACGTGTACAAACAGGCGATTCTGTATGGCCAAGGTACTAGTAGTTTTTTTTGGGAGGGAGAGGCAGAAAACAAGCGCTTAGTTCAGTTCATGGCCAGCAAAAACAAACAACGAGTTTACTGAGCCTTTCCACATACTAGTCTTCTTCTCAGAGATGCAACGCTTTTAGCTTTTCTGTCGCTTCGAAAACTGCAAGTGCAAAAAGAAGGTGTGCGCAAAAAATGCAAGTGGTTCACTCATCTCGCTCAGGGTCGGGCTTTTCCTTCGCACGCAGGCCCTCGCTTGCTCCCTCTCTATTTTACTCTCTTCTTTTTCTTCAGCGCACACACGCACGGTTTGCCGTAAACGCTCGATCGTTAGCTCCATAACAGACACAAAGCACATCTGGACCTGCCGGACATGACCAGTCGCAATGAGCGCTCGTCGTCGTCGTCGTCTTCCGTTCCATATCCAGAAGATCAATTGCGCACCAACACCAACACCAGCACAACCAACGGTAACAATACCAGCGCCATTACAACAGCCGCAAATAATGGAATTGGCAGCAATAGCAACAACAGCAGCAAACAACCCTTGTTCGAATTGGTCAACGTCCACAACCGCATTACGCTAGATAATGTGTACCAGAACGGTTTGCATGCACTTAAACGACTTGAGATACGCAACTTGACCGACCAGTGGATCTTGGTCAAAATGCGTTCCAATTTGCGTAACCAGGTTGCGTTTCAGCTTGACAACGAGAACCTGCGCGATTTGCCGGCAGGAGCATTTGACACAATTGCAACCAATACGGTCGATTGGTCCAGAAACGATGCTGCAGGCGAGTTTCATTTCAACCAGCTGTTCAACTACGTCAATCATATCGATCACCTGGAACTTGGACCACGAGAATCGCGCCCCTTCATTTTGGCGTTTTTGCCGGAAACTAGCAGGCAAATGACCGACAATATGGTGCGAGCAGACGAGGAGGAAGGAAACGAGGCGTCAGAAGGACGTTTTAACGTGCACCATGATCCAGCTGCCGAAGAGGGTAACATGTACGAAAGCTTCAATGTTACCGGAAGCTTATTCTTTTTCGGATACTATGTCAACGACGATGAGACAGCTGCGCCAAATCAACAGCAACAACAACTGCAAGAACTGCAGCAATCGTCGTCAACGCCAGCTGCGTATCAAATGTCGGTCAAATTTCGAGCGAGCGTCTGTCAATCGGTAATGTGGACGGATGTCGCAGAGACGGGCGTCAATTTTGACGACTGTATGCTGGGCGAGGAGTGTTACAAGGACTTTACAATTCAAAACAACTCGGAGATCGAGTTGCATTGGTTGGTGAACACAGTTGACCTTTCCAACTTGAATCGTGAAGGATGGTTGCAGTTCTCGGACGCCGAGACGGGCAAGGTCCTGGACTATGAGCCGATCCCAGGCCATTCTCATCGGTTGGTACGATTGACGTTTATGCCAAAGGAGGTCGGCGAATTCAACTACGATCTGCAAATTGAAAATGCTAATGAAGCACGCAACGTCGTACAAACCAAAGTCCATGCGTCTGTACGATCGATCTTGCGTGAAGAGTCGTTGATCGTCAGTAGCGGCAATGTAATCGATTTTGGTGACTGTGTATCTGGTACATGGACCATGCGACAAATCGTTCTCAACAATGTCGGCGAGTCATCAGTCGAGGTGCGCTTTATACCTGAAGCAGCTGACGTTGTGTTTGATATAAAAGCCGCATTGGAGCCTGGAGAAGCGGTACTAGAAGCAGAACACAAAGGAAAAAGAAGGGACCAGCAACTGCATAATCATCAGCATCAACAACTATCTGAACAAGATTTGCCTGGGCGACTAAGTACAGGTAGCAGGCAACAGGGGTCTGAGAAGGGATCAACGAATGCATTGACAACGACGCCAAATGCTGCTAGCATCAGCGAGATCTCCGGGCCCAACAGTGAAGTGAGCTCAAGAGCATCGTCACCAGCATCATCCAGGAATGTCGCACGTATCTCAGAATATGACGTTTCGCCTTCTCCAACTTCACAAGAATCGTACGGCAATGGTAGTAGTAGCACAGGAGGCACACGAATGCAAACGCCACCCACTGACAAGCCCGACAGCACGTATGATGTGTCAAAGGACGAGTCCACAAGTCGGCTGCTTGAACTGTCAAACGACCGGTCGTCCACACCAACATTGAATTCAGCGGGTAGCTACACGCGTATCGAGGATCTGGTCTTGCGTCCGGGAAAAGAGCGCGTTATTCAAGTATCGTATCGGCCACGAAAGGATATCTCTGTCAACGACTTTAATGCAGGACAACTTATCCGGCGCAATTTCCGTATCGCCCTCGAGTATGGCACCTATCGCAGCGCCGAGCCTAAAGAACGCAAAGCGATCCAGTGCAAGGCGCGAACATGCACGTCGTTTGTCGAAGTCATCCCGAAAAGCATTAATTTCGGCGACACTGACGTCGGCACACTCAAATCGCTTCCGATCAACATCTTCAATCGATCCGACATTATCGCTCGTGTCGAGTTGCAATTCTCCTCCAAAGTGCTGAACTGCTTGCGTGGTGAAATCGTCATTCAGCCGCGCAGCTACGTCGAGCTCAAACTGGATTTATACCCCCGCAAAGTCAATCCAGAGTATCGCAAGCAAATTACACTCGTCAACTATTTGAACCGTGACAATGACCAGATTGTCGAAGTCCAGAGCACCAACATTGACAAGAACCGCGTGACATTCCACTCGTTGTTCTATCGTATTCTCACCACCACAGGCGCCAATTTTCTGGACTTTGGCTCAATTGTGCTCAACTCACCATCCATCCGCACATTCACGGTTGAAAACATCCGTAGCGCGCCACTGACGTTGGAAATCACCACGTCGTTACTAGATGATATTGCCGTGTTTGTCAAGAAAAAGAGGTCCGATCAGCAGCCGTCCATCGTAACTCCTGGCAAGAAATTTGGTCAAGTCAAGCCAATGGACAAGTCGAGTAAGTTACACAAAACAGACTGATGTACTGTTTACGTTTATGCTAACCTTATTTTTGCTTCTGCTTCCCAAGTTCTCGCAAACCTGGACCGCAACATAGCAACCGGTGTTTCCATGCCACGTCCGTTACCAGCAACTAAGAAGAATGGCTTACCGCAAGCAGTCCTTCGAGGACAAGCGGCTGCGACACCCACAGCGGCAGACAGTTATTCGACTGCATACTTGGATCTTGCAACGACGCCGTTACGACACTCTGCGCTATCACGCAGAAAGCACGTCGTTTTGAATAGCACAAACAAGCCAAGTCAGTCGCAAGCATCACATATCAGCCGTGTAATAAAGCACCATCGTGTTTCAGATTTGGCCGAACGGAAATTGACTAAACACCAGAGCAGAGGATCCTCGGACCAATCCAGCAGCACGACCAATGGCGCTAAATCAAATGGGATAAAGAAGCGTTCACAGAGGGGTGATTCGTACGAGACAGAAGGCGTTAAATCGAAACGGTCTCTGGGAATCACTGCTGCTCGGTACAAATCACGTAAGAACCTTGATTGGGCAGATATCGCTGGCAAGTCGCGCGTGCCGTTTGAAGACTTGATTTCGGTGCTGGAGCACGGGTCGAAAGCAGCAACACCATTGTTTCCCAAACAATCAGCCGAGGAGCGATTCGTTCGACAGCAGCTTGCATGGCGCCGCGAACTGGACCGTCTGATTGAGAAAGGCGATCTTGTGCGATCATCCATAATCAATGTCGATCCGCAAGGCGAAGAGGAAGTCGTCATTGTGTTTACGCCGAATAGTGACACAAAGCCGCATGTCCAAAGTGCGCCAAAAAAGCAAGACGCACGGATATTTTTGCGTCTGGTCGACTTTGACCGCAACATTGAGCAAGAGGAGTTTGCCAGTCTGCTGTATGGTGACCAGTCGACCATCCCTGTCCGTGAAGTGATTGTCCGTGCCCAGCTAAGTCGCTCCATTATGGATCTCGGTCAGAAGAATATTAATTTCGGTTTGGTCGAACGAAACGAGCGGCATGCCAAATCGATCGTCCTGCACAATCGCAGCGAAACACCATTGCTGTACGCGATCCGCAAATCGGGTTCGATCGCATCGGGCGATATCATTTTGGGCGCTGGTCGGTATGGTGTTGTACGTGCCTTTGGTAAACGTGAGATCGACTTTGTCTTTGAGCCGACACTTGCAGGGCATTTCATGGAACGCCTGGTTGTTGAGAATATCCGTGACCGGACCAACGATAGGGTGCTACTACTCAAGGCCATGGTGCGCAAGCCGTCTACGTTCTTTATCAAGTCGCTCGAACTTGCTTTTGGCCCATGTCTCATCGACCAATCATGCCAGCGCGTCGAGACAATTGTGTTGACAAATACCAACAAACAAACGCGGTTGTTCGAGATCCGTGTGGATCCCAACGAGGCAAACTTTGGACGGTACTATGGCGAATTTGACTTTGTTGTTGAAGATGACGAGTCGAGCCAGTTGTCTAAAGAAGCCGAAGAGGAAATTGAAAATTTGGAGCAAAAGCTCAAAATTGCTCGACGCAAGGGCCAACCAGACAAGGAGAAGAAATACCTAAAGAAACTGGCCAAGCTGCGCAAGCTCGACGTACTTGAAGAAGATGGAGATGCCAGCAAAAACTCGCAAAACAACGACAGTTCAAGCGGTGCAGCGGCAGGAGGCTCAGAAGATCAGACCAAGAAGGCCAACTCAGCTGAAGAAAACAAGGAGAGCGCCAACATTTTTAAAAAGACGCCCGAAAGTGTAGTATTTCCCTTAGATCCGAACGCAACCAAGACTATCTCGGTGCATTTCAAGGTTGTGGCGCGGCCTGTGCAGTCAAACACGTTTGACAATGATACCCCAATGGAGCGTATGCAACATGTCGGAGGGCAAATCATGGCCCACGAATACAAGAACACGGATACCAACAAAATGATAACGTATACTGCCACGCTATGCCAGGATCAATCTGCATACAAGGAGGCCCTTGCTATGGAATCGTCCGACCAGGCAACGGCTGCTGCGGCAGGGGCAGCAGCAACAACAGCGGAAGCAGATAGTGCGGTTGTCATAGAAAGTGCAGAAGCAGAGAAGCGCACAGAGAGGAAGTCGTCGGACCTGATGGATGGTCAACCTGAGCCACTGAAATTGGAGCGATCGTTCTTTGACGGCGGACGAGTCGAGGTGGATCAAAAGTCAACATTCTACGTGCGCGTATCGAACGAGTCGGATGATCCCCTCGAGTATGAATTCTTGTTGGACGCGAACGAAAAGCACTTTTTCATTTGCCCGGAGACAAACACATCGCTGGCACCCAAGGAGACGCGTAAGCTCATGTTTGAAATCCTGCCGACAAGTGTCGGTAAGCAGCAGCATACATTCTGCATACGCAACTGCCGCACCAACATTATACAAACCTTCACGCTACAATGTCTTGTGCATTACAAGTCGTACCTGGCATTCCCGTCATTGTCCGAAGAGAACAAGGGCGAGCTGGATCTTGGCTTTTCGTATGTCGACCCAGGCACCAAGTACTCGCAAGTGACCCCACTGCTGGTGGAAAATGTATCCGGACAAGACTTGTTTATTACCTGCCAAAGCAATTTGTCACATCAAGTTCTAATTTTTGTCGATGAGACAGGAGAGCGCGGTCTAGTGGAGATGATGCCTTTCAAGCAGGGTAGCATGACGACAGTGTGGGTAGCGGTTCAACCAAACTTATTGACGGGTTATCTGGGCAGTTCCTCAGCGGATGAGTGTCGTGAACTTGTAGGTGGTATCAAGTTCTCTATATATACCCAAGACGACCAGACACCGGTGGCAGCAGAAGCAATAACACCAGTAACGACATCCAAGGAAGAGGAAGGAAAGAATGCTGAAAAAGAAGGATCCACTGAAGGCGAGGACGACAGATTGGTGTTGATGCTGACGCAGACAGTCAAATTCATTTCAATTATCGGTCAATCTCACCTGGAGGTATCTCATCAAAAGATCAATCTGGGCTACACTGATAAGCTTGGTGCAGAATTTTATGGCTCGTTTACTATCAAGAACAAATCTGGCCAGCTACCATTGGATTACGAGGTCGAGTGTCCGAGCAGAAACATTGTCCTGGATAGACGAGGTGGAACACTCAACGGATGGCGGGGTATCGTTGCTGCTAACGAGTCAGCGCTGGATTACCTGGATCAAAAAGAACGACGGCAGCAACAGCAGCAACAGGAGCAGCAAAAACAGTCAAATGATGTCGCGAATATTCCGACCATGTCGGTTGCTCAGATCACGTTCCGCATACACGCGTATCGGTATGGTCTACTCAGCGAGAAGCTTATTGTCACAAACAAGCACAACAGCCAAGAGGTCTTTGAGATTGAGGTGCGCTTTTTCGTCAAACAACACAACCTGGAGGCATGGGCGGTTCAGGGAGAAGAACAGCAGTTATTGCTTCGAGATACGGCTGCAGGCGCAGATAGTGGAGAAGACGAGGATCATCACAAGGAGGCGGATCCGTTCCCAGTCGTACAATGGGAGAGCGTGTATGTTTGTCCCGCAGCAAATCAGCACAAGACTATGCCTCCAGCATTGCAAGTCATGATGCTATCTGACAAGGACGAAGCACGACTCTACGTGCGCGAGATCGAGGTGGCCAATGTTTCGGACGAGGCTATGCAGCTTATTGCGCTTAGTGATATTGATATTACTGCTGGATGGGTTGCAGACGAAGACAAGGTCAGGACTGCATATGCGGTTGAGGAAGGAGCGTACCTGCAGCGTAGCGGGCAACTGGTATTGGATGCTGGGCAGCGTGTGCGTGTTCGACTACAGTGCCCTTCGCCGGAGAAATTGACAGACCACGACCGTGCACAAGCATTGCAAGGCAAGAGCGGCGTGCTTGCAGGCATGTTTATTCTGTACGACATGACGCAACAAGTGGAACTGCTTGCGCTAGAACTCAAGGCTATGTTCTGTGTCTCTGTCGCCGAGCTTGGAGTGGATCGGATTGATTTGGGCCCGATTGGTCACGCAGCATCTTGGAAACCTGTCAAGTTTAGCTTCACTGTGCGCAATATGGCTGATGTTCCGCTCAATTACGATATTATCCATCCAGATTTCATGTCGTTTATGCCCAAGGTGGGATCCACTAAAGTCGTTAGCAACGTTACCACCTTTGATGTGCCATCACGTAAGAACCAGATCGTGCAAGGCACGCTTGATCCCCGACAAATACGCGACCAATCGTCAGGGCAACGACGCTTTGACATCCGCTTGGCCAACAACTACAACCAAAACAACACAATGATCCTCAAGTTGAAAGCGTTGATGACCATTTTCGAGTTGGTTTTCGAGCGGCTGACGAACGGGGAGCTCGTTTTACCGACACTGTATCACCCTATCGCCGCAACAAATGTATCATGCGACAGCTGGTTTGTCATCCGCAACACTACTGATGACGACATTCGGTTCGAAATCGGTGCCGATATTGCCCCTGGACTCGATGAATACCTCAAGCTAGATGTACTTTCGCGCTACACCAATACGCCGCTTCGCGGTGGTATTTCTGTGAGCCCTCAAGGTCGCATGGAAGTACGAGTACGCGCTACACCCAATGAAAGTTCTCGCTTACCGCATGATCGGGCAGATCTGCTAGATGCGGATGGCATCATATTGGCGAATCTTTGGGTTACCACGAGACCCATGGAAACGGGCAACGTTGAAGAGAACCGCAAGTTGCGCGAAATGATACCCATACGCAGCGCATTGATCGAAACGCCCATCTTTTCTCTTAGCGAGCGGCGTCTGGATTTCGAGCTCGTGACGTACTATCAGGATCAAGCATCTGTCGTCTCATTCAAAGAAGGAGAGGCAGAAACACGACCCAGGGATGGCGACGATTTAGATGAAGTTAATAGCGACGACTTGGAAGTGGTGTGTCGACCCGAAGCTCATCCTCTGACGATTCTCAACCACGCAACAAAGTTACCTTTGCGATACAAGGTCACGATCGAAGGAGCGGCCGAGTTTCCAGCACAGGACATGGTCCAAATCAAACCTTTATCGGCCGATGGAACAGGAGTGGTGGAAGCTGACAGCGCAGTGACTTTGATGGTGAGGATCGCCAACCCCAAAGACAGCATACCAGGGCAAATCCGGATACAAGTGGATGATCTTGACGCTGTAGGACAAATCCGACAGACTGCCTCCATCTTCGTCAAAGAGACTGTGTGGGATTTATAATATAATACGTCAGGATCAAAAGCCTGTCTTTTCCTATTCCTCTCTCTTTTCTATTCATTATTTCCTTCTTACATTTACTGTTTCCTTTGTGTAAATAATACATACAACTTTTACTTCCGTAATATAATCCATTCCAAAGTTTAGAACTTGATAATACATAAAAACAATTCAGGTGTATCTGTCCATAACTATTGAATCGGTTCGGATGCAATCGCCACTGACGCACCTGCTTGATCTATTGCGAATCGGCTTAAACATCACCTCATGCTGATCTCAGAAATGCATCTTTGGCACAATTGAGACAAAGACAGGATCATATATCATGGCACTGGAACTGATGTGATTGTAAAGTACATGAGAATATCCTTGATTGTCACCAATAAGCAATTGTAGTAGTTTTTTTTTCTGGTTTTCTTGTATGGATATACAGACATGCATGGTACTAAAGTTAAGCTATTGAGGCTGGGATACTGCTGGATGTGTACAACGTTATATTCTACGAGATGATCTTGTTTAAGTATACGAGGTTTAGCAATAGTTCTTCTTATCATGTATGACATTATATGCTATTTGTTGCGAAACTTTGCATGAATCGGCACCCATCCATTCTCTCGCTCCATCCATGTCCTTGTGGGCTGCTTCTTTGCTCGTGCACGTCGCTTGATGGTATGCTTATTCTTCTTCTGCTGTGTCGTCTTTGTATTGGCGGTGGTAGGATCCTGGTGGTCATGATGGTGGTGGTGGTTATGGTGATACGAGCGGAGAAAAGAGTGTTTTTGATTATGCGCATGATGATGAAGGTAACGAGGTCGATAACGGCGACGTAACCAGTTTGATGATTTGTATTGTGAAAACAACTCATCCCCGACTTCTTCATCCATCCCCTTTGGCTTGGCGTTGTCCCTGCTGACAGTGCCAGACTTGGGAATCAATGGACGTCTTGCTGGTGGGGACCGTTTCTTTTGTGATGCAGAAACTGGCAAAGGTAGCATGGCCGCTTCTTCAGCAATTTGGGCATACAGGGGTAGCTTCCTTTGGTTGTCGCGGTCGGAAGAAGCATCGACGATACATTGCCAGTCCTCTTCTTGCTGATGCTGCACGACGCAATACGGCTCGTCCTCGTTTCTGTCGACAAGTTGCCATGCATCATCAGTCAGACTCAACGGCGGAAACTCGTTATGGTCGTCAAAAGCGGGTGTTGTTGCAGTCGTATTGTCATTATCATCGTGTGCGGCAGAAGTAAGTATGTTTTCAGCAAAGGCCAAGTAATGCATCGCCAATGATATTCGAAGAAGAAGAAGAAGAAGAAAAGAAACAAACGGAAGTTTTTAAAAAAGGGGGTGGGGGCGAGAAAAAAGAGGATGATGTGTTGGTGCGATTGGTATATCAGCTGGTTTGTTGTTGCAGTGGTTAGTTAAATTGTAACTTCATCATGCGGTGGTACGTGTGGTGTGCGTCATCATTCAAGGTTACGAAAAAAAGGCATTCAGGCGCATGTGAGGATGATTAGCCATTACTGTTTTGTCATAATTCTTTTTTATTTTATTATATTTTTATTTATTGGACGACGACGACGATGACGACGAAGAAGAAGAAGAAGACGACGACGACGGGGACGATGAGGAGGGCATTTCAGCAATTCCCGTTCCTTTGATTTCCGGCACAGCAACCTTGTGGCTCTTGTACCGCACCACACCACGTGTCTTGATCTGCATGATTTCCCATTAGTCACTCACTTTGGCTCACGGACCTGTGCGCCCTTTTATCCCCGACCATTCTTAAAATGACAAATAAGGTTTCTCTTTGTTTACCTTTCCACCCACAATTCCTACACTACAACCGCCTGGCTGAGCTTGGCCCTTCAGAGCCAATGTGGCAGCGGTCGTCTGATGGCTTGGCTTGACACTGTCGGCACACAACGGGCATGTGTACTTGGCTTCTTCGTCATCGCACAGACTTTGATACTTCTCCGGAGTAAGCGTTTCGTCGCAGCCTGTATGGACCCAATGATCACACGAATCGCATGCCACCATTTCGTTTTCTTCGTCGTCATTCTCGTCTTCTTCGGAAAACGTCTTCATACATACTGGGCAGAACCGATCGTTCTTGAAGTTGTTGAAACATTTGCCACAGTACGTTGCTAGATAAACTGGGTATTTGATCTTATCGCCCGTTGGTGGTGCCAGAGCATGGAAGTACTCTTGTTTGTCGCCTTGTTCATCACATCCGTGGCAGTCCGCACATAGGGGACACAGCCATGATCCTAAAAAGACAGACATACCGGGAGAGAGAGAGGGAGAGAGAGAGAGAAATGACATATTATATGGTAAGTTATCGTAGTGATTATAGATCAAAACACTTCACACGTGTTCTCGCACCTTCAGGAACCTTCTCCACCTTTGGGTTGCAACTAGAGATGTAAAATTGAAAGAACCCAGTCGTGAGTATATCTTGACTGGATTTACGCCAATTGGAAAAAACTCCAGGTCAGGGTTTCCTATTTCCATACCATCCAGTGTGCCAGCCTCGGTCACAATCATCACAAATCATCAGCGTTGACTCGTCGCCTGCGCTCTTGCACACACAGCACACCTTGCATTCTGGACATGCCCATGGATACGATTCAGCGGCGGACAACTGTCTCGGTGTTTTCAAATGTGCACATACAGGATGATATTTGCGCGTGCATTTGCTGCAATTGATCATAGTAAACGCATCACAAGGATCGTCTTTGGATAACGCTTCGGATGGTGCGCTTAGATAGTGGCATTCGGCGCATTTGTTTTCATCAAAAGACGGTGCCTGCCAATTGTTTCCAAATCAGTTACTATCATGACGCTGTTACAAACAATTCTTTGCTACCTGTGGGGGTTGAGGTTGCGGCTGTGATACCCGCTGCTGTTGCTGTACTTGCTGAGATGGTGGCGGATGTGCAGGTGCTGCTTGTGGCGGTGGTATGGTGGTCATCATTGGTTGTAGTGGCTGTGGACCCGGCGGAGCTCTGGAGGCGGCATAATGTACGTGGTACTGGCATTTTTCTCCCGGAAACATGACAGCACGTTTGCAAATTTGGCCCTTGCTTGAATGATAGCCGCATACATTCTGGTGCGGAGACATGGGTGGATAATGCTGGCCTCCCTACAAAACCAACAAGGAGCGTTAGGAGAACGAGATAAGGGCCTGGATCAAACCAAAATCAATGCGATCCTTACAGGTGAAAAGCTTGCTGGTACTTGATGTTGCATGGGAGGTCTAGGTAAATGGGGTGGAGATGGATGCTGTTGTACTGATAGTGGCGGTGGGACTGTTGCAGGTGAAGCGTGGCTGTGTCGTGAATGCATCACAGGTGCTGTGGAAGGAGGAGGCTGCGGCCGATAGATGGCATTACCTTGTTGCTCAGCTCCATGGGATATATTTTGGTGGTTCATGACTTGGTACATTTGATTAAAGTAGTGTTGTTGTGCAAAAACTGATTGTGCATTAGTTGCAATTGCGAACGGCGATGCTATCTTTGGCTTGGGCTGATTAAACCGTGTGAGATCCCTATACACGATATATTGTTTAGTAACGAGTGCACACTCACCGTTTTAACATGCTATTTTCCTTTCACATATTAGTAAAAAAGAATACGTACATCGGGAAGTCAGCTTGATATTGGCCGTCCATGATTGCAATGGGGTACCGTTCGTCCTCGTCGTTAGGATCGGAGAATGGCTGCTTGACAGAAAGCAATGCTTTTGCCGACTTTCTCGCCTTTTCCGGAACAACACTCACTGCTGCATCGATATCATACGTCCCATCCAACAGATCGCGACCAACCCCACGAAATGCATTTGCTGGTGATTTTTCAAATTGCATTTCCTCCAGTGTAAACTCGTCCTTTTTGTTGTCGACACATTCAAACTTGACACGCGTGGGCTGCGTTGCAGCAGCAATCTGGTTAATGTTGGTGTGTACATCGTAAAAGACCGATTTTTCCGCACGACGTTCGTGTAGTTGCGCATTGAATCCTCTCACCGCCAAGGCAGCATGATGCATCCACGTTGCGTTGTTGATAGGTGTTGTCGCATCATAGCCAGCTGACCGTGACGTCCGTGAAATCAATGCACGGCGACCAGTCTTGTTGCCTTCTGCTTCTGAATCCTCAACGTCCTCGTCTGCTTCTTCCGTGTATCCCATTTCTCGTGCCCGTGCTTCAAAATAATCGTCCCTGACTTTTTTGCCGCGTTTGATAATGCGCGATCCAAAGCATTTGAAACACGATCGTGCGCTTACGACAGCCACATCGCGATTGCGGAACCAATGCACCAGTAATCGTTGATCCACAAGCCAGCTGCGTTCCTCTTCCGTCAACCGTATTCTTTCTAAAACCGGATTTTTATGGAAGAACAGATAACTGTCGCGATAGTTCAATAATTTTGCAGGTTCCATGGCAAACATGAACAACTGATCGCCGCGCAATGGCAGCGTGAAAGTCGGAACTCTGTACTCTCGTCCTAAGTGTAATCTTTAATGGTTAGAAAGGTCGGATTTAAAAGAGTGCATGCCTGCAATTTTCAACAAGTAAAAAGAAAGGTAAATTACCGCCTGATAAATGGCCATGCTTGTCTACTTTGGTTTCACCGGCTTCGTCAATATCACTTTTTGGTTCTTCCGATTGTTCTTCTTTTTCTTGTTCTTGTCCATCCTCTTGTTCTTCCTCGGCTTCTACGTGTTCTTCCTGCTGATCCTCCACCACGCGTTTTCTAGTCGATCTTCGTATTTTTGATTCTTCTTTGCGGCGTTTTGCATCAATAGGCTCATCGCCAGGTGTGACACTGCGTTTAGGGGGTCGTCCGCGCCTTCGCAGTCGCAAGCGTGGCAATTCTCCTTCTGGTTCATTTTCAGACGCGTTGTTATCAGGCTGCGATTCGTCTTGTTCATCTTGAGCACGATCGGAAAGTGCAGACGAATCATCTTCAACGCTCGGAGACCTGCCTCCAACATGTCTGCGTGGGGGGCGGCCTCTACGTCTGCGTCCAGCGGTAGCGTCTAGTTTTATAGTGAGCGAATTGTTAGTCATTGTGATGAATAAGGCAGAAGCGATATATATAATACCTCGAGCTGGCATAACTTATTATTAGATATTAATAAAGATATTATAAAAAAAGCGTCGCTATAGGCCGCACCTTCTTAATGGTTGTCCCCCCTCTTGAATTTTACAGTCACACCGCAAACCCGCCATATCTTAAAGACATGGCCAATGAGAGACACGAAAAATGGTGCACCGCCGAAATGGTGCACCGAGACTTGTGACAGCGATGTGACGGTGGTTCGAGGCGCACAGAAAAAGTGCACCGACAAAGTGCCAGAAAAGTGCACCTATCATTCCTTTCTCTTCTGCGGTTTCTACCGTTCGTATATGCATCCCATACGTTAATTTATCTTCCAAACTTCACTTTAGCTCTGTCACTGTGTAAACCGAAATTTATGATATTTAGTAATATTTAATAAATTCTATTCTGCTGTTTTTATATGACACTTGTGCCAATGTCTATAAAAATTGTTTCTCGTTTTCGGTCAAGCGTCTTCTATGAAGATACCGCCATGTAGTCTTGTAATCTGCCTTAAGTCGTCGTGCTCTGGATGGAACGAGGTCGATTGCGTTGAAGTGATTTGAGCTAAGAAAAAGAGTTATTGGCTGCGGTTGCCGATTGGTTCCCTTTGGGATAGTAAAAGGCAAGTACAAAACACTGTTCCAATCCAAGCGATCATCATATACTGCAATCGGCACAGTATATGCATCTGCAGCAATTTGGGCATCTGTTATCGCATTGAACCAATAATCCGAACTGCAAGTGTACTTCTGGTATTGTGCTGTTTCTGGTGTGATACCATATTCCATTCGTTGGATCGCATTTTGCATTATGACCTCACGTCCATTCCATAGAGTATCGCGATAGAAATCATATTCGCAAAAAGCTGATCAAGAATTGCTTGTTTGACCTTGATATATTGATCTTGGTCACCATGAAGTTGGAGAGCAAGGGCACGATATCCACACCATCCGTCAGCTTTGATTTGCTTAATTCCAAACGAGCAACCGAGCGGGATCTCTCGATGGACGAAACTATTGAATTGAATTCAGTTATACTGTCAATCGCTCCCAATAATCTATTAAAATTACCATGGTTCTCTTCGAAGACTTTTCCTGTTACTCGGCCATAAGTCCTCAGCTTGATTTTCCGGTTGTTTTCTTTTCTTCTGGTTGTTTTCAGTTTTCTTGTCCATCGTTTTCTCTGTTTTCTTCTCCGTCTTCATCTTTTCTTTGGTCTTGCTCATTGCAATTTTCTCCTTCACTTCTTGCTTCTTCTTTTCATTCTTCATCTCGCCACCCATGATATATTGCATCATTTCGTCTGACCCTGTCTCCAAGTTCTCAGCCATTGTCTCAATTTCTTTCAACGTGAACGGATCAACTTTCATATCCAAAAGGTGCAGGGCGCGTTCATCAATCTTATTCAAGATATCTTGCTGTGATACTGCTTTGATATCCTCTTTCGAAAGTCTTTTGGCGAAGGGCATGGTGCTCTTGTTGGAGGTTTTTTCTGCTTGTGATAGTGTCTTGCTTTCAGCTTGGTCGTCATAAAGAAAATGGTCCAGTGGTTGTTGATCGGTGGTAACATCATTAACAAGTTTACCGAAAACATCCGGAGCACGTCCATCATTGTCAAAGTTTTTCTTTGATCGTTTTCGAGTTTGTCGTGGTGCTCTGTTGTATGAAGCAGGCACCGCATTTTCTTCATAGATTTTCAGTGTCAATTCATCTGAGCGGATATAATTCAACGTTTGTGGAAGCGCTAGAGATATAGGCAAGTTGTGTACAGTATCTCGGTATAAATCTCTATAGAACGCTTCCACTGCATTTGTGGTACGATAAGGGTGGCTGCGGAGGGCGTCATTCATGCTGGAGCGATGTCGAAAAATCATGCTGCTTATAGATCGTTGTAGCCACCATTTGAGCCATTTGAAAGTATGCTTGAAATTTGTCACCAGTTCCTTACAACTACGGCAAAATTCATCAGCATCTTCAGTTGTCCGAATGATGCAGGTCAGTTCACGAAATCGTTCGCTGGATTCGGGTAGAACGATGCTGTGATTGCTGTTGAGACGTTGAACGGATTGCATCCAGTGCATATAGCACCCTTTTAGGAACCGCATGCCGTCATCCTTTCTGGTGTACTGTGTGTAGGCTTGCAGAAATCCATTCCTTTGTGCCAAAGAGAAATCCATCATCATACCGAGAAAGGAATTGTTGCCTTCAAACTTAACGTTGTACTCTGTGAAGAATGCAAAAAAGTATTGGGCAAAGTAGGTTTGTGAAAGGCCATCCAGGATAGCTCGGAAGATCACTGTGTGTTTTTTCAGCTCAGGAACATAGATCACTGTTGAGCAGAGATAGTATCCTTTCTCAAATGCCTTGAAAGTGACATCGGTAACAGCCGGAAAATCTTGAAAGTGAACATATTCTTTAAGAGTCGGTGACCGATACGCCAAAAAGAATGAGCCTGGTAGAACGTGGGCGTGGAGGAAGTACCCAGGGAACTCATTCATAATCTTGCCCAAGTCGCCGAGAAATTCACCTTTTCTTGGAATATCTCGTTCCTCGCGTACTTTGTTGATTTCATACTCGGCTCTATCCCTCGTGCCAAGAATTAGGCTGATCTTAATGATCGATTCAACGATTTCCCCAGTTCGCTTATTGTTGCCATAAATAGCTGCCTTGGGTGTCACTGTTGGATCACTTCGAATTCTCTCTGCCAGTGTTTCCTTCTCTACTTCCGATAGATGCTTCGCAGTATATTGTTCGTGGTCATGTGTGCCGATCTGCTTAACAGTGCATTTACTGCCGTCGAAATAGTAGAACGCCTCTGTTTTACAAGTGTCAACGTGCTCTAAATCGCCTCCGCAGCGTATACACACAAGCTGGCATTGTTTCAAAATCGCAGCGCGGGCGCAAATGTTTGCCATAGAATTTGCAGGCCTCTCTAGTGCAGCGGACGAAACCATTGCATTTCTTCTTGTAGCGATGGATATTGTGCTTTTGTTTTCGAGGACAATAAACCTTGCGCATAGACCATCCAATGTCCAAATTCAGTTTTACGTACCTGTCAAAAATCGAAAGTTTTGAGCAAGTTTGATTGAGTGTCGTGAAGGACTAGATGCTTTGTCGAAAATAGTACTTTTCGCTTTTGGAGTCAAAATAGGCGGGAGCCTCCTCTTCATAGGAGTCCTTAACAAATCTTCTTCGAAAAAAGGTAATGTATTTGGACATTGTTATATTTTGAACAGTAGATTTTGCTTGGAATGTAGTTCAAAGCGTTCTTTCAGGAACCGAAGAGAAAAAAGCATATTTTCCGAGTCACAAATCTCGGTGCACCATTTTAGCGGTGCACCATTTTTAGTGACACCCCATGGCCAATATGTCTCTCTCGTTATATCAACGTTCACTTTCCTACTAATCTTGCTATTTCCTTTATTGTTGCTGTATGAAATTGATGCCAATACTCACTACGTTTATTGAAAAGAAAAGCCTGTGATAAGAAAACTATAACAGCAGCTTTAGGAAGCGTAGTTTTGAAGAGAGTCGGTAAATTTTACATCCGAACGCTTGAATTTTAATCGCAAGTGATGCTCTTGAGTTCAATTGCAGGCACTATAGTTCATGTGCAACAGAGCTGCTATGCTTAAGCAGCCATAATGTTGAAAGCATGAATCTTCAAGGATTGGAGTAATTTGTCAATCTAATTCAGTTATCGTTCAATCCAAACATTGATATGAGTATCGCTCTAGCTATGTAACGCACTAAGCATGAAGACTTTATAGGCCGTAGAGGGGCAAGGCGCTATTAACTCACTGAGCACCGCTCACATTTTTCTAGTTGGTTCGTGTGGTAAGGGATTCATGCTCTGCTGTAATGAAAGTAAATCGAATATATTTCCGGAAAGTATGATTAAGCAAACAGATAGAATGAAGTGAAAAGTGTTGGAGTAGATATCTTTCGTCTTTACCCCTTTACATAAAGTACATGACCTTTTGTAATTCAGGCTTGACACGGGCGTAGCTGGCTAGTTGCTGTTCTGACTCGACGGTCTCTGAGGTTGCTCCTGTGTCAGACCAGTTCACACCATGGCGATGGAAACGAGCACGGAACGCAAGCAGATGTGCATAGTAGACGGGTGGGACCATCGACACGGCACGCGTGGCACGTCCGTAAATGTAGCACAGACGGTATGAGAGCTCTTGCAAAGCATCGGCTGTGAACTTATTTTCGTCATACAGAACATGATAGTGCGTTGGTCGCGATGTGCCTTGGATGCCTTGATGGGATTGCAGGTCTATGATGTGCAATCAGTCTAGTTAGCATCATATACAGCACTTGATCTTACACTCGAATAAATAAAACTTACAAAAATCGAATTCGAATGGATGTACAATCTTCGTATCAATGACTGTGCCCGGTTGACAGTTACCCGACCGGTCCGTATCTTGCTTGGAAACTGGGAAGAATCGTGCATGATGACGCTTTTTGACCACCACGAACGTCACCTTGGGTTTGTACGTCTTATCGAGAGAAGCACAAGCCGCATGGATGCGCTGAACCTCTTCAGTCAATACGGCCTGAAACTGTCCTTCTGAAACACCATCGCGATAAAACAAGATACGATCCGGCTTTTGGCCGCAGTTCTTGTAGAATTTCTTGAGCTGTTCCTTGACCATGTCCGACAGGTCCGTGATGATCTCAGTACGGCTGGATTGGACGCGGATCTCGCTGGAGTAGTTGGTGGCGCGGGCATCCATTGATGCGGTGACAGCGGCTATCGAAGGTCGGTTCACGTCGCCTGGTGCGGGGTGGGTCACATCTGCTCCGAAAACGATCGTTGGACGCTGGGCAAGGAAGGGCGTGAGGTTGGCCGGTAAGTACTTGTTCATGCCGCCTAGTTTCATGTTGACCTTTAAGCAGACGTTGGCACAGTAGTCGAAACGAGCGCTGTTGATGTGCTTGCTCTGGAGGCATTGTGTAGGAGTACCAAGAACCGTGTCCGAGATGTTTTTGATTTCGCCGTAAAGTTGGGTATTTCTGACGGGCAAGATACACACGATCAATTGAGGGTTGGCCTTGGCTGCATTGCCTGCTTGGAGCCAGGCCTCTTTCATGGTACGATCAATGTTGCCTTGGGGATCGGCATTTATCATGATAGGCGGATCGCGCTTGACCACGTCCAAGCCGACGTTGATAAAAGCTTGGGTCAACTCGCGGATGAATCTTTCAATAGAAGGCCTTGCCAGTCCCACATGAAAATTGACGACGGACCATGATCCTAGGCTAGCGCCCTTTGCCAGCTTTTTTCCACGCATATTCCAGGCACCATCGTTTGGCGTGAAACCTTGGCTATACATGACTTGGGGAGGAGGCAGAACACGGGCCTGGACTATGGCCATATCGGGGTTGACCTTGACACCAAATTGCTTGAGGTATGGGTTCTCTGGCTTGCACTGCAACATGGTCAGACCTTGCCTGGTTTTGTTGGCACGAATATCAGGCTTTTGGCAGGTGAACTTGATCATTTCCGCAGTCTGCTTCTCGTCGAGCTTCTTCATAAACCGCTGGCCAGGAACAATCTCGCACACTTCCATTGGCAAGAACATGTCCTTGCGCACAACAATACAGGGGAGGAACGCGTACGACAAACGCATGTTGTACTGCTCGGTGAAGTACTGCGAGACGCTCTTTTCCTCGTCGTCCTGATTTTTGAAAAACGTACGCTCCGCAGGCGTGGGTGTCAAACGTGTGATCTTATACTTGAACTTCTTATCGCCTCGATGCTTTACTTGTATCTGCACACTCTTCAAGAAACGTTCAAGCTTGGCACGGTCACGGTCGGTGATTCCACGGCGCAGCTCGTCGATGCTGCGGCGACCCAGGATTTTGGCGACCATTCCGGGCAACGGGCCGCTTTCATAGAACGCGGTAGCACAAACGTCGACATTGAGGAACATGTTGCCGGCTCCGGGTCGCGCAGATGAGTAAACGCCCGACCAGACTTCAGCGCCATTCGGAAGAACGCGAAGGTCTTGGGGCGTGTAAAAGGAGCGGCCGACCACGGTGTCAAATGTCATGCTCGGAACGTGCCGGATCAAAACGTCCAGCGCCTGGATTGCTAAAAAAGAATCAACAACAGAAGTGTCAGCTGGTACTTTGACGAGAATGCAAGAGGCTGTCTTGTGAAGTTACCTGTCAAACAGCCGGGTGTCTGCTGTGATTTTCTTTGCAAGAAGTTGCTCAGCTCGAGCATGTTTACTTCGCCTACTTTCTTGATGCGTATGACAAATTTGCCCGAGACACGACGCCTGCTGGCCGAGGATGATTCACCGCCACCATCCGACAGCTCAACCTATAAAAGCACATTAGTTCTTCGGTCAACATTGGCGCTTTTGAAAGTGGCGAAATACCTCGAACTGGCCCACTTGCTCAGGACCAGAAAAGTGCAAAGCCTTGGGTGAGAAAACGTTCTTTCTTCCATCAAAGACGGGGCGGACGTTGCGTAACATGCTTTGGCCTTCAACCATCTCGAACTTCTGCCAGACCTTGCGGTTGACTGCTGGTGGCACCTTACCGTCACCAATGGTCACATCATAGTGATGGATGATGCCTTGGTTGAATGATTGGATTTCAAAGAAGTTGCTTCGTACTTTGATGGGTGTTCCTATCTTCCCGTGTTCAGGGCGAAGGACGAAGTTGGTGAGGGCTGACGACATGGGATGTGTGTGTGAAGGGTGAAAGGTATCAAACAAAGGAGGGGAATGAGAAAAAGAGACAAAAGGAAATGTTACACGACTGTAAAAGCATGAGTGAAACCGATTGATTATAGCGTTATTCCAGATAGGGATATAAATATTCAAGTGTGACTACGTTAGACTGTTACAACGACAATGGAACCCCCTTATTATACACAGATTTTAGGAACAAATCAAGTTCCATTACCATACCATAGTCACCTTCGCCGTATACAACGTGGGTCATGCTTTTGCTAGGCTGAGTAACACCGACGACCTGTTTTCAAGAGTTGATGTGAAGCCAGCGTATTACTGTACATGTTCCTTTCGCTGTACGTTCCACTGCAGCAAACATAATCGATAGCCAACCACTTTCAGTGGACCTACATACTACCAAAGAATCACGGACTGCCATGCGCTGTCAATGTCTTGCACCCGTACATACATGCAATGTACAAAGTAGCAGCAGCTGTCGGTATTTCTTTACGACATTGACAAGATCACCAAGATAAACAATACGGATTGTTCGCTTAGGACATGCTTGCAATATATCATGTATGTAAAGATCAAGGGAATTGATACGGGCACGACAAGTTTTTTCCTTATATGTTCGGGGCACGACAAGCTCTAATAATAAATATGCTATGTTACACAGAGCAGCATAATAGCTGACACTCTTGTGTTAATTATAGCAGATGGGTGGTGTCGTGCCCGTAAGAAGCATTGATTTCTTGTGCTTATTTATAAGTCTTCTGTTCAAATTTGCTCATAGATCACAGCCAGATTTTGATAAATCAAAGAATTCTGCAGTACAGTGTAAAATTACTTGATATAGGATATTCCATACTATTTCTAAATAGAATATGAAAAGTTTCATAGATATTTGCCCAGCAAACGTTTGTACTATATAAATATGTACGTCAAGAAGAAGTATGTTATCAAGCTGACAGCTGCATTCGGTATAAATTAAAACCATTAAGAGACAAAGGAAATCTATGTACAGTAGAGGAAAATTAGAGAAGATATATATGATGGTTTAGAATGTAAAAAAGAGAAATACAAAGAGAGAAACCTTTCTATGTAGCGCTGTGAATGTGTGAAATATTAAGTCCCGTGGAGGCGTTTCTGGGCGATGCAACTACCTCACTATGCACGGACGACGTGGTGGCGCCTGCTTATTCTGCGCATCGACACATGCCTGACCGGTTCGACGACGCGCGATGCCGCCTCTGCCAGCATGTCACCGAGACGGCAGTAGACCATTTTTTCTTTACTTGTCCCTCCAAACAACCGCTTTGGCAACGCATGCTCCGACACCATCATTGCTCCTATAATTTTCAAGAGCTCAATGCTTATTGCCACACGCTCGATCCACCTCGGTCCAAGACCACCGCCACGATCCCACCACACACGATCATCATCGCCGTCCACCTCATCTGGGCATCACATTGGCGATATATATTTGATGATACACCTTTTGATGCCAGCCGCATCTACAATATGATCTCGACAAAGGTACAGGAGGCTGCCGGCAAGTTCACCTGGGGACTATGATAGGGAAATCGATGTAAATCACTTGAGACATAGCTTGAAGACGACGATATAGCTAATTAGCATACACCCTAATGTTGAAGCTGTTGGAAACTGTATCGCTGAACTAGTGGTGGCTCTCCTTCTCTTGCTTTCTCTCTCTCTTTCTCTCTTTCAATAGAGCTTCAAAAAGGCTGACCGCGTTCACCTTGCATGCAGAAATAACGAGCAAAAAGGTCAGTGAGCGGTTTTCTGCATCTCACGATGCGCGCACCCAAGGCAAGACAAGACCTTTCTTTTGTAAAAGCTAGACTAGCTATGATATCCGCAATTGTGATGTAATAGTCGTAGCTCCCCCTTCCATCTCTCCCATCTTCCCCCCCCCCAATCAGTAGTACAGCCCCTATTTCTTATCAGAGCAGTATCTATCAATAAACATTGGTTAATTACACCCGTGACAATCACATGCGATACTGCATATCAGAGCCATTCTTTTGGAAAAATCGACAGCAATCATTATCGAAGCCATCGAGCCTTCATCCGCGAGGCGCTTTACTCGACACACATCGTTCCCAGCCACGCATACTTGATAGCCATTTGGCAACTTTAAGAAAAGAAATTCTTTGCTGGTACATGCTCTGTAAGCTACTCATCAATCATATCAGGTATCCGTTTGGGTGGCGCGTCTATTGATCGAAATTTCCCTTGAAGCTTTAAAAAGCAATGCGTCGTAATTTTAACTAACCATTACATGTTGAGACAAGGTCGACCGCCTGTCAACGTACACAACGTGCTGTTCCCCCATCAACAACTGCTTCTTGACTTGGAAATGCAGCCAGTGGCAATTTGGACAGTAGCGGATCAAAAAATACACATGACAGTACATATCTTCACATGAAAGAATCAGGCTCTTAATTGGACAGAACTATCGCAAAACCACAGTCGATATCATTTCCCAGCACGAGCAGTCTGTATCAAACAAACCGACATCAGCGTAAACACTCATTTGAATATGCTGCCAGGTCACTGACAGGCCACAAAGGTCGCGTCGTATCGACAATGGCGGTGTCTTAAAAAAGAATCCAGAGAGAACAATGAGCAGCATAAGGTGCACACACTTCCAGTATCGCAGTGAGCCGTGCTCATAGGCAACAGCAACCATCACCATCTCATGCAAGTCACTGCCCTTAATGACTACGTTATGAAAGAGAAAGCCATGTGATGAGCATGCTGCGGCGGTAGGGCGGGACGTCAAAAATAAATAAAAAACCAAAGATATAAAAAACCGGTCCAGATTCTTTTTTCCTTTCCTTTCCTTTCCTTTCCCTTTCCTCTCCAACCTTTTTTTTCACACACAAACGACTGCTTGCTCACTCTCTCATCCGGTCCCCTAGATTCCCTCACCCATCCTTCAGGGGACGCCTACGACTGCTTCTTTGGGGAGAGAAGGAGCAGGTTGGTAGGGTTGGCTATTGGCAGTGCAGTGTTGCGTTTTTTGCATATGCGAGGAATACCGGCTCCCAGAATATAGCTAGAAGGACAGCTAATAAAAACTATACGTCCACTACGCCGACTCGTTGCCTTTCCCCCACCCTGTCTTGTCCGCCTTTTTATTTTTCTTTATCGTTCATTGTCACTCTTTTTGTATCTAGGATAGAAAGTACCCGGCTACTAACAGTTCCTTTTTTACTCTTAGCTGGGGCACCCCGAAAGCCCCTGGATGGTCCCCCCTGTGAGAGTGAGCAAGCAGACACGCGTGTGTGTGAAAAACCATATTTCTCCCCAATAAGCCCGTGGGGGCAAGATTTCACCACTTTTAAGTCCTAATGACGTGTGTTTTCTTTTCAAAAGAATCGCAGTGTCATTGGGACACAATTTAAAACAAAGAAAATGATATAAAAAAGAGCAGTCGTTGTGAGTGTCGTCAGTGCTTGTGGAAAGAGACACAACCTGAATCAACGTTGTCGAATGACAACAATTCGAAGTGAATGGCGTTGATCACACTCGATTGCCTTCCAAAGTTCGAAATTAGAAATAATAAGTGCTTTGAACAAGCGTGTCACTCTTGATCGTCCTTGATGGATGAGCTGTCCCTTTCCATTCGTTCGTTCGATCGATTATACACACATGATCGTGGAACACACCCAAGCATTTGGCCGCTCGTCGCTTTAAAACTATAAGAGCCAGCATGACATATGGTAGCACTGTAGTTTATGAGCATACATGTACACATGGATGCTCAATGTGTTTTTTGACATGCTGATATGCAGCCGTGTCATGATCGCCGCTTAAATCGTAATGTTTTACACTCGTGTCGAGTAGAATAATGCTAGGCGAAACAGCGAATTGTCCACAAAACCATGCTTTGCTGACTGGAGCGGAAGCACCGACAATCGCTGTATGTAGGAACGACCAACAGCAACAGATAAGGTAGCATCACTGTAGAGTATAGTAGAGGCGCTCTTGTACGAAAACGTGCTAAAGAATAAAACAAGGCAAGTTTTTACTAATACGTCTTTCGAATGCCCTCCTTACGGGCACGACGCGTCCCACCTACATATGGCATCCAATTGACTTCTTACATAGAACATACGCGCTGTGCTTCTTACGGGCACGACACCACCCATCTGCTATAATTAACACAAGAGTGTCAGCTATTATGCTGCTCTGTGTAACATAGCATATTTATTATTAGAGCTTTTCGTGCTCCGAACATATAAGGAAATAACTTGTCGTGCCCGTATCAATTCCCAAAGATCAATCATCCCTAGGTTGCATAATGCTTTTGATGCGACGACTTGCTCTTACTCCCTCGAAGGCTTGCTTCCCTTTTGTTCCATCATCACTTGTTGCTATCACTGAAAGCATTGTAATCGTCGAGGCGTGGGATGCACTTCTAACCAACTTTTCTCGCTACAAGAGCAAATAATATCTAATGTCGCACTCTAATAACTCCAGATGATATTGCCCGCGCCATTTATCAAAGACCAGTATTTTATCGTGAAAAGCCATGATCAGCCCAGATCGTGTATAAGAAGTGAGGACCCCATTCATCTATACTTGGTCATGCCCGGAACAGAACAATATGATGGGCTCTTGAACTTACGACCAGATGCATGAATGTTCCGCAGCATGACAGTGCTGGCCGTCGCAGAAAGAATTTTTTAAGGAGCCAAGAGCCTTTTTGAACAGGACCCCTGATAAATTCAACCTTTCTTACAAACAACAACACTATGACCAAAGCTGTGAGTGCGAGGAAGAATGTTCTTCTCAACAATGGTCAGCGCTACGAAATGTACAAACATTACAAAAAGTCCTTCGAATCAAGTTCAACGAAGAATTTAGAAGAATCAAACACAGAACAAGATCAGAAACAAAACGACCCAGTGTCAAAGAAGGATGGAATGACATATGGAGAATTGATCAACTGGGCGGTCGATCGGTATAAGTTGGAAAAGCGACCCAACAAGTCAACCATTTCGAAAATGATTTCGCGTATGGATGAAGAACGAGCGTTAGGCGGTCCAGAGCGGAAGCGCGGTGCTTCTCGTATACAAAAGGGTCGCTTTCCGGTAATACACATTTTCTCTCACTTATGAACGGCTTCTTTTTTGTATCAATGAGATGAAGCACACGCACTTTTCTAAACAGGCAGACAAATATGTATAGGAAGTGGAGGAAGCTGTGTTGGAATGGATGGATGTTAATGAAAGCAAACGTTTACCGGTTACATGGACCATGATTCTGCAAAAGGCAAACAGCGTAGCTGAACGGAGGGGTCTTGAATTTAAGGGTTCAAACGGCTGGATGGACCGCTTTATCGCTCGACATGATTTAAAAAGGCGTGTTGTGCGTACCAACAAGGACGGCAAGCTTGTCAAGTGACGAAAGCATTCCAATTTCAAGCATATAATCTGCACTGTATCCTCCACCAAAGAAAAAGAAATGTCCCTTTTTCATCACTTCATCAAGCTCCTCACATCCATAATCATTTGCATATATATATATATATATATATATATATATATTTACTACAACGCTCGTTTCACAGCCACATACAGCATACTTCTTCTCCATCCTTACCCCAAAATTCTTTACCCATTCATTAAGATAATAAAAAGAACATTTTATCTTATATTGTCTTCGAAGCTACGAAACGCAGATATGTAGAGCATATATCGCTACTTACTGTTGCTAAAAGAGGAGATTTGGCTACCTTCCATATCGATGGACTACAGTTATTCCACCGGGTGTACAGAATCACAGTGTATGACGAATTGATGGCATCTAAATGAAACGGTATTCCCTATTATGAGACTTACTGCAGCAGAGCTGATATAGCATAGCTGCTGCTTGGGTCTACTTAAAGACAAAGCCAGCGACGAGGGAGAGTAAAAAATGTCAATATCATCAAGAACTAAATGTATGTAGTCTAATAGCTAGATTCTTTTAGAAAAGGACCCATCACGACTGAAGTTGCAGTGCCTTTTTATTATATATACATCTAAATATTACTATGGCTTTGTGGATCTAAGGTTTGTGGCTCTTCTTGTTTCTGGGTGAAATCATTTAATTCCCTCCACCGTTTATCAAATTGATTGAATCTTCTACGGAGTACAAAGTAACTAGCCGCACTGATGGCGCCCAATACACTGTTTATACTGGCTGATACAGCTGTGCCAATACCAACGATCTTATCCACATCCACGCCAGTGTAAATCATCGCAGCCCGTGAGCCAAACTCGACCAAAAGTCCAAAGCCCCACAAAAATGTCAATAGGTAACTGTATTTGCGATAATCGTGCATTTCTTGCCACATAAAGCTCGGGATTGTCAGTTCGCGTTTGGTTCCTTCTTCATCGGTCCATTGTTGCATCGGTAGGGCAGCAAAAAGTTGTCGTCCGACAAGGTGAGTCATTGGGAAAATAGTAAACCATCGTGTTGAGAGTGGTATCAATGTAAGGAAGAACATGAGCCCGATGACGGCTGTTACAAAGGAATCTCGTAGTAGGGCGACGCGAGCATCTCCTTGAATAGCAGTGAGAACACCGGACAAGACAAAAGAAAGGACGATGATACAGCTGAGAATGTCAACCGTGCGATGCTTGATGAAAATGTAGATTGCTCGGAGACATGGTGGGATACCGGATACTATGAGTGCGATTATCTCTGATGTGAATGTTCGAAAGCTGTAGTAGATAGCCAAGGGCAGGGCCAGATTGATAAGTATGAGGATGATGACGCCTTGAAATTGATCATTTTTCAACAATCGCTTTATCTTGTTTTCTTGCTGTTTTTCATTTTGTTCTTTAGCTGTCATGTATCAGATAAAAAAGAGTATATCAAAAAGAGGGAGAGACTGAGAGGAGAAGATGAGAAGGCCCAATAGCTTGGCATTTTTTTATAACGTTCACAAACAGGTTATCATGTGGCGTTGTTGTTGTGTAGAAACGCTAAGCGAATACCCGCTTAGCTTTAATAGCATGCGCAGCATGTATCATAGAACAGGTCTCGGCTGGTTTTTCTGTATCGGGTATTAGTAAATGGCATACTCGGGCACAAATAGACACGGTCATACGGATTATTTTTTCTTCCTTTACACGAGTTTGCGCATGATATCCTTTAAGATATCACTTGTATCAGATAGTGGCGCTGTATGTGTCTATAACTGTCAATACCCTGTGGAACAGTAAGAGTCGCTTCAGAAACCAGTGCTTATTCTGCGTAATGTAAGGTTAAGAAATCCAAAGGAGGCTTTGCTTTCTGCATGCATCGTGCATTATGCCCTATTTCAATAGATAAGTCTAAAATAGCATTGAAAATCTGCCACAGCTTTCAAAAACCCTGGAGTAACCCGAGTAACTACGACAGCACTCTTTTTTTTTTCTACCTGTCTTATTCTTCTTTCTTTTCATCATACATGCAGCTTCCTTGTTGACAATGATCACTACTGGAAACAAAGCACAAGAACCGAATGGACGGATAAAACGAAAACAGTATGGGCGATCCCCTTATTCTATGTTTCGAAACACGATAATAACTCAATCTAGCCATGGTGGTCTGACAGGATTACGCATCATGATTGCTTTTATTGGCATTGTCCTCGCATTCCTTGTATATTGGTACCCTGAACAGCAGCTGCTCGACATGGTTGAAACTTTACGAAGTCATGTAACAGGCAAGCAAGAAGTATGGGATGGATAGCTTTTACTTCAAAAGCACCAAAAAAAAACTGACCCGTCCGCGATAGGGCAACCGCCGTCTTGCTTGAAATATGCAATCATGATTGATGCTGGCTCGACCGGCTCTCGACTTCATGTTTATCGGTTTCGCCAGTGTGCTGCTGATGATCCAGTACAGCTCAAAGACGAAGCACTTTTTGTACAAACGATTCCAGGCTTATCCGCATACACACCTGACTTGGCGGGGCAATCCCTCGATCCTTTACTTCAACAAGCGCTTCAAGCAATTCCCAAAAACTTACGCCGAAAAACACCCATGGCTGTCAGGGCAACAGCAGGATTGCGGTTGCTGGGTCACGAGCAAAGCGAAAAAGTGCTCGACGCAGTATATGACCATATCCATGCGCGTTATCCGTTCCCTATTATTGGTGGGCGCGAGAGTGGTGTAACAATAATGGATGGCAAGGATGAAGGTAGCATAAAGGAAATCGTTTGTTACTATCTCAATTGTAAAGCTACGGTGAAACTAACTAGGAAGTATTGATAACTACTGCTGGTTTGCAGGTGTTTATGTATGGATCACGGTCAACTTCTTGCTGGGCCATCTGAAATCCAAAGGTGCCCCGACGGCTGCCGTGTTTGATCTCGGCGGCGCGTCCACTCAGATCGTATTTGAGCCCGACAGGATCGATCCAAAGGCCATGGTTGAAGGCGATCACCAATACACATTGACATATGACAACCATGATTACGTCTTATACCAACATTCATACTTGGGCTATGGACTCATGGAAGCACGCAAAAGAATGCACCAACGAATCCTCGAACTGGCCGATCAGGTCAAACCAGATCTTCATGTATCTCACCCTTGTTTGCCTCGCAACCTCGAATTTTCTTTCCCAAAGAATGCTCCTTCTCCAGAAGCTACGTTTATCGGCCAAGGTCTTCATGATGCTTGTACGAATATTGTCAAGGATATTCTTAACAAGAATGCAGTGTGTCTCGCACCGCCGTGTTCCTTTGATGGAATACACCAGCCATTGATCGCTGAAGCATTTGCCCAAGGACCTATCTATATATTTTCCTATTTCTACGATCGTACTGTGCCTTTGGGCCTCCCAGCAAGTTTCAAGCTGCCAGAGTTGGGTCGATTAACAGAACGTGTTTGCATGGGCGAGTATTTCGAGCAACTACCGGATGGTGACTTGCGCGATGAAATGTTAGATCGCCCGGAATGGTGCCTCGACTTGTCATTTATTTATGGCTTATTATCCCATGGATACGAGATACCAGATGATCGAGAGATTAGGATGGCCAAAAAGATAGACGGTGTAGAGACTGGATGGTGTCTGGGTGCCGCAATTGCTTTACTTGATGAGGCCGGTTTGGAACAGGACGCATAGTGTTTATTTCTGTTCAACATATACACATATACTGAAGAAACATGTTCTTAGAAACATGAAAAAAGCTCTTGATATTTTGAATATGTATATAATGAGTAGTTAAAAATATGAAAGACAGGGAATACCCTTGTTAAATAATGTATACAATCAAACTTTTTTTATAAGTGAAATGAAGGGAAAACAAAAGACTATGTGAAAGGTGGGGTATACTGTATATGAAGTAATGTGATGGAAAGAAGAAATGCAAAAGTATTAGTTTTGATATGAGGGAATCCAACCTGGTTGTGCTAAAACATAGACAGAATCTGACGCTCTAAGGATTAAGGATGGTACAGGATTGGAGTAGACAAACGGAAGTTGGTTGCCAAACATGGCCGTATCAGGTGCACGAAGGAGACCCAGAGCAAGTACGCCTTGATCTAGTAAAAGGGACTCAAAAAGATGAGAGAATTTCTGACCGACAAACATGCCTGGCACTGGTATGCTCGTGAGTCTTGAGGATGATATAGAGGAGGCATGCTGGGCATCCCACGTCGTTGTCGTAGTATGGTTGGTAGTTATATCATTATCATCATGATGCCAAGTGCTTTCGATTTTTTGGCGTCGTCTGAGCGAGGTACTACTTCTGTTGCTGCTGTTAGAGTCTGATATGATGGAAGGCGGCATACCACTAAGTGCTTTGATAACTTTGACGATGTCCGGCTTATAGTACGACTGGCTCAATAGCACATTGCTTATAAGACTATCGGCTACAACGTCACCAGCTGCGTAAGCAGGAGTATAAAGCACATCGACTTCTTCATCGACTTGTTTTCCTTGCAATAAATGCATGAACTTGATATTGGACCGCTCCACTACATAATAACATTTACAAGTATTGGTAATATGAGTTAAAAAGAATGATAAAGGTAAATTTCTCTAGACAGATGTTCGAATGTACACAGACATTTCATTGTCTAGTTCTCTCCTTACCTAAATTCACAATGACGTAAGGAATCTTCTTACGCCGGTGTAGCAGTAAATGGATAATATGACTTGTCATGCTAGTATGCATAAGCAAAAGTAAGTGGAAATGAGAATTTATCTATTTTATGACGTTTATCTAATTCCTAAATATTGCAGAATCTTACATTGCCGCACTATCAGCGCTTGCGCCTTGCAGCTCGGGGGATTCTTTCTCGCTACAGAATGAGATCGAAACAAATTAGTTTAAATTCCCCTTTTTATCACCACACGTTGATGCTGTTTACCTCATAACAACGACTTGTTTTGCGCGCTTAATACCAGCTCGAAGAAGATCATCTGGCTGACGACAATTACCCTAGCAGAATTATCGCAATATCATACATTTAGAAAAAAGTGAATGGCCAATACACCCGGTTTAGTTGGTAATTTTACCTCCATGATGTATACACGTGGGAAAGCACTGATCAAATCGAACGATTTAATACTCGGTAGCTCTGTGCATAAGATAACAATATCCTGCAACTCTTCTTGTCTCAAGTGAGGTGATCTAAACATACATGTAATTAATATGATCCTTTACATAATAGTGCGTGGTTGTTGATCGTTTGATATGGTAAAAGGGGTCATTCTTTTACCTGAGATTATAGATGAACTTGAACAGGTTGATAAATTCTTCATGCATGCATACGAGAACATGATTGTGCATCCCCACGGTTGACTGGATGATTGCGTCTACGCGTTCAGCTGGCTTGTCGAGTAAGTAGCACTTCAATGATCCTTCATTTTGGGATATACTACTATCATCATTGTCGTCGTCGTCATCGCTTTCAAGATCGTCATGGTCATCCATGCCTTCATTTTCATTATCATAGCTATCTTTGGCAAGGGATTCGCTGCTTTCATTGAAACGACCAGATGAGAGTTTTGATATGTTTAGTGCTGCTCCTGCACCGCTGATACCAATCAATAGCGAACGACTAGATGAAGGTAGTCGAGTGATCTGATAACGTTGCTTTGGTGTAGGTGGCGATTGAAAAGAACTGGAGGATGGCGAAGGCGGGAAAGTAGAAGTCAAATTTTGCTGATAGTGGTGGTGGAGTTTTGGTTGTTCTTCATTTTGTTGATGTATCGACCTGCGATTATCTTCTTCGGGAAACACCGAGTACGCGGTACGTAATCGGACCATTTGCCATACATACAAGGGACTCTATACGTTTTGTTACATCATCTTCAACATATGCTAATATGCTCTATCATAAACGCCATAACCAGTAGTTATAGTATAAATAAGATTCTTACCAGGTTCTCGATGTCTTGGACTTCTTTCGAGGTTTGGGCTATATAAAAGCAAAGATCTGTTTGCTTGATGAGATGCGAATTTTGGAAGGGATTTAATATGATTTCATATTCGTCTTGTTCAGGAATATAAGTCTTAACAGCAAACAAGATGACTTGCTGCTCACTATACAAGATCTATAATTTATTACAATTCATCGTCAGCTTTTTCCCTCCTTCATAACATTATAATGTTATAATGGTCTTGTAGGTGGAGCATGATTAGATAAAACTTACCCAAGCTGCATGGCGAAAGCTAATACCGACGATGCATGCAGCTGCTGGTGCGGTGTAAATTTCGTTGCAGGAACCGTCATCTAAGTATACGTGTTCGCAAAAAGTCCCTTCAATCAGAATGAAAATTGATCGCTTATGTCCAATTGTCATATATCCAGTTGTAGCAGTGCCACATGCATTAATTAGGGTTTATAGAAGGCACCACCCCAAACAAGTTACGCGTTACAATACTTTACCATATTGAGCTTCCCAGGGTAAATCATAATTGTTTAAAGGTTCTCTTTGATGAAGCAAGTTCGTTAATAGCGTTGATGCACCACGGCAACGACAATTTAACGCCAACAAGTACTGGTTGAACTGTCGCACGCAGATCACCTCCTTGGCAACTTTCTGGTAAATAGCAGTGCTAGGTGACAGATTATAACTGTAGATGGGGACGTCGTATCGGGCAGTATAGCAATATAACGACCATAATCGCACCGTATTATGCTCATCTTCTTTCATCGGATCCGGTGCGTTCAGATCTGCAAATAAAAAAAAGAATAATGATAATATCATTTAGAGTTAAAATACAGCAACCATACTTGCTTATTTGTTTACTCATATACATTTCAATCTCTGCACGAAACGGATCCCCGAAAAAAGAAAGTTCAATATGGGATGATCTCTTGTTTGTATATATGCACACGTACCAGATAGCGTAAAGATAGCTTTTGCATATCGGGCATTCTAACAACAAAGCAAAGACAAACATAGATAAGTAAATACATGAAATGAGAAAAACAGAAAAACATGAATTAGTTCACAACTTACCGCTCGCTGTAACGCTTTGTCATTCTAAGGCGATAAGAACATGTAGATGTTAAACATATAGTAGAGGTGTGAGATATTTATAAGTATAACCATATCAGCAATGCCAGTAGCAGTGCAATGACAGCATATACAAAGAAGAGGCTATCCCTTACAAGGCAAGCGCTGTGGAGAAATTGAATGCGGTGACCCCACACTGAATTGCGTCCGAGCAGTTTGAGATCATCGGTCAGTGGTTTTGTGTCCAAAAACACGACTGAAAGTTTCCCATCAATGTTATCCTTAAAATTTTAGATAAATTAGCTATTTTTAAATCACATTGAATGTTATAGGAATTGTTATTATGCAAAGACAGAGAGAAGTAAAGAGCAGAAAAAAATATACCATGTTTAAAAATCCATCCAGTGTATCCTTGGCTTGCTCAGCCGTAAATGAACCGACAATCAGAATGAATGGTTCAGCTCCTTTCACAACTACGCTTCCCTCAGCTAATACGTCAAGTCCATATATACCAAAGTCAGAGTGATTTTTGTTACCAGTTTCAATGAAAAAAGAGGTTACTATTGGGTACAAAACTCTTACCGTCACGTTTTTGCAGAGTTTCAATGAAATCGGATACCAGGCTCGGAATTACAGCCACCGTAATCAATATTAGCAGCATGATTACAACGCGACTTATCGATGCTGCCGGAGTAATATCTAACAGCGAGAATACCGAGACCATGAGACATACGCATAATCACCAGATTATTTGAAATCAGTCCGTGTGAGGGATAAAGAGCCTGGTATTAGTGTATACTTTACCTCCATAGCCGACGGTCGATAGTGTTACTACAACAAAATACCTATCGCCACATTAAATATTTAGTGGGTGTAGGACATATATTATGCAGAGCCCTCTTTCTAAAGAAAAACTTTAACATACAGTGAATCGAGCACACTGTAATGATTGCCACCAAAGATAGCCTCGGTGAACTGGAACGCCGCCATGCCATTATAAAGCAAGACAACGATCATGCCCACGAGATAGATCTGCTTGTAGTTGATTGCATCAACTGGCTTGTCTAATATGGAAAGACTTATCAGATACCGTCCTGAGCTGTCTTCCGAGAGGATTGTGGTCTGATGACTGTTTTTCAATCATATACTAAAACAAAATCGTACCAGTCATCCGAAGGGTTACTTTGATCTTAAGCGCACTCTTGATGCGCAATAAGCATACCCAACTCCGCAAAAAATATGGAACTAAAATTGAAGAAGGGAATAATGAGTGAAATGACATCAACTGTTTGGCATTGAACTAATATTTACCATAGATGTATTGCCCATAAGGTAGACATCGTGATACCAAAAATGGAATTGAGGTGGTTAGTTCGACAAGCCCTCGAAAGCTGAGAAGCACGGAGACCGGATATCGGCTAATCAGGAAACCTATTTGATGTGCATGTAAACAATTGAAAGAGAATTTAGCCCCGATGTTGTCTCCATAACAAGCTAAAATAAACAAAGAGAGGAAAATGGAATATGGGCTAATGTGCGCACACTACACACATACGGATAGCAAAGGAGCACATGTTCCATAGAGAAAGGACTTGGCAGAAAATCCTATTACAATATTTCATATGTGAGCTCAATTGGTCAGCAAATAATCTCATGCTTTCGAATTTGTGATGTTCTAGACAGCCATCTCGGTGTGTATGTGGGTATATTGTATTTACCATAAATCATGTGATCGTTTCTTGAAAAGCCAGTGTGGGGACAGACCCACATCATAACCTTGTTTAATCTCTAACAAGTAGGCGCAGCACAAAAGTAAATCGGCTAAGAGATCCAGATTCACCTTTAAGAAGGAAATAGGAGGCATGTCGTTGTTAAGATTTTTTTAAAGGATTGATAAACTTAATAGTAGGAACCCTTTCATGTACGTATAAATTGATGCAATAGTGATAGTTACAAAAAGAACAATAGTTTGATTGGCTAGTAGAATAGACTTGACCATCGAAGCGTAAACGTTGTAATGAAAGTAATGTTTAAAATCGTCAATGAAGCCGCACACCTTAGGATTATCGTCACTGTATGTGCGTTTATCCGATGAATAAGAATAAGTTCGGAAACCGAATTATATTAAACGAAAAGTTTTTTCGGAACGTACCGGGCGCGTTTGCGACTGATTCTATAGTTGGCTCTAATTGTGCTTAGATTGACTTGAGCAGGTTTGCGGCGCATGAACCAAGGACGTTCATGATAACTGTGTAGGTGATAGTGGTGCTGATGCTGGTGATAATCTTTTGTGCGGTATGGCGGAGAGCAAGTACAATCAGAAGTAGGAGCGGGAACGGGAGGAGTAGCAGCAGCCACCTCTTGCGCTCTAAATTAGCATAATAGAATATACACATTGATATGAGATTTCGCTTTAGAAACTTCCATCTCTGTCTCTCTTTCTCTCTCTATCTTCAGCAATGTAATATATACATATATATCGTGTATATAAACCTTTGTCAAAACATAAATGCAAAGGTACAGTGATTGCTTGTGCTCTCTTACTTTGGATCTAATGCTGGTAGTACAAAATCATCCAACATGAATGTATTATCCCGCTTGCCCGATCTCGATCGACGGCCAGTAGACTGCGCGGCTGGAGGAGGAGGAGGTGACGGCGGAGCAGCTGCTGGAGATGCTGTTGCTGCTGTTGCTCCATACGGTGATCGTCCCTTTATGCACAGTGCGCTCTCTTCATCGTCGTCTTCATCTGGCTGTTGCTGGAGATCAAAATAACTTGTGCTTCCAAGTTGGCTAACTTTTGTCCGTCCTGTATAGAGCATCGCATTGGATAAAAAAATATAAACAGCCAACGAAAAACCTTGGATATCGGTGCGTTGCGAAAAGAAGAGGGGTTGGTCTATGTGAAGCAACTGGATTAAGTAAAAAAAAAAGAGGTGAGAGAGAAAGAGAGATGGAAGAAAGAGAGGAAGAAAGTTGGGGGATGGTGATGATGGTTGTAGTGTCCGTAAAAATAATGGAAGGACTAATGTAGATTGCAAACGCCACTGCTAAATTGTAAGAACAGTTTTTGAGGTAATTTTTTGCATGGCTAAATTCACTCTTCCTCCTACACGTGTAGGATCTGATTTGATAGGCAAAAACGCTCATTACTTTTTGACTTAAGGGCTGGAGCCAGAGGGGCTGCAAAATATGTGGGCGAGACAGGACAGATAGACACACATATCATGTACATACGAGGGACCGGAAACTCGTCAAAAGAAAGAGTGTGTATGCTCCCCTGCATGCATCTCGAACCGAATTGCTTCTTCAAACTCCCCAAATCAGTCACATAGCAACTCAATGTTTGTTGCTATGCAACCTATAGTAGGCTAGCAACCCCAAATTACCAGATATCCGTCGTCAAGGATACTGGCGAAATATAATTTCCTCAAATGAAAATGCTCTTTATCAATTATGCGGTTGGTAAGACGGCTCGCTTCCAAGTTTGGTTGCCACTAGCCGATCAGCGCCCGCGCGCACTAACTGTCCGCCCGTCAACCGTAGCCGCCTGGTGTCGGGAGCGAAAAAGAGACAGCTCTTTGAAGCAGTCACTTTTTCCTCGTAATCAGTATATAAATAAAGGTTGCGCGCAAAAGTTTACGTTTTTTTTTCCATGTCAAAATTTTTTTTTCAAGGGCGTGAGTTTAGAGTCGTTGAATGTGCGAAGCTTTTCCAATGGGCCATTCAGCGCTATTCATCCCCGCGAAGGAACAACAAGACGTCTCTCGGGGCGTCTTGGTGCTTTGAAAAACAGTCGTTGATGGTATCTTCAATTCCATCGATGCTAATTCAACTGCACGTATAATTTCATCTCGTGAATTAAGAAAATGAAAAAAAAACCTCAAAACATCTGATGTTACGATGTGAAAATCAGCGAAAATCAGTGAAAATCAGCACCCATCCCGTTTTTAAGTAATAGCAATAAAACAGGAGGTATTAATACTAGCACAGTTCTGAAACGCCCTCATGAATGTATTCCATGGACAACAGCAAAAAACCCTCAATATAATAATTTTTGATGACAACGTCTCTTTTTTATTGTTATTTGTTGTGAGTTATGAATCATCGAGAGATAACATTTACTCGTCATCAGACTCGACACCAGCCTTGGCCTTCTTCTCATCACCGGTAGCACGGGCTAGGATAGATAGATAGAAAACGGTTGTTAGCAAAAAAGATGCTCTTTTCAACATTGTGCGCAAAGTTTTAAATAGACGACACATACTGTAGATGACCTGGGCGTTGTGGCGCAAGACGGGCTTGATGAGACCCTGAGCTTCAAGCTCACGAATAGCAACACGGGCAAGCGAGCCGTTCAAGCGAAGACGATCGACCAACACAGACTGGGAGATGAGCTTGTAGGTGGGGACTTCCTTGAAGAGACGTTCGTAGGTAGGCTTGTCGAGGACAACCATGTTGTTGGCCTTGTCCTTAACCTTCTTGGCGGACCACTTCTGTTAATGTGCCAAAATATATAATTATTTAGTAAATTCCTTTTCATATCTGCTTGTCAATCTGTCATTTCGTTTATAAATCGTTTTGTAATACGAAATCGAATGCTTGCCTTCTTGGCCTTCTTGCCACCAGAGGACGAGGAGGGGACTTGATCTTTCTTGCCCTAACGAATTAAAAAAAATGTCTTGCATTAGCGAGAAGGTTCCCTGTTGAGCTCATTTCATAACGGCACAATCCGTGCTTTGTTATCCCTCTCTCCCAGGTCGATCAGCCATCATCCATTCGTTTTATGGATCCATCCGTTGATCCATCGTCATATGCTGTCGTGTTGTATCATCCTCCATCATCCCATCCACTAGTCCACCCTTGGGTGTCGATACTCACCATAGTGATTAGAGAAAGAACTACTCCTTTGCGACGTTCGCACCCAATATAAGTCTGAGCTCCAAAATCATCTGCTTGTCACGTTGGAGCCAAGTGCGTAGCTCAGCGCTGCTGCTTTTCTTTTCCCTCCCTTTCAAGACCGACGAAACCATTCGCGTCTAATGAATTCACAACGACAGAATTCTTGGGCACCTTTGTATGTACAAGATGTCACCGGATGCTTTACTTTTGTATGGTATTTAACTTACCTTTGCTATTCTGTAGAAAGAAAAACTTGGGTAAACGCCCAACAAGTACTCGACCACTCCCCCTTTCGTAAGTCTAGAGCAACAAAGGATCATAGTAGTAATAAAATACCAAGTATTAGCTATATAACGTCTAGACAAGGATCGTATGGCCCTTCGTCATCATCTGCAGCCAATGAAAGCAACTTTCAAAACCCACAAGACGAGGTATAAATTTTGTCCCTTCTAAAAATGACACAGAATTACGTGCAGAAGTAAATCAACATGCACTTACAGACAAACAACGCGCGATTATGTAGATCATGCGGAAACACTCGGAAGAATATAACACGCGGCAGGCCATGAAAGCAGCCATGCTCCATGCAAACACCACATCCTACGGATTTTATATTCCTAAGACGTCAAAATACGACAATCTTATTATTCCTGCTATCCCAAGATTACAACAGCAGCATCAACAATAATGACGACAGCAATAGCAACTACACCTGCCAGAGAGCAAGACCCAGCTGCCGTCCCAAGAGAATGGAAAAAGCCTACCATCGACCATCGCTCTTCTCCTCTCTCTCTATCTTTCTCCCCATTTGGTCTAGGCCCAAGTAATATGTGTATATAGCGACCAACACGGACGGCAGTATATAGTGGATGCAAGGAGGCGGCACATTTAGGTGAAATAAGGGGTTGGATGCATTAATCGAATGCAATATATAAAAAGGAACCAGCATCCACCAAAAACCATCTGCACGCCATATGTTTTCATGTCTTCCCTTCTTCCTGCATTTCTCGTTATGAATCCCTTCTCCTCTCTAGTTATCCTGATCCTGTTCATCGCCGTGTATTACTTGTCGCTATTGACAATCACTGTGGATGCTCAACCAACGAACAGCAACAACAGTAACGACTACGACCTTATTAAACGCTCACCGAAGGATGCCGAATGTGTTACGGGACCTCATCCTGCGGCAAAGACATACACACCGTATTGTTAAACTCTACAGCTCTTGTTACTATAATTATTACTACTGCTATTGTAACCCGACAACGCATGCACTTACAAAAACGTGCTTCTATCTGTATCATTCTCTTATTTTCTCTCTCTCGCTTTCTTTTTTTTTCCATCTGGGTATGTATGCAAGATGCTACCCGCCCACGCATACAAATTAAATCATTCATCTCATCCTTCCCACCCCTGTTTTCTCATGGAACAATATCGCGTTCATTGAGTACGTTTTTTTTCTCATTTTCATTCATTGTTAATAAATCACTCGGCATTAAATTGGAACTTTATTTTTTTTTTCAGTAATGACCCTACTTAGAGTGATACTCCTACCATTAGCCCTACATACACACACATCAAGTCTTTTATTGTGTGATAAATGCCTTTAGGAATCTATTGGGCAGTTTACAATAAAGTGAATATGTACACTATAAATTCACAAGAACAAGTGGCGATTGCACAATAATCGTTTACATAATCAATTTATTCGATGATGAATTCTTCAGACCCATAGGATACCATATCTTTAACAATGGCTTCCAAGATCACGTTGGGATCATCGTAATCCGGCCGCTCACCATAGAAATAAATGCCAATCCCTTTGTAGTGACCAGATCTTCCTGAGCATTTTTTAAAAACCGGCATAAAGTACGAATATTTGTACCCTGTCACTCTAGCCGTACGTATCGCTCCATCATGGGCACGAATAATTGCGTATTTGTTAGTAAACAGTATGGGTAAAATGATACATTCTTTGCAGTCCTCTACGGTAAGCGAGAGCGGCCTGGAATTCGCAAAGGGGTTTCCTCGATGGTAGTGAGTGGCCTGGCAATTAGCAAAAGCATCCATATCGCAGCGCATTTCGAGTAAAATTGTGTCCTCGTCTGCTTTGTTTCGATCAACAGCTTGTCCCTTAAATAAAGCGTCATGAACGGCATCCATCTGAGCATCAATTTCATCAGGGTCGGACGAGTTGTCGTACTGCTCGATAGGCAATGTACAGTATGTAGACACAATATGCAAATGCATATTATCGTCGACCATGTAAGGCGCTTGGAATGATGTAGCGGTGGTCATATGGTAAGGAACATGTAATCCACCGATGCCAGTCCAGGAGGGTAAATTATGGTCAAGCATGGTACTCTTGTTGGTGGGTGTTTTGGACACGTCTAGGATCGAGCCAAAACATAAAAGCGAAAGGTCGCTTGCTATAATGTTTTGATAAAACGTGTGGAACATGGTCTGCGGGTCGATGTCATAACTAATCTCCATCCGATCAAACATGTCCGGAAAAATATTGGCTAGTACGAACACCTTATCATGTTGCCTGGTGCTGGTTCGAAAATGCGCCTCACTAAGAGCCTGGTTGGCGCTCTTGTGCTTTCTATTGTTAAAATCGAGCAAATCACCGGATAAAATGTCGTACGTGGTTGGAATCTTGCTATAGAGACTGTGCTGCCAAAATGTCACGTCAGTTCCTACCACCAGGATCCGTCTTGACATCATGACTTCTTCTAGAGTCCAGCTGCGCTTAAACCAGAGCGAGTAGCAAATGTCATCCAGAGCCCAGTCCCTGGCATTTGTGCCTGCAACGACATTGGAATCATTCTTAAAGTCACGCAGATGGTGGATCTTCATTTCAGGCACCAAGGCAACGGTGTAGCGCGCGTTGCCGTAGATAAGGTACATTTGCTTGAGCTCCTTGTATTTGGCTTGCTTGTTTGATTGGTCGATACAAATTTTGTCGTACCACAGATAGTCGATCTGGAAATCTTTGCACAGCTGCTGCAAGAGGCATTCGTATGTGACCTGCTTGATAACCTTCTTTTTGCGACACCAAAAACCTGTACTGCTGTGCTTTCTGACTGTTTGGACAATTTGATGAAAGCCGTTGTCGATGCACTCATATTCGCCATTGGCTTTTCGAACGATTCTTCCCGATTGCTCCCAGCAATACGATAGTGTACAGTAGCCATTTTTTGCTTCTGCGCCCGGTACCCTTTTCCAATCCGCAGTTCGAATAAGATACGTAGGCCGATAGTTTCCGCCCGTCGCATTAAGCCTATAGTGCGTGGTGTTCACTGGGTCGGCTTCCCTTTGATCACGACAGTATTTGATGTACATTTATGCACTCGATATTGTTTTTGTCGGTTACTATCCCAGTTCACTAGAATTAACATGAATGTATACGTAGTATATCGAGGAATTTGAGTTTTAGTCAGAGGATATCATAATCTAACGCTACCAATAAGTGGAACTTACAAAGATACTGTACGTACGAAGCAGTATATACAGAGATGGACCGAATTTTTCGTTGTAAAGTATGTGATGGTTTTACAGTTTTGAAAATCCGTATTAAAAATATAATATACGTTAATGCTTAGAAAAAACGAAAGTACGAGAAGAAAGTTGTTTCTTCCCCAAAAAACAAACCAGAGAAAAAAAGCGGTTTAAAATATTGTGGCGCGCAATGTATGACAAGGTATAACGCGAGGCTGACATATGGGGTAAAATACTTATACTAGCACCTGGTAAATGTGGTGGCGCCCAAAGATGGTATACGAAAGTAGGAGGACAGGCACTACAGTTATACAAGAAGGAAGCATGATTTCAATTCTCGGATATCTTCACACACTCACAATTTTCACATTTTATTCTAAAGCGTGTTTCCTGAAGGGATAGAATAAACAATAATCCGAATCACCAGCAAGGAATCAAATATCCCAACTACCACCGCTAACTTATACAGTGCCCAAACGGTAAACTTCTCACCTCTCGACGCCCAGCAAATGTGATTAAATGATAAAGCATCAAGCTAGCGCGTGTGCACTGTACTCATCAATAGTACAGTAGTAAATACATGTACTCCCTTATTATCGTATCGTGTAAAATTTGATGGATATTTGAAGAGGCATATAACTGGATACGAGAGCTGTTAAACTAGAACGTTTAACGAACGACTAAGTCTAAGCTGTATGTGCTATCTTACGTCCCAATACAGACAGCAGAAGTACAGATGTCGCATCCTGAATCTACCTCTTGAATACCTTCTAAATTCTTCAGTACATCTCGTTGATAGTTTCTCTCGATTATGAAACGCAAGCTGCCTTTGTCTTGCCGTCTCTCAATGTTTTTAATGCTTTTGGTTCTAATAATAACAGCCATTGATAAAGGTGGAGCTATAAAAATGTAATATACTACTGTTCAAGATCATATTCGGTACAGTATGTACAGTAAATTCTTTGAAAGTGTTTCAAAGAAAGTAGAAGGAAAAGAAGACGTTGCAAACAAAGCAAGGTGAAGAAGGTGGGATTCGTCTACTCCGGTTTTCTATGATAAAACTATATAGTCATAAAATGTTCATTTCTAAGAAATGTTTAGCCGATCGAGCAATAATATGCATTGCTTAGTAGCACGCATCATTTACGATTTAAGTACGCTTTTGTCTGTGTTATGACCAAAATCCTCCACCGAAAGGATGTATTTTATGTAGCTTTAATTGTCATTAAAGGTGTACATAAAGGCGTTAGAAAATTATGTTTACTAGATGAAAGCTGATGCTGCTAACCATCTCAATAAGTCACCATAAAATCTCTCATATACCGTATACACCAACGTAACCATGTAAAGTGAAAACATACTCAGTATCTCTTTTAAAGGGTGCAAACGAGCCAAATCACATGGCACCAAGATAAAAATGACAATGATGATGATTTCCCCTGAGACAGACTCGAGCGATGAGTACATACCGAAAATGAAAGGACAAAGTATTAAGGATTATTCACGTTTAACATGATACACATAGAAAAGATACTTTTGCCTTGTCGACGATCAGCAGAACGGTCTAGAAGTGCTTTACGAAATGTAATTTGTCGCATAATCTACCACTTGACTACGTAGTGTAGTGTCAACTAGGCTGCTGCTCTGCCTCAGTAGACGTCTTAGCGGGATATTGGACCGTACTAGTTCAAAGTTTTTTTCTTGTTCCGCTTGTGCAGTGGACAGTGATTATTTTCTTGATCCTTCTTTTTATCCCACAGCTGAACATATAATCCCACCATGAGTGTCGTCGACAAAATCAAAGTAAGTAGGAAAAGAATACTGATTGATAGCTTTACAAGTGCTAGGGAATGCTAATCAGATACTGCTGTTTATACGTTTAGGAAGTCGAAGTAAGATTCTTCAAAATCGTCCCATATTATGTTTTTTGTAGAATAATGTTGATCTGACGCATGCGGCAACAACCTAACGAAACGATTTAGAATGAAATGGCCAAGACCCAAAAGAACAAGGCCACTTCATACCATTTGGGTCAACTCAAAGCCAAGCTTGCCAAATTGAAGCGTGACCTGCTCATTCCTGGAAGTGGCGGCGGCGGCGGTGGTGGCGGTAAGTAGTGGTGACAAAAATAAAGCACCTATGTGTCGATATAGGGATAAGGGAGAAAAAAAAATTGAAATAAAGACTGATGTTGTGTATGACGGTGATGGTGTTAATGACATTAGTCGGATTCGACGTTGCTAAGACTGGTGTTGCTCGAGTCGGTTTTGTTGGTAAGTTTTCCATTAACACAAACAGCATGCATTGACTTGAAATGGATATAAGATTGCTGAAGCAAAATATCATGGTTTGCTATAGGTTTCCCTTCAGTGGGCAAGTCTACATTGATGTCCAAGCTTACTGGTACGCACTCTGAAGTTGGTGCTTACGAATTCACGACCCTGACAACTGTTCCTGGTGTTGTGCAATATAAGGGTGCAAAGATTCAGGTTAGCACTTGGGATTCAAGAATATACAGTTTAAGCTAGACGTTTTCACTCATGTATCACCTTAGATACTTGATCTTCCCGGTATTATTGAAGGTGCAAAGGACGGCAAGGGTCGTGGTCGACAGGTTATTGCCGGTAAGATTTCGTTTCTGTTCTTGGTACAAGCAAAGTATACATAGTTAGATATATAACTCGAAAATGAATATTTCACATTTCAGTTGCCCGTACCTGCTCGCTTATCTTCATTGTGCTGGATGTTATGAAACCCATGACAGACAAACATCTCATCGAAAGAGAATTGGAAGGCTTTGGTATTCGATTGAACAAGAAGCCACCAGCCATTATTTTTAAAAAGAAGGAAAAGGGAGGTATCAACATGACCAACACTGTCCCCCTGACGCACATCACTCAGGATGAAGTGAAGGCTGTGCTCAGCGAATACCGTATCCATAACGCCGATATCTCGTTCAAGGAAGATTCCACTTTGGATGATCTTATCGATGTCGTCGAAGGCAACCGGTAAGATATTATTTTAAAAACGTAGAAAGAATTGATTAGTTGCATCGGAAAAGCTGATTTATTTTCAGTATATATATTCCATGCATTTACGTGCTTAACAAGATCGATCAGATCTCCATCGAAGAACTCGATCTTATTTACAAGATTCCAAATGCAGTTCCTATCTGTGCCCATCATGAGTGGAATTTTGACGAGTTACTAGGCACTATGTGGAAGGTACATTTTTGGGAGATTATACAACTACTGCGTTTATTTCAATCAAGAAGAGATACTGACTCCTTGTTTTTGTCATATATAGAAATTGGATCTTGTCCGTGTGTACACCAAGCCAAAGGGAAGACTTCCTGATTATGATGCTCCTGTGGTTTTGACAAATGAAAAGAACACTGTGGAAGATTTCTGTAATCAAATTCACAAGGCTATTTTGGATCAGTTCAAATGGTAAGCTGATTTCTGCTGAACAAAGAGGAAACTTGGGGTGGTCGTTGACAATGCAAAATTTATTAGTGCTTACGTCTGGGGCTCGTCTGTCAAGCATAACCCACAAAAGGTTGGCAAGGAACACGTGCTCAAGGATGAAGATGTCGTGCAGATTGTCAAAAAGTAAGTCCTTTGTTTTCACGTCGTTTGTATGAGTAAGCACGAGGCACTTGTTTACTAATCTTTTACCTTAACTAGGATCTAAAAACGGTGGATGCTACAGTCGTTTTTGTAAGAAGTTAAATAAACCTGGCCAGTGCGTGCCTAACTTTTGTATATTTAAATCCAACCTATAACTTTTTAATCAAGTGTTGCCTTATTTAAAGTATGTGTTCTCGGTAAACTTAGATCCATATGAGCAAGACGACTCCTTAATCAATGTCTTTACATACGTTTGCCCGTACGTATCACAAAGCAATGCTGAAACCAGGGTCTGTGCGGAAAAGATCAAAATTGCCACCTTTCACATATCTTGACGTCATAGTAAGCTCGCTTCCAAACGTCCCAATCCGCGCGATAGTACCGCTTACAAGATATTATGTGCACCGCTGAATATACTTAAGATCACTCAGTTTCTTCCCGTCTTTTCCATTGGAAAATGATTACGAAATTTCTCCCGTTTGATTTCAAAAAATTCAGTGAAACGTTTCCGTGGAGATAACATTAACCGCAAGTGTTCCGCGTTGCCGTGGAGTCAATTTTTTCCGTGGAGTATGAATAAACTGGTTATTTAAAGCAAGTTTTGCACGACCAACCATCCCCACACTCACAGCTCTAAAGAATTACACACATTCACACAATGCTCCGTTCTGCAAACAAGGCCAAAGGCAACATTTCATCCGTTTTCGCACATCTCGGCGCTTCTACGCCTGAAATAGATCCCCGGTTTCTGGAACTCAAAAAGCAAATTGCTCCCAAAAACCCAGATGTCCTTCGCAAGGCTTTCGATAGAGTGCTGAACGCCATGGAAATTGAATCTCAAACGATCCGTCAGCGTGGTTCCGCCGTTATCCCAGAAGTAACCATGGAAGATATCAAGGCCAATGGCGGCCGCCTGCCTTCCAAGCTGATCCCTGAAGTCAAGAAACGTGGTGCTGTGGTGGTTCGCAATATCGTTGATCGTGCCGTCGCTGCTGAATACAAGTCATCCATCCAAGATTATATCCAGCGCCATCCCGGAATTGCTGGCTTCCCCGAAGATAACCCGCAGGTTTGGGAGGTTTACTGGTCTCAGGCCCAAGTGAAAGCTCGTAGCCATCCAAATTTCACCGCAACAGCTGTTGCCCTGAACCATCTCTGGCATGGCGACAAGAAAGCACCCATCAACCTGGACAGCAACTTGGTGTATTGTGATCGAATGCGTATTCGTCAACCAGGCGATGGCAAGTTTACGCTTGCGGGTCACATAGATGGTGGATCGTTGGAACGTAAGTTTTTTCCTCTGTTTATCATATATAAGGTGGGATGTGGGATGTAAGAAGTGAGTTTTCTTTTTTCTCACAGGATATGGGAAAAACATATCAAGGTTGGGAAGATCCGGAATATCGCCGCTGTTATACCAAGATTCTGGAAGGCAAATGGGAAGAGTATGATCCTTATGACGTGACACATCGTATTGAAGCAAACATGGACCTTTATGATGCACCTGGTGGCTGCTCCATGTTCCGCATCTTCCAAGGTTGGCTGGCCATTTCCAAGATCACTCCTGGCGGTGGTACCCTCAGAGTTTGCCCATTGGTCAAGGAACCCACAGCCTATTTCATGATGAAGCCTTTGCTAGAGGAGAGCATGGGTACTAGGTAGGAAAAATAATCTGGATTTTGGGCGTCTCTTGCTTTATGTCGGGTTACTAACAGATCAATGTGCTTGTCGTCACCATAGCAATTTTATGGGTGCATGGCCTGGGCGTTGCCAAGATATCACAACTGAAGATCACCCACATATTGTGGATTCCATGGTTTCTGTTCCCGAGGTCGATTGTGGTGACGGCGTGTTCTGGTAATTTTTAAAGTCGAGAAACTGGCGGTGAAGAAAGAGGTGGAGCAATTGAGTCTGGTTTCTTATTGAATGGGTGCTGCGATCGTTTCTTCATATATAGGCATTGCGATCAAATCCACGCAGTCGAGCCTAAGCAGACCATGAAGACCGATTCTTCCGTCTTGTATATTCCCTCAACCCCAATGTGTCCTCGTAGCTCTGATTATTTGCGACGCCAGCGTGCTGCCTTTGAACAGGGGCTGTAAGTATAGCTTTTGTATTTGTTAAAGGAAGTGTTGTCGCTAGCCAAGAAACTAAATGGAGCTTTGCATAATTGTTTTATTCCAGTACGCCACCAGATTTCCCTGCAAATGATTGTGAAGAACACTTTGATGACAGAGCCACGCCTGCCATGTTGACCGAGGAGCAAAAGTTGGGTATGGGCTTTGCACCCTTTTCTGAAACGGATGGTATGAGCGAAGGCCAACTCCAAGCTATCCGGGATCACAACCGTAGCATTTCCCAATAAATGGTGTTAATCCATCTGTATAATAAAAACAACCTGTATTATAATTAAAAATAGTAAACAATTCGTAATTTTCTTCGTTCCTTCATGTTGATAAGAAAGCAGCCTTGTTGGATCGATGGGTTGAACTACATAAAACAAAGTTTAACTTTACACAGGACGAAGTTCTCAAGATCATGGTCTTATTGACCACTGATCAAATCAATATTTCCCGGAACGTATAGGTTCAATCGAAGACAGAAAAGCTTTCATAAGTTTTAGTTAAAAGAATCGCTACCTTCTTAGGGAAAAGAGAGAAGTATGTATGTATACAAAGATTCTAAGGTATTTTCATGTTATCTCTTTCCTACGGTATAAGTATTATCAGTAGCTACAATCCGATAGTAGCTGATAATTCCTCGTAAAATCACCACATGTAAGTTTACATGCATAGGTGTGAATTAAAAACATCCCCACTTTTTCGATTTCCTTGCTTAATGTGTTATCACACTTACCAACTAATTTAAAAGGACGCAGCGGTTCGGACACTTATATGCACTGTATCGATGCGGTCTTTTCGAAAAAATGCCCAAGCGTACCAGAGCCCTCGCCTTTCCACCTGGTAATAGTGCTTCTAAATTTCGTTTCTCCAGATGCTAATGTAGCACATAGCGAAACGGTGGGCCTCAAAACCAAGATGCGAAGGCGACAAAGGTTCGTTATACATAATTCGTAGAACAGCGTAATTCTTCAATAGCTTATGATGCATGTTGAAACAACATGTATAGCTCTTTTGTTGTAATTGTCGCTTTTAGTTAAGATCCTCTCATTAGCGTTGTTTCGATATTGTGCTCGCAACAATTCCATCTACTTTTTCTTGCATCGGATTGATCCATCGAGTTGAACACAAAGTCCTATGTAATCGGTGAAGGCATCGAAGGAAACAGCATGACATGAAACACCTTCCAATTCCTTTATGTATGCGACGAACTCACTAAAAATGATGGATCTAATTTAATTAGTGCGTATGGGGCGTTAATCATTGATATATTTCGTAGAAGCAAATGAGAATGTAGGAAAACCGACGACTCAACGATAGAAAATAAGAGCTGGACCGTGTGATAATTGAGTATCTACACCACAACTGTGAATGGTGTGACATGCATCCTGCTGTCATCTTTTACTGCCACCATAATAATTTAAGAATATCACATGGTGTACACAAATGAAGGCATCTGGAACGAGTAATCCCGTCCATGCTGAGAGTTGAGAACCCACAGTCACCGGGCATTAAATCAGGTTATTCAGTTAAAAGAATCTGCATATTCTTTGTTCCAGCCATTATACTTTATTTTTGCCTTTTCGCCCCCACACACCTCACAATCTTTTTTAAAGCGACTAACACGACATTATAATCTACTATTAAGCTGCTCATTCTGCATGAACCATGACTTTGGACAGCAGCAACAAGCCACGTTCTTTAGCTCATGCCGAAGACGCTATTCACGAAAAGTCACCAATTTCCCCTTCCTCGTCATCTACATCAACTACAACTTCTCCTTCACGATGGCACACACGGGGTAAGCCCAATAACGATGGCCAGTGTCTCTATATATTCTGAAAGGGATCTATTAACGATTGAGTGAAATTGTATACAGAGTTTTATTTCTACTATGTATGTTTTACCATTGTTGTACCTTACATGTTCTACGTTACTTACAATCTCAGCAAAGGTAGGTTCTCTACAAATTATTATTGAGAAAACGTAAGGACACGCGCCAATAAAATATTTCATTTATAGAGGATAATCCGCATTATACCGAATATGAGCACCTGTTATCCGAGGGCTGGATCCCTTACCGGAAAGTGGTAATGTTATTGTACCTGATATGATTAAAACCTACGGAAAAATGATGTTTATATAATACTTAACATGCACACACATACACATGCATTTATAAAATCAGGATAACAGTGATGCTCAGTACGCCACCTTTCGAGATAATATACCCCGACTATTTGGAGTTGTTGTAGGCTATCTGTGCCTGAGTCATTTGTATCGGATATGGGCAACACCAAAGCAACTTCCAGTCAAGCAACCACATCAGCCACTTCATCGCATCTATTTCTTCTTTTTTGCAGCATTAACAGTTATCACAGCATTCCATGGAACCAGCATGCTTAAAATATTGGCAATCATCACAACCAGTTATTGGATCGGCCAATCGGCCGGAGGAACCATGTGGAATCCAATCGGGTCATGGACGTTTAACTTGGGCATCTTGTTTTTGAACGAGTGGTATGATGGATATAGATTTGGGGCTCTGCTCGGACCTGGTTTTGTATGGATGGTAACTCGAAAACTTGTTTTTTTCTTTAACTGAATTGGATGTTGTGTCTCGAGCTTAATGGGGGGAAAAGGAGCGTAGTAAATCAATTACCAACCATTGTGCTATACAGGACGAATACAAAGGTTTTCAACCACGCTGGCATATCCTGTTCAACTTTGTTATGCTTCGCCTGGTGTCATTCAATATGGATTATTACTGGCAAATCAAGAAGCCGCGGGATCAATATGAGGTACATTTTCTCGACTAAAAAATTCCTGGGTATCTTTTACAGGCTAAAGATTCTCTAGACTGATCAATAATTTAAAGAAGGATGATCGACTGGGTGGTCCTATATCAGACAAGGACCGGATAACAGTACCTTGCTTTGCGTCGGATTATAATTATATCAACTTTTTGGCCTATGTTCTTTATCCGCCCCTCTACCTTTGCGGTCCCATAATCACCTTCAATGACTTTGTTTCACAGGTAAGCTTTAACATAACAAAAGTACAAAGATAAGGCGGGATTGTGTTTCTGTATGCCGTATTAAGTATTCCCACAATCAATAGGTCCGATACCCTTCGCATAAAGTGACGCGGCGATTCGTTATAACCTATGCAGTACGACTTGCTGTAGTAATTTTGGTCATGGAGCTGACCTTACACTATCTTTACGTGGTTTCTATCAGCAAAGCCAAAGCTTGGGATGGTGATACACCGCTGGAACTGAGCATGATTGGATACTTCAACTTGGTGATTATTTGGATGAAGTTGCTGATTCCATGGAGGTTTTTCCGACTTTGGGGCCTAGCTGACGGTATCTTCACGGAAGAAAACATGGTCCGATGTATGAGCAATAATTTTTCGGCCCAACGGTTCTGGAAAAGTTGGCATCGTACTTTTAATCGCTGGACGGTTCGGTAAGATATATATATATATATATATATATATATATATATTTGGGGGGGGGGGAGGATGCCTGTGTGGTAGGGTCAAGGAATAGGCCCCGAAAAGAAAAGAAGAAAAGCTTGTTTTGTTTGTGGAACTAACATTCCTAATGGGTTAGGTACATTTTCATTCCGCTGGGTGGATCAAAGTACATGGCGTACAATATGTGGGTCGTGTTCACGTTTGTTGCACTGTGGCACGATATTGAGCTCAAGTTGCTGGCATGGGGATGGCTCATTTGTTTGTTCTTGATGCCTGAATTGATTGCTTCACGGGTGTTTTCTTTCAAGAAGGTAAGAGGGAGGATAACACTGTGCTGTATGGACCGAAATGGAGAATAATGCATTTCTTTGAAACTAGTTTGGCAGCAAGCCATATTATCGCTTTGTATGCGGCGTTGGTGCAGTTGCCAACATCCTCATGATGATGATTGCCAACCTGGTCGGCTTCTGTGTGGGTGTCGATGGAATGGTGGACATGCTCAACCATATCTTTGGCACCGCTAATGGTAAGCAGCCGGGTAAAATCAAGCAATGAGAGAGAGTTTTCATGCTAAAGTACTGCGTGGAATGATATATAGGCTTAGTGTTCTTGGTGACTGTAAGCGTATGCTTATTCATTGCAGTGCAGATCATGTTTGAGATACGAGAAACCGAAAAACGACGCGGCGATCCCAAATGGAAGATGTAGATTATCACTAGTATTCCGTTATTATTATTCGCTTTTAAACAATATACGCTCTTTCCTTTCCTATAATCTGTGTGTGTGTTTTCCTGCTACCGGCACACACGAGCCGTACAACCATGATTGAATAAAAAGTAGCATACGCCATCCAAGTATCATGGTTCAATAATTGTTCAGTTTTGATATTCTAACGAAACAAGCACAGAGCAGCTTTTGTGTGACCGTGGGGGTATCACAGATGACAACGTACGAAAACCAAGTATCACACAGCTTTGAAAGTTAATCATGAAGCTAATATAGTAGCATACACTTTGTTATTGGGCTATGTCAAGCAAGTTCAAGCTACCCAAAATAAAACTAAATATGACTCGGATGGAACATAACAATCTAAATAAATTCTGAGCAATCGACATAGTTTATCCAAACGTCAAATGTTTCAATCTTTACCAAAATATAAACATACAAGTCACCCATTTATGATAAAAAGCACTGTATGTTGTATCAGTCTTATATTCGTTTGATCTTTTTAGAAAGATTTGGGGATACTCCTCGGTGCATCTCTCCTTTTATTTGCAGTATTCGGTTTGCTGAGCTTCGATCGCTTGTAGTATCCCATCAATATCAACCTTCGTGTATATCATCAACCGGCCCTCTTCGTCTTAATCTTGATAGTGTTGTTGACCATTTTTTTTAAACTTCTACTTGCAAGTCATTGAATGCTTCAGCTGTCATTGTCAAAATACTTATTTTATTGATCTCTAGGAGACAAGTGCTTTTGCATCAGCTTTTTTTATATCATCGATAATGAAGCTGGCGATAATTATAGCCTACACAGAAATGAACAAAAAAGTGGTTAGAATGCAAAACGGGTGATGTGCATACAAATATGAAAATATAAATGTGTGTTTATAAAAAGATTATTTTATTTAGATATGGCATTTGACTTGTCGAGTTCATTGATCGATGAACGTTCTCCTGCAAGATTCAATTAACACCCTTTGACAGTGCCATGCTTTTGGATCGTAATATTGATGTACTGTATCCACTTAGCTATGGCCTTGCCTGATAACTACAGTACATCATATAACAATTATTTTGAGCATTAACGACACGTCTTGCTTTAAGTTTTTGTGTGCCAGCTACCTGATATGAGTCTTAGTGTGTATATTTTCAAAGTATTGTTTATCACAACTTGATATACATAATGGTTTAGATCATCTTCACGTTCACTTCTTTTTCTTTCGGTTATTACTATAAGTAAGGTACTGAAGGCGCTACTGACATCATTACCTCTAGCGTAGATATCTGAGCAGCACCGTGGATTGATTCTATAAGAATGCATGAAATCAGATATAGAGCATAATACAAGATACTAATGTGCCTGCTAACTCATGACATATCTTCCCAGTTTATACTATAGACAAAAGTTATTGGTTATACCCATGATCATATATTATCAGTGAGACAAGAATGAAAGATAATGGCTGCTACTGCACATAATGTCGCCATATTGTATACACTACTTTCGTCATATGTATCACAGTAAATGCAATGCTGAAGGGTTGGCGAAGTTCGTTTATATAAATTTTAACAGAGGTTGTTAGATGTGATTGTTAAGCAAACATGATAATAAAAACTTTGGCATAATATAAGTGATTATCGGTTGTTGTGGTGTTATTCCATGTAGTCTCTCCCTTGGCTTCAAAAAATTGGTAAAAGCGAGAAAATGCCTAATGAGTCGCTTCAAACCAAGTGATTTGACACGAGCATTAAAACCAGCTTCACGCGCAGAGCCGCACAATCAAAATCCGGAACGCGCTTTCCGTGTTTTATCTCGAACGGATTGACCACACTACCACACTATCCACCCCAAAGAAAAAAAAACAGATAGCAGATCATGGCATCACGAAGAAACGCATTAAAGCAAACATCGCTCAACTACTTTTTTAGTGCCAATTCAAATTCACCTGCTTCGTCGTCTACACGGTAAACGTTTAGACAAATTCGGTTTCGTTCCTGTATCATTTTCTCTGTGTTTGCTCAATCCAGTCCATTTACTATACATTATACAAAAAAGGAGTAAATCACCTGTGATGAATGTCGATCGGCATTCGGAAGAGAGAAACGAGGAAGCGGAACAAATAGTACCATGGTCAAGAAAACGAAAACGAGTTGCTCGCACAGACGAAGAGCAAGACGAGGAAGAGGCAGTGCCCATCAATATTGAAAGCAGTAATTTGTTGAAAGCACCACAGAAGACAATCAATGATCCAAACGACAACGGCGACTATGATGATGTTGATGATGATGATGAAGAACTTCAATCAAATCCATATAAACGACGTTTGATGCAACGCAGAGTCGTGATAAGCGACGATGATGATGATGAGGACGACATGGAACGTGACAACACCGAGACGCACTCAACGAAAAATGATAGCCTACAAGGTGACGAGGATCTAGATGACCTGGATTTCTTGGGTGACAATGGTAAGGGCTTCTTTGGGGGGTGTAACACGTGTGAGCGCGTGAATGCAAGAATTATATGGATAGAATACATTTGAAAGAGTTGTATAACTGATCCCATGATACGGTTTGTGCTTGTGCTTGTATTATATATAAACAACCAGACATCTACCAGGAGCGCACACGGGGCAGAAAGAAGGAATCGAAATATGCGCTAGCATTGGAGCGACTAAAACGTAAGGGTTATTATAATAAGATGCCGAAAAAAGGAAGCTTCTATGCTGACGAGAGAAAATCACTCACATTCTATATTAGACCGGAAGCGGCGATCGTTTGACGGATCGGAAGGTCCGATGGACCGATACCGTGTAGATGATTGCAGCAAAGACGACGAAGGTGATGCTGACCATGACTCTGCAGCAATTATATCTGATGATTCAGAAGGAGAAGAAGACGATGCAGACGACTTTGTCGTGGATGATGATATCATTGATGGTGTTAAGGTCGGCTCTCCGAGTGAAAAAGTGGCGCTTCCAGGTTAGTATTTGACAGATGATGGTCCTAGTGTTGTCTACTTTTAACGAAAAGAACAGCTGCGTTTAGCTCGGCACAGACGAAAAAGTTTTCGACAAACTTTAAAATCTACGTTGAATTCCTCGTTCACACCGTCGTTGGCGAGGCTACACAAAGTATAAAAGAAACATGGCAAAAATGGGAAGGGCACTCTGTACTAATTTGTCCATATGAAATACATAGGTCGCTATTACCAGATGGCAGTTGACGGGGTGGAACGGCGAGCCCGAGGCTATAAGGACTCGTTGATAACAAGTGATGCATGGCTTCCGCCATTCAAGGTAAACAAAAAAAATAGAAAAACAAAGTGTGTGCTTGATTATAGCATTGATGCTGTAGTTGCTACCTAGTGGGATAGCAGTAAATAGCAATGATAAGGTTGATTGGAAGAGGGGTAAACTAACTAGAACGAGTTGCTAGGCGGCGTTGGATAGGTATCCGGTGTGGAGTCCAGTGCTGTGTAAAGGGTCAATATGCGAAGGATGCCGGCAGAACCGGGCGGCAAGCTTCGAGGTGGTACTTGCAGCGGAACCGGAAGACACCGAGGGTGAACCGAGAGACAAAACATTTTCGCTAGGCAGTGAGTGTTACAAGCGTGCCAAAGTGTATCACAAGCTCGTCCATTTTCGGTCGCACATGCACAAACACGTTCGCAACGAAGCCGAAGCGCTAATGAGCAGCAGTGATGCTGAACAGCCGTCGTGTCTCACAAAAGACATTATGAAAGCCATGCATGCCTCTGGATTTGTCAAGACGGTAAGGACGCATTTGCCACCTAGCACATACACACACACACACACACACACGCCATGTTACATGGACAAGCTACTTGGTAGATACTGACTTTTTGCTGCTTATTTATTAGCTCTGTCAGCAAACTCAGTCGCTCTTCGCTCAGGCGCGTCTCCAGTACATGCCTGCAAAGGAAATGCCGCCGGTATTTGAGGACGAGTCGTCGTCTTCAGAGGAGGAAGACGAGGGAGAATAGATTGTTTGTTTTGTTATACATTGTGCTTCATTCGGGCATCCTTCCCGTAAACCTTCTTTTTCGCCCATCGCTCCCCCCGCCTTCTCTCTCTCTCTCATTCCATCCGACGTGATGAGCAAGTGCCACACTATTTTGATTTAAAAAGGCCCTTTCCCTTTGCACAATTTGTACGTTTCTCTTTTCCATAAAACCCCTCCTACCCTTTTCTTTTCTCTTCTTTTCTTTAAACCCTTCCTCCTCTCCTCCTTTCGCTCAAGAAGCAGAAGACTCTTGAATCATCCTACCTCTCTCTCTCTCTTTTATAATAGCCATCCTCCCCTTTTGTACTTTTACCTCTTCCTTGTCATCCGCTCATAAAATACCATCTGTCAATCCGCCAACAATAACAACCTCAACGACAATCTATTTAATTCTGTACTTTTAGTTTCCTTCTTCTTTTTCTTCATAATAATATGGGTAGCAATCAGAGCAAGCAAATCCACCATAAGCGGATCACAACGTCTACTACTGCTACTTCGCCATCTGCGGTCGCACCACATACCAACCACGGCAGACGCTCGCGATCTCCGCATCAGCTTCATGGACAGCAGGAACAGCCGACGCCGCAAGCAGTAGTAACTACAACAGCAGGAGAAACGCCTCATGCGACTGCTATTCGTGCCAATGGAAAGCAGCTACTGCCAACGACCGAGCCACCCAGTTCAGCCTTGTCAGGTTGTACAACCAGGCACGGGACGGCTGATCCGACGATGAGTTCAAATTATAATGACACGACAACACCACGATCTCGACGCTCATCCTCTTCGGCCCGTCAAAAATACCATCCCTGCCACAACCATCATTACAGCAGCCAGCAGCACCAGCGCACAATGGACAGTGGCTACTCTGGCAGCCGATGGTCCAGTACACTGTTCTCACATGCGCCACAGACGACTTCATCAAGCATCACCACCGTTTCTACGCTCAGCTGGATCTGCGTGCAGGAAGAAGAAGAACAGCAACTTCAACTGCAAGAGCAGCAGCAGCAGCAGCACTATCAGGACGCCAGGACAAACAATGCCATTGCGCTCATTACTTCTACTTCTCCCGGTAGCGCAACTGATCACCTGCTACTGCAACAGCAACTCCAATCGCCACCACCGTATTATTGTTATCCGCATCCCGAAGTTGACGAACATGACAATAGCAACAATCAGCGCAACAATGTCCATGATGAGATTGGCGTCTCGACCGAACGCGTATTACAAATGCTGGAACGATCGCCCCAGGACACGTACAGAATCCTGGATTATTCGTTCGCCAAGGCACGGTTATTGCAGGATTCGGATGACCAGGCCAAGGCATTTCACGCCGCGCTCAGGTGGAGCCAGCGAGAGCCCCTGGATGACGACGATAACAGCAACGATGTTGCGGCGGTATGGGTTGCCCGGTGCTACATGGACGGATTCGGCACAACCAAGAATCCCGTCGCTGGATTTGCTCAGCTCAAGATATTAGTCGATCGTGGCTGTTGGCAGGCATTTTATCCACTCGCCATGTGCTATCTTGAAGGCGTGCGGAATGCGCAAGGTCAAGTTGTTCAACCTGTCGACAAGGAAATCGCCTACCAATGGTTCTCAACCGTAGCCCAGCTGGATCTCAAGAACAAGGATCCTTCGTCCTCAGCATTGCCGATCATTGCTCTTGCCCAGTTCCGTGTGGGCTCATTGTTGGTTGATGAAGATCCAAAGGCTGCTTTCCAATGGTTTTTAAAAAGCGCCACGCGTGGTAATATGTGAGTGTGCAACAATAACGTTTTTCAGGGAGATAAACAGCAGTGTAACAACCTTGCTCTGTGTAATGCTAGGCATGCACAGTATATAGTAGGCGTGCATTATGAGTTTGGCATCCAAGTGAACAAAGATCTCAGCAAGGCCAAGGAATACATGCTTGAAAGCGCCATGCAAGATTTCGCCCATGCACAGGCTGCGCTCGGTATCCTTTTGGTGAATGCACATGAATACGAAGAAGGCATTCTTTGGCTAGAGCGTGCTGCATCAACTGTATGCTTACACGAACTTTCTTTTTTTACAATTGGAGTGCAATCGAGCACAAGGAAAGGAAAAGGCCTATGTTATTAAAAAAATCTATGCTACGTACTACCCGGCATTACTGCTAAATATATAGGATAATCCTCGCGCGCTGTTTCGACTGGGTCTCATGTACGAAGAAGGCATTGGCGTGGAACAAAGCAACGAGACAGCCGCCTTTTATTTCAAAGCAGCTGCCAACCGTGACAATGCAGCCGCCCAGTTCCAGTTGGCAATCAAATACCATTTCGGCGGCCTTGGACTGCGACCGAATGCACAAGAAGCCGATCGGTATCTCCGCATGAGCGCAAAGGCAGGTTATTCCAGAGCACAGCGACATCTTGGATTAATGTACTTGGAACGAGGTCCGCACAACCAGCATAGACACAACAAGAACAACAAGTTGGCAGTTGAATGGTTTTTCCGAGCAGCGGCACAAGGCGATGTGATGGCATATGTTTTAGTTGGCGAATGTTTTGAACATGGACGCGGTGTCGAAGCAAACCATGCTACTGCTCTAGAGTACTACACCAAAGCAGCATCCATCTCCAGTATACATCAAGGAAAAGCACAGTTAGCGACGGCAGAATTGATGCTCAAACACAGACAAACAGCTGATGCGTTTGGATGGTTCGTCCGTGCGTCAAAAAGCGCCGAGTGTATCCAAGAGCAACAGCAACAAGACACTGAGGTCCTGCGTTCATGTACCAAGTGTCGTGCCAAGCTGATGGTGGCGCGTTACTATTTACATGGATGGGGCAATGTACAACGCGACCAACAACGAGCGTACTTGATGCTTCACGAGCTCGCTGATGCCAACGATCGCGATTATTATGCGCATTACTGGTTGGCCACGTGTTACTTGGAGGGTATCCCCAATGTGTGTGAGGTTGATCATGCCACTGCGTACAAGCACTACCGGATGGCTGCTGAAATGGGTTACGTCGAGGCAGAGTTCCAGGTACGACTAGAACTTGTTTTCATCAAATAGTGCTGTTAGCAAAAAAAAAGCTGCTAACCAAAGAATATGGCTGACATTTTATTTATTAATTTTTAGGTCGGTCTAATGCTATCGAACGGTACAGGCGTATCATGTGACCGTTCCGAAGCTTTTGAATGGTACAGGAAGGCCGGCGACAAAGATTACCATCCCGCATTATACAATCTCGGACTATGGCATCTCAGCATCAAGGACATGCCTAAAGCTGCAGAATATTTCGAAAAAGCAGCATATCTGGGCAATGCAGCCGCCATGGAAGGTTTAGCGTCGATTTACCTCAAAGAGTCATCTGCCCCTGTCTCGTCATTGGATCGCCATCGCATCCGGCTGCAGCAGCAGCGTCGTAAGCAGGCCATTCAGTGGTTCAAGAAGGCCGCGGAACTCGGCAACCGCACAGCACAACGCGAGCTCGGAAAGCTGCATGGCACAGGCCAAGGAATCGCACGCAATTACGAACGCGCATTTGGATTGTTTGGTCAGGCAGCTGCCCAGAACGATCCCGAAGCAACATTATTGCTAGGAAGCTATTACGAACAAGGCCGGGCGGTAGAGAAGGATGCAGAGCACGCGCTTCGCTTATACTTGAAAGCAGGTCGATTAGGTTCGCCAGTGTAAGTTTGCAAAGAGAAATGAGAAAGAAAGAGAGGAATATACTGGAACATCGTTGTTCTTAAGTTGTTATTTTTTAATAGAGCACCATTTGCAGCAGGTCAGCTGTATCATTTGCTGAACCGGCATCAAGAGGCCTATGCTCAGTATCGTATTGCCGCACAAGATACTCGCTTGAACGGAGAAATGGTTGGAAAGTCTGCTACATTAATGCTCGCTAGATACATTCTCAGCTATATTCCTGTCAATATGGAGAATGACGGCATGCTTGGAAACGTGACCAAAGAACAAGCCTTTACCATGCTCGAGCGCCTTGCCACCGTCGAAGAGTTTGTCCCTGCATTCTACTGGTTGGGTAAGAGACTGATTATATATTTTCTCAGCATTTCGTGGTGATGTTGTCCTTCATGGTAGTGATAATGAAATACTAATCATACATTTTGATGTGAATGTCAACACTGTTGGTCATGTACATAATAATAATAACAACAACAACAGGGGACTGCTTCCAGCATGGTCGCGGTACACCTATGGACCTAACACAAGCCTTAATGTGGTTCCAGCGCTCTGTGGATGAAGCTCAAGACGTGGATGCAATTGTGCAACTTGCAGGCATGTACGACCAAGGTACGGGCGTAGCGATCAATAAACGCCGAGCATTTGATCTATATAGACAAGCTGCGGAACACAACCATGCAGAAGGCCAGTACCATCTCGGTAAGAGCTGCATTTATTTATAAATCCTTATGAGTAAAGACTATTTGTTTATCGACTATTTATTTATGTACTAACAACATGATAAATCATCAACCCAAACAAAAACAACACTCTACAGGACTTGCGCATTGGCGTGGATTGCACGGCATGATTGTCAACCAAATTGAGGCAACACGCTGGTTTACTCTTTCAGCTGCTCAAGGATTTGGCGAAAGTCACTGGGCCATGGGCCAAATGGCGTTTGAAATTGGCGACCATCACTTGGCACGCGAACATTGGGAACACGGACGGCGACTAGAACATCCGCTCTGTATCCGTTCTTTGGCACAGCTCTTATTGAATAACGAACAGCCATCGGCCGAACAGGCAACTGAACTTCTTACCCAAGCTGTCATGTTGGGCGACTTGGATTCCCTGGTTGCTCTTGGCCGTGTGCACCATACCAAAGCAACGGTTGCCGGACAACAGTTTGCTTCCTTGATCGCTACCTCACCTCCCGCTTCAACAGCACAAAAAGATGCCGATAATAGTAATATGAGCAGTAGCAGCAATGGCAATGACAACAGCGACGATAGCAACGACGACACATCAGCCATGTTGCTACAGCAACAGCAGGAAGCACTTGAATCTGCAACTCAGTGCTTTGAGCAGGCTGCAATGACAGGCCATGTGGAGGCTATGTTTCTTGCTGGCCAGATATGGCATGAGCAGAAGCAGTACGCAGCTGCGCACGAATATTATGACCGCGCTGCAAACCAAGGCCATTTGTTGTCACGCGTTATGCGCGCACGTTATAGGCTCGCGGGCGGTTTAGGAGGTGTAGAAGCTGATCCCAAAGCTGGTTATCAGGTAGTTACTCGCTGATAAAAGAATTTGCCAACTGTTCAATCGTTGATTATAAAAGTGTACTTATCGTTGTCATTCTTTTATGGAAAAAGGAACTGATGGAGTGTGCACAAATGGACAATGGCGTCGATGCTTACCATTCAATCGGTCAATGTTACGAACTCGGTCTAGGTATCCAACAGGATTATCAAGAGGCATTTGAATGGTATGTCCGATCCGCAGAAGCCACTGGTGATGCAGAAGCTCTAGTATGTATCGGACGATTGTTCGCCAACCGATCAATTCAACACTCACAACAACACGCCGACATGGAAGCCATGCAATGGTTCAAGCTTGCCTGTGTATACGACAACCACTCAAAAGCACATTATCAGCTTGGCATGTATTATCTACAAGGCATCCGCAACGAATCCAGCAACGACAACGAAGAATACTTACTCGCTCCTAGCCGATATGCTGCATTACAACATTTTGAACAAGCTGCACTGCAACAAGACCGGGACGCCATGTTCCAACTCGCGAACCTGTTCCTGGATCTTGACGCTTCTGATGCAGTCCAATGGATGGACCGCGCTGCCCAATTAGGGTCACCGGACGCTTTGCGGGAATTGGGCAAATTATACTATGCCGGCCGGATCGTAGACCAAGACTTTGAACGCGCATTCGATCTGTTTTTGCGCGCAGCACAGTTAGACGATGCCGACGCTGCCATGCTAGTAGGCAAGTTTTACGAGCACGGTATTACGATGGCTGCGGATCTGGATCAAGCACGGTATTGGTACGAGCTGGCGATCCAAGCGGGTCACGGCTGGGCTGCGGAACTGGCATTGGCACTATTGCTACACCGTGCAGAGGACCAAGGCGAAGCCTATCTTTTGTTCCGTGCCGCAGCTGTCCATGCGTTTACTCCCGAGCAGCGTATGACGCCGGATATCATGATTGCATTGTATCACCTTCACGGGTGGGGTAATGCGATTGTTCAAGAAGAACCGGCTGTGGCTACTCTGTTAGCCTATGCGCGCGCGGGCCATGCTCGTGTGTACTACCAAATCGCGCGTTGCTACGAAACTGGACTGGGCGTCCAGCGCGATCTGTCCGAGGCATTCCGCTGGTACAGCCAGCTCGAAGCATTTGCAAGCAACCACGAGGATACGGACGAAGAGCTAGATCAAGATGTCACGCATGCCTTGCTTCGACTTGCAGAATTTCATCGACATGGATGGAAAACAGTGAAAAACACCGAGAGAGCGGATCAACTTTTACAACTCGCTTCAGAACGAACATTATGATCTCATTTATATATACTCTATACTCTATATATATATGCCCCCACATCTTTTCTTTCCTATATGCTTATCCAATTTTCTTTTTATATATTTTCTTCCACAACCTATGAATATCTTTCCATCCATATATTCTCGCCCCACACCACCGATTCCCCCCCCCTCTCTCTCTCTCTCGTATTTTTTATGTAAAAAACCACACTTTTTCCTTTCATGTTTTGCTTTCTACCTCTCTCCACTTTCTTTTGTTTGTATATAACGTTATCTATTATTTGCCTATATGAATATACAATTTCCCTTTCTCACGCAGACTTCGTATGCTTGTTTGTTGTATGCAAGTGTCAAATCGATCCTGCCAAGCATAATTCAGGGCAGGAAGAGTCGACCTTCAGACGACAACAGTCCTTATCATTAAGCCAAGTCATAAATTGTAATCACCAAGTCCGTATATCCAGAGCTCTTCTATCTTTAGAAGGACTGCAGGTAAAAATGTTTATTTTGAATAAAAAGATTTCAACGAAAAAGACTCTGACAAAGAACAAGACAAACGTATTTACATAAAGGAAAAAGATGAATCAAACAAGAATATCGATAAGAAAAAAGAGGAGGTGGCTGTTGTGTACGTATGAGGGATGCATGGCGCCTTTTGGATAGCGGGCTTGAAGATGTAGTAATGAGGATATGAGTTTTAGCATTGAAGGGTTGTACATGTGCGAGTAAAGGAAGAGGAAACGCTTAGTCTTTGCGGCCACCGAGCTTAATAGTTCTAAGCATGGGGAAACCAGTCCTCTTGCGAGAAGAGGAGCCAGTTGGAGATGAGGATGGTGACGGAAGACCCAAGACAGCCCTCTGCTGTGTCATGTTAATCTTTGTGAGGCTGTTGTGCTTCAAAACAGAGGCAATCAAGGGCAATCGTTCAGGATGGTGCAAGACCGTGTTGCTAACGGACAGAAAAGCGGACAGTGTTGAGGCTTGACGCTGCAAGCTGTTCTTGCTGGTCTTCTTTTCGAACTTTTGAGCACAAGAATGATGAGAACGGTAGCAACCCAAGAACCGTTGATACACTTGTTCGTGTGATAAGCCGCACATGCGCCAGAACGTATAATGGATGTAGTGTTGTCGCATAAATGCCTCGACCTTACCGCGCTCCTCTTCTTCAGTCAACTCTGCCCCTTCTTCTTGTCCGCCATCAATCTTGATGGTCTTGAGCGAAATCTTGTCGCTTTCACCTTCACTGTCGCTACCACGGCGACGGTTGCCCGAGGCAGTGATCACAGCCGATGCTGAAGCTGCCGTGAACGCCTGCATCCATTCCTGCTGACCGAGCAGATCGAGCATCTTGTTGGCACCACCACCAACAGGAACCGGCAAGTCCAAGATGCTGTTGAAGTATGCGGCATAGTGAAGCGTGAATGTGTGGCGAACAATCATGGACATCAGCGCAGGCACAAACAACGGATAAACCTTAATCAACTCCGAAGGTTTCAGAACAATGTTGCCTTCACCGTCCCGCTCGTGGTCTTCTGGCACATCGCCACTGCCATCTTCAATCAACTTCTTGTCTTGCAAGATCTGTGTAAAGTCAAAGTCTGGAATGGCAGCGTGAGCCAGATGGGTATTGCCACTGAAATCGAACAAGCTAAACTGTTCCAGGTCCAGGATGGGAAACACTTCGGGCGACGAGGTCGCATTGTCTGAGGTGCTGTTGTTCGATGATGAAGTGGTGCCCGGAGGTGTGGGGATCATCGTGCGCCAGTATTGCAATTCTTGGAACAGTTCTTGATTGGCTTTCTCCAGTTTGCTATTGGTGGTTCGTAGCTCTAAAAGTTCCTTGTCTTGACGCTCAACCTGCGCCTCCAGTTGCTCAATGTATTCTAGTTATACCGAAAGAAGATGCGAGACATTAAGTCAGTCTCCGCTTTGCTGACAGTTTTCATTCGCTCGCATATGAAACAACTGCAAACCTTTTCGGCGAACACGGAAGTTGCGTGCAGAGATCTTGTTACGCATCTGTCGACGCTGCTTGGATGTGAGTTTCTTGAGCTGTGCTGCGTCTTCATCCGAGTCGTCATCGTCAGACGACGCTGACCGAGATTTCTTTTTCTTGTATGCGTTCTGTGGTGCTTCCGTAACAAAGATTGGCTCTCGCATGCGGTTGGCCTGCCTTCGTTGTGCGGCTGTGGTTCTGGATCCACTGCTGCCGCTGGAAGCGGAGCTTGGCGTCGATAATGCTGTTGGTACCATTGAAATATGGTTTTCGTTGGCTTGGAAAACGGATATCGTCGAGTTTATTGGCATGGTTTGCTGATCCTTGTTGTTGCTCTCTATTGGAATCGGCACAGGTGGAGCTGCACTAAAGTGCCGTATTTCAAACGCGGACATTGGTGGTGTTGACATGGTCTGCGTGGTAGCGGTATTCTGTACTGTTCCGCCTGCTCTTGTGCCTGGTGCATTCTCGTTCAACAGGAACGCTTCGGCCTCCATCAGAAACCTGGCAATATCGTCATCAGAATGGCTGTTGCTGGCAGCAGTGGTTGGCAACATGATATTAGGGTCGTTGTTGGTTGCTCCCATACTGTTATTGTCATTACCACCATTCAACATTGCATTCTCATCGAGATTGGCTTGAATAGAAGCCTGAAAAATGTTTGAAAAATCCATTTAATCTTGGTATGTGCTTTTGACGTGTGTATGAATGAAAAGAGATAGTCGTTAAGAGGAAAAAGAAGGAGGAGTATGAAGGGGAGGAAGGGAAGAGGAGGAGTTTCGGGTATGCATTTGCTCCGTCTACTTTAATGCTAGTCGGTAAGAGGCTGGCGAATATTCCAAATATGGTAACGGCTTGCGTATTGCTACGTTACGAATTAGGAAGCTGCATTCCTCACCCGATCGACCTTGGAGTATTGGCTTGCGATTACATAACAGCTCGGTGAGTAAAAACAAATAGAGACCCACTATAAAAGCGCATCCTTCTTTCCCGAATCCACCACTTGGAACCACTTGGTTCCACCTGATAAGAAGTAACTCACTTGTCATCTTTGTGAACATGGTTAAAGTACTCGGCAACATTGGAACGACGCAGCTGCTCGACAAACTCAGTATCGTGGGTGATGATGATGAGCTGGAAGTGTGTATGGCTTGCTCGCCGAGTCTCGACCAGTCTATCCGCAACGACAGCAGAATGAGATTTTTTTTGGTGGACAAATTAGGGTCGATGGTTTACGTGGGACACTACCCTTTTTTTTTGTCCACCCCAATATTCCTTGTATCTACTTGAGGCACACATCACTCTGTGACACTACCTTGATAAGTTGCTTGCCAAGCTTTCGATGTTTTCCCGGTCCAAGTTCGTCGTTGGTTCATCCAGAGTCAATATTCCGCAGTTGACACAGAATGCTTCCGCCAATGCCAGTCGTACAATGATCGATGTGAGCACCTTTTGTCCTGCACTGCACCGGCCACGCATATTGACTTCTTTTTCGTTTTTGATCATGACGACCTAATAACCCGTTTCTCGTTAGCACATATAACGATTGAGGACATTCTCTCCTTACAACAGGGAAGCATACCCGGTAGTTATAGGATCGGTTGGCAGCTGAACCTTCATTATCCGAGCGAATCTCAATGTAGTCGATGTCTATTGTTGTTGTTGATTATGACACACAACAACCCGGGCGATAGATAAGTCAATTTAGGTGTTACTTGAAGCTGCCTATCAATCGCAAGCATTCACCCCATATGAAAAAATGCCTTCCATTACCTCCGCCTCGGTAGGTGCTTATCCACATTTCCCGAATCAGCTTGTTCAGGTCTTCCATTTTTATTGTATGATACCGCATGATTGCCCTGTCGTACACACAGTCCATTTTTAGTATTTTGACGAAATACAAGAGTTACGCAATCCTTGCCGGAATAGCATCACTAGGCAGCACTTACTGTTCAAGCGCTTTTGTGTACTTTTCAAGATCGGTCAGAGCAAACTCGTTCATCTTTAAATTAAACATTTCCGCGTGGACAAGGTATCCACGTCATTCTATCCCGTTAGTTACTTATTCAAAGCTTTCTTTTATCACTTCCAATCACTTTTTCTCGGTCCCAATATAGGGAGATCTGTCAAACCTTGAGCTGCACAAATTGATCGTGGTACCGTGTTTCAACATCCTCATAGTCGACGTTCAAGTCGCTTTGATACCGCTCGACTTGAACCTCCATCTGTCGTATTTCACCGTGGATACCACCCCGCTGTAGGATAAGAACAAAGATAATGATATTTTTAACGGTGTTGTCAGCAAACTATAATGGTGGCACAGAAATACTTGGCTTGTACCTCGTCGATCAATTCCTCTTGTCTGGCCTTGTGAGTTTCCATCTGTCGCTCATATGAGGATTGTTCAAACCGTGATCGTTGTCCTCTTAAATCATTCAGCTTTTGCGTGCATTCTGCTAGCTGCTTTTTTAACGTTCGGTGGCGGATATGATCGCTAAGCTCTCTTTCAGTGCCTTTTCGATCCAATATCTGCTTTTCAATGATGCGCATCTTTTTATCAGTGTTGCTTCGTTTCCGTTGCAAGTCTTCGACCTTGAGTTCAAGCTGTCGCTTTTCCTCAAACAGACGATCGAGATTTTGTGATCCTGCACCCTTCGTATACCTAAAACAAATTACACACACATAATACATCTTTGGTGAGTTTTTCTGTTTTAATCAATAGTTAGAGAAAGACTCACTCTTCGATCTGTCGGTTTAAAGACTCCAATCGCTCTAAACTATGTCGCGCCTGATTAGCCGAAGCTTGTGCCTCATCCTGTTTAGAAGACCATGAGCTTTGTGCCCTCAAAAGTTGAGAAGATGCGCGCTCAATGTCTGCCTCAAGCGGTGCTACCCGGTTTTCAGCGTCCTACCAACATGCATCGTTAGAGATTTTCCACTTTCTTGTGCAACAAAACGGATCATTTGCTGCGGGTGATCAGGACCTAGAAAGGAACGTTTTTTGTTCCTACCTGAAACTGCTTTGTATAGTCTTTAAGCTCTACTTGGACTTGATCAATTTGACGTTCGATACGGTCGCGGGTTTCAAGTTTATGCGTGATGTCACGAACAACTTCACGAGCATCTCGTACAGCACTATCAGCGACTTGGACTTCACGCATAGCAACCGCACGATCATCATGGAGACGCTTGATGTCACGGCGAACAGATTTACTGAACAAACATTGGTTAGGCATGTATCATATTTAGAAAAACCAGCTCTCTCTCTTTCCAGCACATAATTAGATGGATTTTTACCTTTTGTCCGATAAATCTTCGAGTTCGCGTTGGCAATCGGTCACGGTACGAGTAGATCCCGTGCGCCCAAGCTCGCTTTCCAAACGAGCAACTTCTTGCTCTAATTGCTTGGCTTCGGTACTGTGACGTGAGATTTCTTCACCTCGCTTGCATAGCCACTCCAGTCGTTGCTTTTCTTCTTCCATATCCATAATGTACATGTTTTCCTACATTCATAGTTTTGCAAGTCAGTGAGCGAATCCCGGACCTTTGACTAAATAAAGAAGAGTGAATATTTACCGTATCGACCTGCGACACAAACTCGTCCCGTTGAGACGTATATTCGCCAACCGTCTTTTCCAATTCTGCAATTTCCTTTTCACGCAGTGTCTGAAGCTGGTTCCAGGTTTTTTCTAGACTCTTGAGCTTTTGCCGCCGACTCTCATTTGCATGAATGTTACGTCTAAAGCTCTCCTCTTTCTTCGGAATGGTTTTCACAGCTTCCTCAATCTAAGAACAGAACGTGTCAGCACAGAAAAACACTAAATAAGGTTTGCATAATTATGTGAGATCCTACCAAGTTGACAAACTTTTTGAAATCTTCTTCTTCGTCGGAGCCATAGCTTCTTTTGCATAATGCACAGCAGTGAAACTCTACCGACCGCTTCCGGAAACGAGAATACATCGCCTTTGCGCCGTCAAGAGATCCTAATTGCCTGTACATAGCATAGAAATTCCCCAGTAGGTTAGTAAGAATTTACTGTGAGATAGTAGGTGATCGGAATTAAAGCGTACTCTCGAGTCTGCCGAAGGGATTTGTCGATTGCTTCAATTTCATCCGGCAAGTTCTTGTCACCACACTCTTCTCGTATCTGTTGCTCGTACTCTATAGTAGATATAAGCAGCCAAGTTATAGATTACTAAAAGGCAAAATAGAGCAATTTTACAGGTTAGACGATTTATACCAGAAGCCAGCTGTTTTTTCTTTGAGAGGGATTCTTTTGCAATGGATAGCTTAGCATCGACAGCAGACAGTTCACGGTTGGCATGCTCCTTCGATTCTCGCAATTTTTGAAGTTGTGATGCTTTCTCGCTAAAAAAATAAATAAGGCAACAGCCAAGCGTTAGCTTTCTCTATCACCATCTCGCTATCTTCACCATATCTATAATTTTCTTTCACCTTAGCAGTTCTACAAGATCCTTTTCCAACGAATCGATTACTGGATCGCGTCCGAGCCGAGTACGAAGTTCAGTGCTGTTTTCATTGAAACTATAAACAATACACAAGGCATGATGTGTTAGTAAAAACATTTAAAAATTGAGGATCAGCAATAATAAGCGATCGAAGACACATACAGGGATCGAGCAGCACCAAGTTTCGCTTCTAGATCTGTGCGTTTCAATGACAGCTTTGTTCTGCTATCTCCCTGTCGACTTAGTCGAGACATTTCTTCGTTTACGATTGCAATTTGATCGTCCACGTCGCGTAATTCCTTTTCCTTGTCTGCTAATTGAGTAGCCACGCTACCACTATCCAGCATCTTTTGTACATGTTCCAAAGCTTTTTCCTACAATTAAATATACAGAATAGCACATTGTGCGTAAGAGTACACTTTCTTTATCCTTCAGACCATGTTTACTACCTCTCGTGCCAGTTTTTCGTTTGCCAGCTCCAAATCAGCTTGGGTCGTGCGAACATCTGATAATTGATCGTTTAATTCTCGTCCACTACTTCTTGCTTGTAGCTGATTTATGGGAAACAATTGTCAGAGATGGCTCACAGGCAAATGTAAACAAAGGGACGCTATACATACTACTTGGCGCTTGAGGTTCTTTTTCAATTCCTCAAGTCCAGCACGTTCAGATCTCAAAGTTTGAAGGCTAGAGGAAAGATTGGATTGGCTTGTACGGGCATCGTCCTATAATCATTAGCGAAGAAGATAAAAGAGGTCAGTGTCCAGTTGTGCGTTAATGACAACGATCTTGCTATGATGTTACTGGAACCAGAACGAAAGAACATAATCGCTTTTCCGCTTTTTCTTGTACTACGTTACCTTAATTTTTTGCAAGTTGGCTTCACGTGCACGGACCAAGTCTTTGATAGCTTGGATAGCGCGACTAGGATCATCTTCATTGGCAGAAGCAGATGAGATGCCCAATTCCTGATTCGCCTGTTGCAAAAGCGTGACTCGTTCTCGTTCCAACTTTTCGTTCGCTTCTGCTGCCGCTTCTAATCGTCCCATCGTTGTCAATTTGGACGCAATTCCCTCACGCGCCGTGTTCAAAATTCGGTCCATTCGCTTAGCTTCAAACTCCAAGTCCTGCTTCGCTTCTTCATCCGAACGCGCTTGTACACTGATGGTAGCCAGCATTTCACGCAACTCTTCATCCGACTCGGTTCGCTCTGCCAGTTCTTTGCTGACTTCGGCAATGTTTTCACGGGTCACTTTTTCTTCGTGTGCTAGTTGTCGGATCTGGTTCTCGATGGCTTCGGCTTCACGATATTTTTCAAGGAGCGTGTTGATTTGGTGCGTGGTGTCGTCTAATTCTTGATCAATGCGATTTGCTTCTTGTCGTTTCGCAATAACGCGTGTCTTTAGGTCAGATAATGAGCGTGCAATTTTGCGTGCTTTTTCCGTGTCGCTTTTGAGTGCTGATAGTGCTACTGTTTCGACCTTGTTTTCCTGAATCAATTCCTTGCGATTATCTTTAATCGTGGCAAGTGCTTTGGTATATCTACAAAAAAGATTATAAATATTCCAGATACATAAACTTTAACTGTTGTATCGATTTGAAGTTCTTACCTTGTAGAAGCAAAGATTTCATCCAGCTTTTTCTTCAGAGTAGCTGGCTCACTCAGAGGCCTATTAAGCATTAATATCCATAGTGATGAGTCAATCAGACCCACATTTGTCATTACGCATTCCCAATCTAAGCTAACAGATCATCCACGTACCAGTTACTTTCTTCTTGATGGCAGAACACAACATTGTCGAGTATAGCCTTTGACACGCCCAGATGTTGTGGCAATTGTGCATCCATGTCAGAGCACCGAGTGCTAACACTGGTAACCTACATAATACCCAGTAATTCAAGTGTTAACCTCAAGTTATAATAGTAAAAAGAGGGAAGAAGAAAGAGGTTACCTCGCCAGTATCGGAATCAATCAGCTTAAGCGACGTATCGAGCGTTTTTTGACTGACAGTAGTCTTTTTCTGTGTCAGTGATAAGGTTCGCGTACATATCACTTTCATTTTGTTGCAACTGTAGAACTGCAGACGGATTTGTGCCCTGACTTCTGACACGCCTGCAACCTATGGTTGTTTATCATAATTTTACATATAAAAAAGGTTTATTTATACGATAATATGCGAATGACAAAGTAGCAGTAGATTTCGTACCTTGACATCGTGAATAAAGGCACCTTGTTTACTGTTTGGAGGTAGGTCGCCAGTGCATGCATATTTGAGAGCCTCAATAATGGTCTAGAGTATTACATTAGAACGTGGATCGCGATCATTTCCACCGTACGCAGTCTTCGTTTTTGACATCACGCTCAATAAAAGTTATGCAACCTCAAAGAGAGTTTCAATAAAACAAAGAGGACGACGTACTGTTTTACCCGTGCCATTAGGTCCATAAATCACTGTACACGGTGAACTGAACTGAATGTAGACAGGATCATCGGGGCTGAACGATCGAATGCCGAGAATGCCTAATTTATCGATCCAGGACATTGTGTTGTCGTGGTTCAAAGCGCGAGTTGGGTTAAAGTAAAGCTGCGGCGGTAAATCTGGTCAGCGAAAACTCGCCTTGCCTTTCATTGTTTCAAATGCAGTGTGCTGCATATCTGGCAAACTGCCTCATGAATTAAAGCGGACACACATATGACAGATACATAAATTGCGTATAAGTATTGTTGGACAAATCCAACTTCAATGATGTGTGGTGCATGAGCTATGAGATATGTTACAAGCAGGAAAAGATACTACAGAGTATATTTAACAGCAGGTATGTGATACAAGTGGATGCCTAAGGATAATGCTGTGGGGTAATCATCATGAAGAAAGAAAAAAGTGATATAGAAGCAGCACAGTTATACTGTTGTTATATACCATGATGAATATGATAACAGGCCACAATCTTGTATATCCAATTTCACCTTTGGTTTCGCAACTTTGAGATCCGAGATACCTTCATCCGTTATGTGATCCAAATGAAACAATTCTAGTTTGGACAAGTGCTCGATCGCAATAAGGGAGGATAGCACTTGATCTGTTACCGACTCAAGTCGCTTGAGTTCAATGGTTGAAATGGATGGATGGTGCTGTAACTTGTCGCAAAAGTGGGCCATGTTTGCTTCCGTAATTAAGGCACAATTGCGTATCCGATCTCTTGCACGCTCTCCACATCGGCCAACGACTGCAAAACATCGTAGGTATCAATGAAGTCATGGCACATGTCAAATGTCACTGATTTCAATGGGCCATCGACGCCTCGTTGTGAGAAAGTAAGAAACATATCCGCTAGACTGTCTTCTTCGGCTCCAATCACGCCGTCAATGCTCAGCGATTTTAGGTTGTCGAGTTGTGCCAATGCGTTGAATACGTGCAATCCAATATATTCGCATTCTTCCAGATGCACTTCTTCCAATAAGGGCAAGTGAGTGATCAAATCCGCAACAAATCCATTATTGTCAACTTCTCCATAACTCAAAGTTAAGCATCGTAAGTTCGGTAGACCCCATGTCAGTAGTGGATCCCACGTAGGAACAGCTATGGGCCGTAGGTTGATGTAGAGTTCAGTAAGAGTCTCGGTGCTTCGCGCCAGATAAGGGATCATGATATCTGCACATCCTCGAGTTCTCAGGATGGTCACACTATGGAGATTAAGAGACGACGGCGGATCTGGGTCGCTTTGGGCACAATCACCGCTAGTAATAGTACTGGGTCGAGCTTGATAATTTAAGATATCATGTAACCTGAGGTATTCTAGCTGTTTGCAATGTTGTTGGATGGCTGGCAGCACTTCGTCTCCATCGTTACAGGTGAGCGTCAGTCGTTGAAGATGAGTGCAGTGTTGTAGAAGCGTAGCCATGGTTGAATCTATATGTTCTTCTGGATAGTATATGCTAAAGTTGAAGTCGGTCAATTGCAGTGTATGTGTAGGCATCTGTCCGAATGCGAGAGATGTTTCGGTTTCGGCATCATGTGTATAGATGAAATGCTTGAGTTTGTGGCATATTGAAAGCACGGTACATAATGGTATGAACACAGCATTGGGGTTGTGTTCTGTAGTCAGGAGTAGCTCTTTTAGAGTATTGGCCACTTCACCCAAGGCTAGCATTAATGTATCCGTGTTTTGTAAATGTAAGGCTGTGGTAGAGAAAAGGAGTATAGATTATGCATAAAATGGAAATGTATCAATTCCTTTGCATCATACAAGCATCCAGTATAGCTGTGCAACTGCGGTTTCTTGCTTACCATTTAATTGAAGGACTTCCAGGCGAGGAAATAATCCTTGAGCTATTCGTGTGAGTGGCGTGTTATACCAGTTGGATAATGAAGGTAGCTGTAGTCTTAGCTGCTGCACGTGTGGACTGATAGGCCGATCAAAAAGCAATTTTGGCGATTTCAAGTTTGCATTGACATGGTCCAACGAGAGCACTACATATTTCCACACCTCAGAACAATCTACGACACGTCTACGCCATGATTTGCATACGTAAAGTCCACCAGGTCCTCCGTGGTCAGGCTGCTCAAAATCGTAATCAAGACGTCGTATGGTAATTCGTTGACGAAGTTTACAGATCGATCGTCGTTGAGTCGTTCCATTTCGGTAATGCTAGAATTCACAGTGATTTGTGCAATTTCGGTTTGGGCTGATGCCAACGAAATTTCGTTGGAGAAGGGAAGGTGTCGAAGAGTTTATGGGCTGCGGCAGGTGGAATAATTTGCAGCACTTATTTCTATTGGCAAGCACGTTCTACGCTTATTCCACACTTCAAGTATCATTAAGTTACCAGACAATAATCCGACGCGTCGTATCGCCTATTCTTTCCGTTCATAAACTCTATACTTTTTTCGGTACATATCTATCAGCTGCCTTCTTATTTACAAGAATCTTTATTTGATACGCCTGCAGACGATAATGTCGACGAGAAGGATTTAAAAATTCACAAACTTACCGATTATCATAGCAATCCGCTCCTTTGTCTAAGACTTTTTACTCACATATAAGTACAACTACAGTTGGACGATCTTTGAGTTTCTAACAGAGTAGAGAGTACGTTGAATAACTGGAGAAAGGAGAGAGACTCTGTGTATGTGTGTACTCATGTGCTGTACATACGGCAACAGATGATTTACTACTGTAGCTACCGTCGTTGTAGCTGTGAGACGCAGAACGAGCAGGAAAGCATCACCACCATCCACAGCTCAGTGGTGAATCTTCGTTGGTTTATTATTCGCTATAAATTTTAAATCTTCTAATCACTATTTATATGATATGTCTTGTTCACTATCAATATCAAGTATGCCTATAGAAGACTATAGTCTGTCCAGTCGTATCTTTTCTTATGTACTTGATAAGAGCCAGCGGCAGAGGATACTTTAGACTAAATATATAAGAACCCGCGCCCCTTGCTATTCCTTCCCTCTAAACTTTTATCCTATTTGAGCGACATCACATTATCTGTTTTTACCTTCTTTATCATAATAGCGTGCAGCAAAAGAAGTGACTATTGTCCCAATGGCGCATGTCACCTAGTCTTCCAATAAATACTTTGTTGCTACGCGTGCGCGCTTAGATTTATACATCGATCCAGCGATCTTTTGACGAGTATGTACAATACTCAGCCTTTATAAAAACACCCCGTAAGCAGCTAACAAAATGGGGGTTTTCTTTGTGCCAGATTTACCTGAAAACATCAAAGCACCAATCATTGGTAACACGGCTCAGCGCATCATAAACAGTGCTTTGTTTTCAATACAAAAGCTAAAGGTCAGTATTGTTTTATCTTATGGCGAAAATATACTGCGTTGCTAAGCAATCGAATGCTATGGTTTTATGTTCTGCAGCCTCAACATCTTATGGTAACTTTAATAAGCTACATAGCAGATCCCCGTCCTTCCTATAATTCTCTTTCCGTTATTTTTTTTAATTTGCTCGGTTACTACCAATAGACGTGTAACAAAAAGGTGTCAGGGATTTTATTTTAAATGTATTGATTCAAGGTGGTTATTTGGTCCTCCACGATCCTACGATGGGTGACTTTCAATCAAACAAGCAGCAACTACCTACATGCAAGGAATTCAGTAGACACGAATGTTTGAAAAACCTTGTTATATACATGTAGTATTATCAATAAGATCTGCAGAAAGAGGAGCAAAACATAATTGATATCATACGATTCGTCGTCGCATATCTATAAGACATGCATATTCAGTACGTACGTAGATCAATCGTAGCATGCTATTATGCACTGCTACAGTAATAATTCATCCGCTCTTATTGAAGCGATCATCCGAATAAGTATGTAGCTCTTTTTTGCCTAGTCAAGTATTGATAGTTCCTTTTATTGCTCTTTTGTTTGATTTTTTTTTCGGTCGAAGGATTCTCTGAACTGCGCTTGTTGGTTTTAGAAATGAACTTTTTACTAGGCAAATGCTTGGGTTTCTCTAGAGGACAACCATCATTTAAGCTTCATTTTTGCTGTTTTGCGTGATGAACTGCAGGTAGATTCAAAATGTGATTTAAGCCGGACGATCACCAAAGGTCAGTTCAACGCACCCTTTCCTAAAATGAAACTTACGACGACAGGGAGATCTTATAACGTAGGTTCTTGCCAGCGCTTCGTTGCGCGAGTAGTTAACGGTTGTGGTAACGTGGAAAAAACTGGTTCGGATTGCTGGACAAAGCGAAAAGTGCTGCGATAGAAGTATTCTACGCCCTTTGTCGTTCTTGTAGCATTTCATACAAATTCTTCATGTTTCGTCGTCTTGGATCGGAAAATCGGACTCCCAACGCTGGGACGTAGCCACCATTTATCCAATTCGTTCCGTAGTGGTTTCGTACATGACTCTGGTATATGCCAAGAGTACATCTCAACGTTCCATCGAAATAGCTTCACCCTGGAGACGTTCAATCAATTGTTTCCAATGATGAAAGTAGCAACCCTATATATATATATGTATATGCCTCGCCACTTTTGACACCAGGAGAAAGTGTTGTTAGAAGCGATAGAAAAAATCCAGCTCTCTGGGTCTGCGGAAAGTCCATCATTATTCTACACATGGATGATTCACCAGCGTCAATCTTCTTAGTATCCAGCACCTTGAGCATTGTATTAAAGTACAAACACAATGTTCTGCACTCAAAGCACCAAAAATTGCTAGGAAAACTGGGGCATATCTTTGCAATTTTTCGTGGGAAATGACAGAATTGCACAGGTAGTAACCGTCACCAAAACAAGAGTATGTGACACCTGTAAAAGTTGGTTCTTAGGGTGCATTTGATATGCTGTTGGATGAAAGGAGAAGCAAAAGGAATGCAGAACGTATCGGAATGGATATCCAGCGGTGACCGTACAAAACCGGGAAAATCGATATTAAGCTGTCGAATTGGAGCAGCTGCCGTTTCAATGTTGGGTGCGCCTTAGCGTTGGACCCGTTCAAAGCAAGTATGTTACGACGGCGATACGCCATTTTACGAGCGTGCTGTAAATCGACGTCGATCTCGCGCACAGGTTGTTGTGGTGGGTTCATTGCTCTCTGAGAGCTGCTACCGACAACAAGGGCCACCCTTTCGGTAAGTTTGGCGACTGATTGCTTGCTTATATGAGCTGCTTCAGATTGACCATGTGATTGCGTGTCATAATGCCGGGCAGTGCCCACCCAACGGATGAACTTGAAGTTGTCCTGGACGTCGCAGGCAATGTGTTGCATATTTCCTTTGCATTTAACACACTTTTGCTTTTAAAGGAGTAACTTAGTGCTAGCAGGTTTGACCTGATGGTCTTTTGCTTACAACAATCCTTTACGCAATGTATAGCACCAAGGGAGATCTTGGTATCATAATGCTGACTCCACCGTCAACTTTCTTCTGATTCTGTTGGTAAAGTTGCCAGCCAATGTCGGTGGGCCGTTCTCATGTTCCGTCTGCTTTGGAAAGCAGGGCAATCGTGTGCTTTTTGTCGCCGTCGATCCATCTCGTAAATCCGTCCTTCATGTTGGAGAACACGTTAAAAGCTAATCGGTGAGTTTGGTACCTTACAATCAGTTTGTTCTAGTTGAGTGCGTAGAGTAGCGAGGAACGCAATAAAAAGACACTGGTTTTCGTGCCCTGCTTTTACTGCAACCGCCGAATCTTTCCCAATGATGAAATGGACGTTGGATTGTTTATTTTTTGCAACTTGTTGTCGTTTGATTACGAGTCGACAACGGTGAGTCTCTGTATTTTGGTGTCTGCTTATTACCATCGCTACACTGCTTGAGTGTATAGCAGTTACCATGCCTTTTCAATCAAGTACAGGATTGGTACCTGAGATCCGGACTCGGGGTTCCCATATAAGAAGCGGAGATGGTGCACAAGGTGAAACACGGATCGACACTATATACTACAGCGGCATGACAGCGACCGTGTGTGTTTCCATAGTGTCAATCCAACGATACTTCTTTTACTTTTGCTTTGGCACAGCAAAAACAAAGGAGAAGCAGAAGGGCTTTGCAAAGCCAATCACGTGATGGGGCGACTGCGCTTGAAAACCAGTCTTGACCTGCTGATCCACTAGCGTGTGACTTTTTTTGGTTTTTGAAAAAGTATAAATACAGGTCTATTTTTCAGAGCAAGGATTTCTTTATGCAGTAGCACCAACAGATGTTTGGGGGCATCGGTGTATACTTTTCCCTACGGGGCCCCATAGGAAAATGACAAAAAGCACATTGGTGTGCACCACCAAAAGACAAAATCAATAACACAAAAAGTGTTGTTGAAGTCTAAACTATCTGATTGTGCGTGTCTCCTTGATAATAAGGTGCACCACTACAAAAATAAATAAGAAAATGATAAAAATAAATAAACACAAAAAGTGTTGTTGAAGTTGCAAAGATATGTTTGGTTATGGTTCCATGACTACGTATAATTTTGAAAGAGAGATTCGTAGGCTACAGTAATGGCAGCACCTTCAAGGCTGCCGTCTGACTATCAAAGCCGTTACCCTTGTCGTTGGACTTTGTCTTCCTGAATGTCAGCTCCACTGTATATAAAAAAAAGGGAGTCCTCCGTGAAGCACAGATCGTTTCGCACTGAAACATACACTCGCTTGTCATTTTAGCAGCGTTGACTACAATGACACTGCAGTTGTTTCAATAGGCATTTCAATCGAGTTACACAATTACGAACATTGATTGTTCTTGCAAAAGCGTGTACATAGTACGCACGAGATGTATTTGCAAGCATAGATCTTAGATAAACGCTGCTTCTGCAGTTAATGAGATTGTTACATTCTGCGAAAGTATCTATATCTACGGTTTCCTGACTTTGCACATGGTGCTTTACAAGTGCTCCTCATTACAAAGTAAATGAATTCGAGTAGATCTTTACCAAATAAATCATGAAGCTCTACCGTGTATTTTATTATACACGCTCTCTTGCTCAAGAGCTTTCCGATGAAGCTGGACAACCATTTTGGTGATAACATGTTCATGAAAGCCCTTCAGCAAGGCCTTAAAAGGCTTGTTGGGTGCATAGTGTACCTGCAAGCCTCCCCGTTATTTAATCGGATGTTAACTTAACTTGTGCCTTTCTGTTGGATACTATATAATGACATGGCAAC